GTGCCCGTAATTGTAACGCCTGGCTATTTCTGTTTTGGGTTTGTTGCTGGCGTGGTCGAGGAGGCGAGATAGGACGGCTAGACGAGGACGGAATAGAACGAGACGAGATAGATTGAGAGGGTTGGTAGAGTTCTTGGTGTACGTCGTTCTCTTGAGCTTGCTGTTGTTGCTGTACTGCGTGGCTATCCTGCGCTAGAGTGAGCCCTCGAATACGTAGTCCAAGCTGTACTGGGGTGTCTTGGATTGTGCCCTCAGCTTCCACCTCTCCAGTTTCAGCAATAGTATCGGTCACCTGTCGCTGGGCGAGAGAGAGTAGGGTATTAGAAGCTTCAATGTCTGCTTGTATACGTTCGAGTTCTCGTTGGCGTTGTCGGTGTCGGCGGACACGAGCAGCGGTGTCTGCCCGAATTCGATCGAGTTCGAGGTTACCAGAAGAGCCTGATACCGGTCGACCGCGTTTAGGTACCGTCCTTACACCTGAATCTACCATAGTTTAATATCGAATAGCTGCGATAGAGCTGTTGTATATAAATTTTAAACTGCGAACGATAAGTATTATAACAGCACGTGATTATATCCCTAGATTGTAACAGTATGTGATAAAAAGAGGAAAGTCTTGGCAAAGTCTTTGAAATCCGTAAACTTTAGAGACCTCTAACTTTCTATACTAGCGTCCTATAGTTATAAACTTAGTATATTTCGAATCATCGAGAGAAGACGATTCGAATGGTACTAATTTTATAATATTATTCTAATAATATTGTTCTAACCCTAAGGTGGTTTCAGGTACTAGAAATGGTCGGCCACCTTTTCCGGCCACACGGCATGTCGACATTGGCGGCAAATGGGCAGTTGGATACATGCCGAGTACTAAAATAATTCGTCTACCTGAATGGACTCGCCCTCTACGGTGGTCACCATATTTAAATATAATTAACCTCACTTGACTGGGGTGGATGTGAACAATGATACACCTGACTTGTATACTTAACTGACCGACTCGACGGAACCCTTGATTCATGATGTTGAATTTAAACTTCGCTAACTCCTAATTCGCTAATTTCGCTTGATATACCGGATATAGACCCCAACCCCTTTTGAAAAATTTAGTGTTCCTCCTGTATAAAATCGTCGATTTTGGATCGCGCCTCTTACCTATAAACTGGTATTAATCCTCTTGATAACGGCGGAAGTTGTAAGTCTAATACCTCCTCTTCACTATACTCCAATTATAAAACCTCCATCGTCCGGGAACTAATCATTAATGTAAAGTGAAGTCGATCATTAATGTAAACTTTTCGCGCTAAGCCGTAACCCTAGCCTCCCATATAAAATATATGAGCAGCGATCATTAATCTATGTTGATTAATGAAACACATTTTGGATAGGTGATACATTTCATCAATAGTTTTCGTTCTGAATACAGACACCCTTGCTCTAGCATACGCATCGAAACATCTTCTTCCGCACGTCAGTGAACCTTGCTCGAACACGTGACTCTTTGAGGAACGATTCGTGACAGAAAGTCACTAATGGAACAGCCGGGTTGTACCGAGCTCTTTCATCTTCTCGAGAACAAAGTTGCTTATATGAAACTTAGTGGCCTATACTATCTAGCCGGTGTTCCTAATCAGACCAGGTCGTGTGGGCTAGTGACTGGCCTTATATATTAGGTGAATCCTAAGGCCCTTTAGGATTTCCGCAATTTTAATGTCCCTGTTTATATTGATCAGTGTGTCACGAATCAGGTTGACTTTAGGGTCAACCCCCCGCCAGCAGAGGACACGACAAGGAACTACCCAACAAGGAAGGTATAACGACCATATGGGGCGGAAGCACGTGACATGATCAGTGTGATCAGTGTGCTCAGTACAGAGCACACGGAGCACGACAGAGCAGAACAGGAAGTCAGGACTATATAGCCACGCTCCTTTCCTAGATATCAGTTAGGACCTTCATGGTCAACTTCGCTCTACCTCTGAGCATTAGGCTCATGGGAGCCTGAACCAGGACTCCACAGGGAGTGCCTGGTAGAATACACTCATTCCGCATTGATGTTTCCCTCTTTTCAAGACCCCTACGATGTTGAGGCGCTCAACACGGGACACGCCCCGGCGTGTCGGCTCAGATCGTAACACAGTGCATCGAATAGTGCGGTGTAAAACCATAACACTATAGTAGGCTTCTTAGAGATTCTGCCTATCTCGGGACGGTCAGGAGGACTAGAAAGAGTTGTCAGCTTGGAGTTGTACATCCTTTATATAAAGCCCTGAAGATATTGTGGAGGTCCCGCGTTTTTACATACCCCGCGTTTTTAGACACCCTATAGTCTGGCTTAGCTGGATACCGAGCCTGTCTTATGTGGGGCTGAGCTCAACCGTAGGAGGTTGGCTTGTCAAATCCTTCTGATCACCGAGTAATTCCACCAGTAGCAAGCTTAGACGACCGTTTTTTCCAGACTCGCCTGCTAGTGTTTGGTGTCGGTAGACATTTGCACCCGGACCGAGTGTTAGGGATCTTCATCAGACGGACCTTGATCTTAATGTTAATTCCGGTAGAGGATGGTCTATCTCCTCCCCTTTCTCGGCTGTCTATTCTACTATATCTTTCTTTCCTTGTAAGGATCGTCGAAGTCCTTAATCTCAGTTATGTGACCCAGCGGGTTATCAGTCAAAATAATCCGTTATATATTTCTAATTAACGCCTTACCTGTATCCTAGTGACAGTGTGTTCCTATATATCGTTGCCCACCATGCCTAGCTGGTCCAACACTCCAAAAGGCACGATGGCCGCCGCAGTGCTCACCAATCCTGGCCAGGCCGATCCTTCTGACTGCTTCACCTACGTTACAGACTATCCAAAGCCATCACTGCCCTCAGAGGACTGGGTGTTGATACGGGTGCGTGCAGCGGGATTGAACCGCGCAGAACTGCGAGCTCGCAACGTTGAGCATGTATCACCACTGGAGTTTGGCATGTTCATAGACGAATTCCACACTGATGCTCCGAAGGTTATGGGAGAGGAATATGTAGGTGAGGTGGAGGAAGCGGGCTCTAGCTCCGGCTTCAAGAAAGGCGAGGTAGTGTGTGGATGGGCATACGGCGGCGGTAAGCCATACGATGGAGCTTACGCTGAATACACGATTGCCCACAAGAAACGCTGCTGGAGGCTTCCTGATACGGCTCGAGAAATACCGTGGGAGGTACTGGGTGCCGTCCCAATGGGCCTTTGGACGGCATATGGCGCGATCTTCAGTGCTGGGGAGACCAAACCCGGCTCTACCGTACTCGTTCACGGTGGGACGAGCAGTGTCGGTATCTGGGCGATTCTGGTTGCCAAAGACAAAGGGTGCACAGTCATCGCAACCACACGGCAGGCAAGTAAGGTGAAAAGACTCAAAGACGCCGGTGCGGACCACGTCATACTCGAAGAGGATATCCAGAAGTCTCTCGATGAGGTCTACCGTATTGCACCAAAGGGCGTCAATACAGTGGTTGAGATCGTCGGCATCAATCATCTCAAGAAAGTCTCGATGCCCGCCTTAGCCGTCCACGGTACATGCGTCTTGATGGGGGTCCTTGATAAGGGTTGGGCTCTTCCAGAATTCGATTCCACTTACATCCCGATCACACGCAAGCTTACCACCTACACGACTATGGAGGAAGACTATGAGCCGTCGACCCGTGTGCTGGCCGAGACTATGGAAAAGATCAGGAGTGGCGTCTACAAGCCAGAAGTCTTCCTCGACAAGGCGTTTCATCTCAAGGATATTGGCAAGGCGCACCAATATATGGAAGACAACAAGGCTGTTGGGAAGATTGTTGTCACCGTGTAAAGTGATGGAGTATATACTGAACAAGTAGTTTTGGATATCATGATATGGCCAACAGCTTCCCTCTGATTGACACTGAGGGACAGAGTTACAGTGACATAAAGCTCGTGCAGAGCACACTACAGGCCGTAGCTAGCGAGACTGACATTGCAGACTGTTATACCAAGCCATATCCACATGCTTTGAATGCTGAACGAAGGTCAATCGTAATAAATCACCAGCGTAGGGCTAGTTTCGTCTGCTCGGATCTAACGAGGACGGAATTCCTTATGATTCGGATCCGGAACGACCAATATTCCCGGAACGTCATCTCTCGGCCTTCGACAGGTTTCGACATATCCATGACCATCCCCGCATTACTGGCCTCTGGCAGGCATTACGCTAATGTGGGATAAGTCTGTGCAGAGGATTGAAATAGGCGACCGTCCCAATAAACTCTCAAGTGAGGTCTTTCCCCTACACATCGCTAGCTACTCGTTCTCGATGGATAACTTAACGACAACACCTCTAGAGCGTGTCCTGACTCCTACACCAGAGAAAGGACATGGCCTGGTCATTTCGATTGCCGTGACTTTAGCTGTCATACTTTTGACGGTATGGAGCTCCAGTCAAAGTCCATACCCCGGGATTTCCATGGTCGGGAATCCCGCATCCGAAAAGACGTACTGGCCGGCGAAGATACGATGGCTCAAATCCGCCAAAGAGCTCGTCTATGGTACCCTAGCCAAGGTAATATATTGAAAAACCGCTTCTTTCGGTGCTGAGGACTGACCATCTTAAAGACCAAAACTCCTTTCCAAGTTGTGGCCGCCTCAGGGCCTCTTATCATCCTCCCACCACACTTCGTTGAAGAGATCAAAAATGACGACCGCATGACATTCAAGTCATGGCTTCAGAAGGTGAACGTTGTTGTGGTAGATATTGATATCTCACTAACTATTCCAGGACTTCTTCACCAAATACCCGGGCTTTGAAGGGTTTATCCCCGCAGTGGACAACGACGTATTTGTCAGCTCTGTCAGAATTGGCCTCACCCAGTCTCTGGGTAAGTAGATCACTCCAATTTGGTCGCCATACTATTATCTGAGCCTGATGCTGACTTATCCATCCAGCCCATTTCGTGAAGATCCTTGCAGATGAGACCAAGCTGAGCCTCAACGAGTCCCTTCCTCCAAGCAATGGTGAGCTCGATCGCTTCTTCACTCATGTGTATCCACCGGTGTGAGAGTTCTTAAAGTACTCGACGGTGTGAATTCTGGGATATTTCAAAAACTAACAGGTACTAAACCAGAATGGAAAGAAGTCCATTTCGATACCGCAGCGTTGCGAATCATTGCGCGCCTATCTTCTCGCTCATTTCTGCCGGAGCCACTCTGCCACGACGAGGAATGGCTCAAGCTCGCCGTTGACTATACCATAGATTTCTTTACTGCGGCATACATCCTCCGGCTTTTTCCGCCAATATTGCGTCCGCTTCTTCACTGGTTCCTCCCTTGGACTAGAACGCTTCGCAAAGACGTCCGGAAAGCTCGTCGTCTCATCGGACCCGAAATAGAACGCCGGAAGAAGGAGGAAGAACAGGACCTGAAGGCAGGAAGAAAGCCCAAGCAATACAGCGATGCCATCGCATGGGTGCAACAAGCGTCGTCGAAATCTGGAGATTACTGCGATCCAATTTACGGCCAGCTGAACTACTCGCTTGGAGCGGTTCATACGACCACTGTCACATTCAACAATACACTCTATAATTTGATCGCGAATCCAGAGTATATTGATGAATTACGGGCAGAACTTGTTACTGTTTTCAAAGACGCAAAAGGATGGGATAAGACTACGCTGAATAAGTTGAGGTTGATGGACAGCTGTATGAAAGAGAGCAACCGGATGGACCCTGCCACACTAAGTAAGGTTTACCCTTTGGAAGTCTGAAGACTTTCGCCAAATACGCAGAAAGTTTATGCTAACTACGGCTGCCTTGACTAGTGAGTATCAGCCGAGTCGCCAACGAAGACATCACCCTGTCTGATGGTACCAAAGTCCCCAAGGGCGCCTCCATCGGTCTTATCAATGCCGCCTCAAGGGATCCAACCATCTACGAGGATCCAGATAAGTTCAACGGTCACCGTTTCTACGATATGCGTCAAATTCCAGGCAACGAGAGCAAACATCAGTTTGTCACGACGACCGGCGATTACCTTCCGTTCGGGCACGGCAAGCATGCCTGCCCTGGACGATTCTTTGCCTCCAACGAGATCAAGATTCTTCTCACTCATTTATTGTTACAGTATGACTTCAAATTCCCGGATGATCAGGGTAAGCCGGAGATTCTCGCTCATGGATTGGATTTCGGGACCAACCCGAACGCCAGACTCTTGTATAAGTCTAGGACTCCGGAAGTGTCGCTCGACTTTTGAAGGGGTCCCCATAAGATGTGATCTAGTTACTACTTAGGTCATCATAACAGCAAGTAGCGACAATAGTATACTCCTGCATAAGCGAACAGAGGCGCCTGAGTGAGGAAGACTGTGTAGACCCCAGGTCTGTCGCTCGTGGATAGCTAATAGACCACATATGACGTCTTCCCATCGGCCAAGGGGCTATATTGTTCTGGGAGGTACGGGCCGAGTTGGAGCGGATCGCGTAGGAGTCAAGGTTGCCCTTATCAGTGGAGAGTGTCGTTATCTTTAGTCACAGGTGATCTGATATCTCGAACTACCTTGCAAAAGCAATATAACAGACAATGCTTTTGGACCTCGAAAATCGAAGAGGCAATGTATCCAATATTGAGTTCCGCCTGACGTGGTGGGAGCTGTGTCTTTGTGGGGATGGCCAACGAGCTGGCTTCTGCCAGGAAATATCGTTCGAGAAAACAAAAACCGTGCGACAACTGCCGGCGTCGTCGCGTCTGCTGTGTACGAGATGCCGAGGGTGACTGTGCCTTGTGTAGTCGGCGATCAATACCATGCACATTCAGCTCGAAGCCATCGCCGCGTAAGCGTCAAGCCAGGGCTACAGGCACGTCCGCGGACGCTCAAGAAAGTGGCAGAGAGCCAATCTATGGTGCCGGCGACGAAGAAAGCCATGTCACGGCAAACACGACGCCGACTGCGACTTTAGAGCGTAAAGGAGGCGCCGAGGGAAAATATATTGGCTTGACAGGAACCGACGATGTGTACTTCGCCGTGGACCGCTCTCACGGCCTCGGAAATGACCCGGCACGTGAAGCCTATTTCAGGGTACGGCCTAGATGGAACCATCCAACATACGGTGGCTAATTGACATCTGCGCTGTCGCAGGGACGGTCATCTTCCATACAATCAGGCTCGTCGAATACTTCTCATTTTGCTGCTCGGTCGATCGAGGCCAACGCGCCGCTGGTTCGATCTATTTTCGTCAGAGAGTCTCATCCCGCATATCCTCTGCTAGACGCCGAGCTGGCTGGGAGCGCGAAACAGTCGCGGCTGATGGCTATTGCGATTGCAATCATCACAAAATACACCTCACCAGAGTTGCAGGGCCTTCAAAATAACGTGCTCATCGAGGAGTTTACATCATCTTTGCTCCTTGAGGCGCGGTCCCCGGGACTTGAAACCATCGAAGCTGCCATATTATTCACTCAAAGAGCGCTAAGAGGACGAATGTAGGCGGCACACCTGTGCTTACCGTCTTCTGGCATATGTGGACTGACTACTTCACAGGAGCACCAGCGCACCGGGGGTGTGGGCAGTCATAGGCTGTATTATAGGGATGAGCCACGATCTTGGCCTGCATGTCGACTGTTCGACGTGGAGTATTCCCGCGGCCACAAAGAGGAGACGAAAAAGGATATGGTGGGCCGCGTACATGCAAGATAAATGGTATGCCGAAGTATGCGGGCTTTCTGCAAACCCTGAGTTTTGACAAGGATGCTCCAGGTTTGCCATGGCTCTAGGTCGACCGTCATACTTGAACGAAGCAAACACAACCACGCTCATGCTGACAGTCTCGGATTTTGAGGACTGTGATCCAGACTCGGCGAGCAACAAGCCTAGACGGTCCGAGTTGACCACTGGCATCCATTGTTTTGTCTCCATGGCCGAGTTGACGGTGATTCTGAACGAGGTTCTCCTCATCTTCTTCACTATCGGCTCTGTGGTCAGCTTGCGCGAGGCTACAGGTCAACAGATCATCGATATTGCAGACAAGATCGAGGTCAAATTGGACAATTGGCGTACCGAGTACCTCGACCCGATTCTCATGCAGCGATTCTTCCCTGACGTGACTGGTAAGGGGCACATGGCCCTGCGCTCTGGTATTATGCTAAGACCATCTTGAGCAGGCAGCTTGGAAATTGCGTACATTACTGTGCACGTCATGCTCCTTCGCGGCATCTTTCCCAAATTGTATCGTCGAAGCCTACCTTTAGACAACCATGTCAACCGTGCCGTCGCAGTCACGTCTCGTGCAATCTCGCTCGTTGAGACGTTGCAAATTAATCGCCTTAGTGCCTTCTGGTGGTCTTGTGAGTGTTCGCCCTCTCTGTGTCTGGCAGCAGTCCTGTTCATCGTTTGGCGTCCCTGCGCCGAGTATTGCTTTCGAAACCATCACTGACAATCTGGTCGCAGGCTCGGGCTTCAACTTCGCTCTGGTGGGCACTTTCATGGCCAGCCTGAAGCGGCTCTCGACTGACACCATTCGGGCCAACTACTGGGATGAACGACTCGGGTATTACTGCAAACTGCTTGCGGCGCACGGGGTCAGCTTCTGGCCAGCCAAGTTCGCCGCGACCGCACTGGACCTGATGGCGAAGAATCTGACCAAGGCCACCAGTGCTGCAGCCGGCGATGCGGGTGGTTGTGGAATGAGTGCTGCCAGTACTAGTGATGGATTTGCCAACGGGCTCGCCGAGGTGTTCACCTCGCCAGAGACGTCGTGGTCAGGAGTTTCGTATGATTTCTTCCCTCATAACCTGACCGTGTTGAACGAGGCAGACTTCTCGGCAGACTGGGCTGCCGTCGAGGGGGCAGATGCGGCCCCGTGGCAGAATTTGAATATAGCGTGATAAGGGTTGAAGATCATCCGGAAAGTGGAATAAGGGATGATAACGATGTCTTTATTCGGGGGCAGCGGTCTATCTGCTAGAATCAAACGCCATGATGTCTCCATATGCAGGCCATCGGCCAAGTGGCATGGTCTCACGGCAAACGGTTTTGAACTTGGCCCGCGGGCAACAGGACGGCAGGCGGCCAACAGTGTTGGCCGGCGGCCAGTATCCAACCCTACACCGCCGTTCTCCGTCCACATCAGCCTGAAATCTAAAGATAAGCGAAAAGGCCAGCGGATCTTAGAGCCTGAAGCTCCTCCTGCTTTCCTAGAATCGCGGGCAGCAAAGCGCCCAAGCAGCCACTAACACTGCTGCTGTATAGTTCCCTATTGTCGTCGTTGCCGTCCGCTTCCGATTTTCGCTATGCTCAGTTGTTCGTCATGCCGCCGATGTAACAGACAATGAATTCTAGGCTTCATAAGTAGCTGTCCCTACGGTCCGTGATGGGAGAAATCTGCCTTCTCCGTACCAAGCTCGATAACTAGTAAAATTTCGAGGGATAGTGGCCGACTGGCAAGAAGTGACGAGTATCAGTACACTTTGCCCCCGAGTGCTTGGGGTACCGGAAAGGCGACTGGATTAACAATATGTCGCTAATTTGCGCAGCATCGATCTTATCACCGTGTGGCAGGAAGTTCTTATTGGGACTATGTATTTCGGGCCTGAACAGCGACAGTATTGTCAGTCAGTTTCCAGGTCGGCCACGGCTTCCTTTGTTATCTGCTTGCAAGAGCAGATGGATCAACCCAGGACGGTTATAGACCGGTCCCGATGATGGCAGGAATAGAAAATGGGATTATGAAAGGTATTGACGAGGCATTTTCAGAAATCCTCTGTTTATAACTTGAAAAAGGTATCCTCTATCAATATCAAGGTTTCTTCTCTTTATGGAGCCTTACTTATCTATGTCCTATTTATCTCAACGTCTATTGCATTTTCATCTAGCCCCGAACGAGCGTGTGTACCCAAGAAACAACCGCAGCATAACCTTTTAGTGAAATCTAGAAAGAACTCCAAGATCTTGATTTCCATTGACTCCCACAGCTTCATATCAGGCATTCCAAGTGTACATTCGCCGTAACTGGGGAGTTCTTCAGTAAAACCAGCGATATTGAGGGCTGTTTGGACCCCCAGCAAGGAGCTCAGATGGAATCTCAATAGCCTTGATTGTTCTCCCATCCCTCCTATCACGCCTCTTGTTGTCGATAATCATCCAAGCGCCCAGGAGCAAGGTCAAAAAGAATCCGCAAGCGCCGAAAACAGCGGTTGTGATCAATGCAGGCAGATATTTTGGCGCATCCTTGGCCTGGAAGATGTTGCTGGACACCACACCCATGAGGTTGGCCACGGGAACTCCAATACTGGTAAGCATCATGCGCTTGTTCTCATCGGCGATGTTGTTGTTGTACCAGACATCAAGGAGCACAGAGGGTGCACTGGTCCCCCATGTCATCATGAAGCAGGCAAAGTATGCCACGTTCAATTGTGAGGTAATATCGACAGTTGCATAGATGATAAAGCCGATGCAGGTAAAGGCGAAACCAAGCGCCACGAATGGGAATCGCAGTCGAGTTAGATCTGAGGCGAACGACAGGATAAGCAACATCGCCGCGCCTGAGACATTCGGGGCCACAGTGTAGAGGTTGGTTTTCACAGTGCTATAGCCAAGCCGCTTGATGATAACAGGCAGGAACAGTGAAACGGACTGCAAGGGAACACCGAGACAAATCTCGATCCCAAGAATGATCCAGCTTGTCGGATGCTTGAAAATACCAATGGCTGATCGGAGATTGAACTTTTCTCCCACCACCGAGGAGGAATCCACCTGGATCCGATAGAAGGCCAGCTGTTTCTCTTCTTCGGTCAGGAATGTGGCACGTTGCGCGCTGTATGGCAGGAACCAAAACGCAAAAATGGCAAAAAGCATCGAACAGCCTCCTTCGATGACGAAGAGATATCTCCAATTCGCGAGGCTCCCGGAATCGATCTGGAAGACCCCGTAAGATAACAGGCCACCGAAAGCCGAAGCGATTGAGGATGCCGCGTAGAAGATGGACAGGCGCCGGGCAAGCTCGCCGCGCCTGTAGAAGGTCGTTTGGTAGTAGATCACCAGCGGGAAAAAGGCCGACTCTGCCATGCCGAGAAACCAGCGTATGGCAAAGAGCCCTGCGAAATTCTGCACAGCCACCACCATCAGGGTGAAAAATCCGAAGCTCAGCATCATGACGGGCAAGACCCTGCTGGGACCAAATTTCTTGCCCATGATGCCAAGGAAAGGAGCGGTGAGGACGTAGGGAACAAAGAAGATGGACAGAAGGAGGTTGTAATCGTCACCGGTGAGGTGCAATGTCTTCTCTAGCCCGGCGGTTTTGGCGTTTCCAAGATTCGACTTGTCCAAGGAGTTGAACAAGTACATGACCGCCAGCGTAGGCAGGATACGGAAATCGAACTTCCTCACCAGCCGTCGCTCAGCGGCCGGGTCGATGGCCATGGAGGCTGAGACTTGTCGAACCTCTCCTGCGGCAGAGATGGCTAGGACTTCGTCATCGAGGAGTTTGATGTCTTTGGAATCTTGCACTGGGCCGGTCTCGGCTTCTCTGCTGGTTTGAATCGACATTTGGAGCGGCTATGTCAGAAGTCTTCGTGTCGAGGAGTCGAGTTAAGGGGCTGGAGTGGGAGCCTGGGCTGAGTATCTGAGAGAGTCGAGGATGCTGACTGGAACGAGCGCTGTTGAGATGAGATATTTCATGGCAGACAACAGGCTCTTATATCGTTGCACCAGTATACAGGTGAATTGCTAGTGATTTGTTAGACAAGGGAAGTTGAAAGGACAAGAAACGCCCCACGCCCATGCCCACGCCCACGGCCAAAGCGAATGGCCGCCGGCGACCCAAGTTTGATGACCACTTATCATATGAGCTTTACCATGCTGCAAGCTACCGCGATGATCCCACATCCCGCAGTGCGCAACTAAGCCTTAGGCCAACTGATCGTCGCCCGTACACTGCAGAATTCTCAGCTCGCAAGGTGCTGATGCAACAAAGGGTATGTACTCGCCAGCTTGGCGCCCAAAGGCTAAGTAGGAGCTGTCACACCTATATCTCTCTTTGAGGACAAACAGCAGAATCCAATATGTCTTCGTTGCAGACTGGTAGCTCTCACCAGTATAATACAGTTTCTGCCTCTCATCAAAGCACCTCTAACCCTGCGCAGCACTAGCACCCACCCAAGAAGAGGGCGAAGCCGCTTCTCTCGATCAACATCGCGATAGACCAACAAGGCCTGCTGACTGTCACACGGCACCTGCACCTACACCTGCACTCGATGTTCCAAGCATTTGATAGTAATCGAAGCATTGCATCGCTATTCTTTTGCTCACTCTCTTCCTATCTCAAGATTCCGGACTCGCGGATGTTCCTCCTCTTCAAACTGTGATGATGTGGATGTATTCATCAGCTAAGTCTAAGTCTCGCTCAAGTGGTATCACTGACTCCTGAGACGCTGTCAGATTTAGGAGCACCATGTTATGGAGTGAACGGCCGACGGCCCAGCAAGGTTTAAAAACAAGCTCCGTGTTTTGAGCAGATATGGCAAGGCAAGTCCATGTAGTTACACGAGAAGAGCGAAGTTGACAGCCGAGTCGAGATCATTATACACCGGAACATTACCAGTCTGACTATAATCATAGGACAAATAAAGCGTGATGCTTTAGCTGAAGGGTTTGCTGTGGTGACGGTGCCGAGTCTTGTACTCATGGATATAGTCACTCTGTCCAAGCAAAGAAGGCTGCTGGAAGGGGGCAAATATGATATTCAGTGCAAAAGAATTGTTCCTTGTTTCTGCGGTCATCAGATCGTAGACAGTAGATGGCCTGACAATAGAGTTGGAAGTATTTCTTCCATGCATACGACACTTTCGCGATTATCCTCCAACCCATCACCGGCCTTCTATAGCTGTACTTCCAGCTCTAGCAGGTAAGAATTGACTCGGCCATAGCAGGCCAGTGATTCCAGCCCCCGTTTTGCAGATGGAGTCTCATTCGCATCTTCAAGCGCTCTATTCCCACGCATCCATATGTGATTGCCTTCTCTACTTCTTTGGCAGTTTATCTTGCTCGGCATAAATCTCCGAGTTATCATACCTGTACGAATGGCCAATATGGTCATCTCGTAGCTTCGCCTGTCCATTCCCGTATACGCGTTCTCTCAACGTTCCAGTGGATTCTCCTTTAGGCGCATAGCGACCTCTCTTTCGTAGTTCCGGAACCAAAAGATCAACCACATCCTCGAAAGTTCCTGGGGTCGTAACATAGCCGATGTTGAACCCATCTAAATCGGCAATATCAGCCCATTCCTCAAGAATATCCGCAACTTCTTCCGCTGTGCCAACAGGAGTAGCGCCAGATCCACCAATAGCGATAAATCTCCCGATAGTCCTTGGTGTTGGTCGAGAAATATCGTCGCCGCGATAGTCGAGAGCCGCTGCCAACGAGTGAACTCGATGATCAATAGTAGCGTCAGAGGCTACAAGTTCTCTGTCCAAGTCATACTGGCTGATGTCGATACCTGACGTATTTGAGAAGAAAGCCAAACCGGATTCCACGCTGGCGTATTTCTGGGCTTCTTGATACTTTGCTTGAGCTTCCTCGGACGTTCGCCCTATAATTGGCGTTATGGAGGCGACGACCTTGATGGACCGAGGGTCTCGGCCAGCGAGCGCAGCCTGACGGCGTATCTCTTTTACGCTGGGGGCGAGGATATGTGGCGACCGCGCAGCTACGAACACTCCTTCTGCATGGACTGAGGCGAAGCCGATGCCAGCTCTGTAAAAAGAATACCTTTGTCAGCAAGGCCAATGGAGGTGGTGCGAACCTACCCGGAGGTTCCCGCTTGAAACAAGAAGGGAGTTCGCTGAGGAGATGGGCTAAGCGCGTGAGGTCCATCGAATTTGAAATTTTCCGATCGATGATGGATGAATCGAATGCGGTCGTAATCGGCGAAGGTATCTTTTTCTGCATCCTTCACCAGCGCATCGTCTGCCCAAGAGCCCTCCCACAATCTATATAGTAAGTCAATAGATAAGCTTGCTCGGTGGTCACGGCCCTATACATACTTGTACACAGCCCGGAGAAATTCATCTGCGATTTCATAGCGACGGTCGTGCTCGACTATCTCTTTGCCAACCTTTCTCGGTCATGATATATTAGCACTTACATCAGGTCCTTCATGCTCAAGGGAGAGTATGAGAACGTACCGCCCGAGCACCTGTTTCATTGTACGAGGTAACAATATTCCACCCGATACGACCTTTTGTTAAATGATCCAAAGTAGAGAACCGCCTGGCGAACGCATACGGCGTCTCGTAAGAGGTTGAGCCCGTTATCGCGAAAGCCAGATTCTTTGTCACGGCGGCCATTGCAGAAATTGGCTGTCAGAAACCCAAACAGAAGTCAAACGTCAGATACATCTTTTCAGTCTACTAAGTTTGTTAGACGTAGATGGGACCCAACTCACGATTACTGGGTCACCCCTAGGGAATTGAGTCCCGGTCCGAATAGATGTTTCGGCTGATCCCTTGTAGCGGTCATAATGACCGTACCCATCCGCTAAGAACAAGGCAGTGATATCCCCCACGCTCCAGGATTTGGGCAAGGGTCGTCCAGTAGGTCAGATCGTGTGCCTTTGTGGAGCTCTTGTCCTTGGGGTTGCGCCATTGGCCGAATGATAAGTGACTGGGAGCGAATAGGTCGAAGGCATTGAGGAACAGAACCTTCTTCGGGGAAGCGGCTTGCTCCTGGGGAATGGGCTCGGCCATGCTGAACCTTCTACACTGATGAACGTGTAAGATGTCCAAAGAATTTTCTTCTGCAAGATACGGGTGTGAAGATGATTAAAACATAAGGGCATGATTTAGATGCCGGCACATTATGGGTCAATTTCGCAATCAGGGAACGGTACTGATTGCCCTAGATTGAAAGGTGTTTATCTCTGGACAGATGGTGCAATCCTTGTATGATTGCTGCTAGCGTCCGGTGGCATTGAAAGAGACTTAGGAGCAAGGCCAAGGGAAGTCGTGATAGCGTTGAGGGCAGGCGTGATGATCCCTCTGATTCTATTGCTGACGCTATAGTAGGTGGGGGTCCATGGAACTTACATATTATAAGTCAGCCACTTTACCGTGTTGCCCTTTTTCATCGTAGGATGGCCTCTACAACGATATTCCATAACTCATAACCTTTGTGATGATGTACAAATGCTCTCCTCCTGGTTTCGCCCTACCAATTTGGACAATGCACTGTCGCCGGTATTGATGTGGCAGTCTTCCCAACCACCAAGGCTCCATGTTTCATAAAGGACTGGGCTTTCCCTGCCGTCATGTCATTTCTCACGCTACTGTACTCATTCGTCATTGGGACGCCCCTGGAAAAGCGGGATGAGAGATTTCGAGCGGAGAAACAACGTGTGGAACGCGAGGCTGCTGGCATAGTGGAAGAGTTGCCGGACGATGTACACCCTCTGACCTAGAAGGATATCAAGCGTGGGTTAACCTCTACCCAGTCTATTCCGGTACTCCAAGAACTATAAGGGGGGTGGACGTAAATAAGAGATAGGGCAGTCCAGCCTTCTACACCCACCCCGGAGAATTCAATAGTATAGGAGCGCCTTTAGTAGAAGTGGCCGAATATAGCGATCAAGAATATCTTCTCCGTTGTAATGATTTGTTCGAGTCCTTACAGGTATATAATTACAGCCTTGTTCTCTTAAATAATCTGGACCATTAAACATAGGCTACTTACTCCTTCACTTTGGTGTAGCATAGCATGTTGGTCGGGTTGGGGCACTATGCCCAGAGTAGTTCCAGCGAGATCTAACGCAAATACCCGGATAATGAATTTGGCAAGTCGCACCAGATACTAGGGTGTAAGAGAGAGGCTCTTCTGAGGTCGAGGAGCCTAGAAGCAGCTTGACCCTATATTACTTACCTCTATTCTCCTGCTTTTACGACGCCAACAAGCCTTGCTCAGGAGTGCAAAGTAGCGTATTGTACATACCTACTCCCAGGACCTGAACCTCAATCTTCTGTCGCAATAATGGCTGTCTTATTCTAAGCATGATCGGAGGGAGGCCTGAACAATTAAGAGAGAACTTGTCGAAAGTAATCACGGGCGGCCTAACCAGCAAAGACCCATCCAGGCTATTGGCTACGCCAGAGTTAGGCAGCCGACAATGATAGTCGACAATGACAGACCTTGTCAGCGCTAATTCAAATACATACCACTATCTTATTCGTTTACCTGGTACAGTCAGCCGGGCAGTGCCTACCTAGCTTCGTGCTGGTCCCCATGAGAGGCATAGCGCCAATACCACTGTGTGAGGGAGTTATAGAGTTGGGACCAGTAGTTGAAGCGGTTACGACGTCATGAATCCAAGGCAAAATGACCTTGATGATATTGATGGTACTGATGGCACCACGATAGGCCCATAGTCGTTCAATGACATTGCGGCCATGCTATCTGAGAGACCCTGTCATTCTTCGCAAAGTCCGTTCATGTCACTGTTCCGTGTTTCGTGATGCTTACCCAAAGCGGCATATCGTGCGAGGCAAGACCTGCTTGCTCTGATGGCCAACTCTCACATTCAATACATATAAACGGGCTTGAACACGACTGCTTAGACATGAATTCATCCTTTTCCCAGATCTGTTGAACTACTTCACCAATACCCGGCTATCACAATGAAGTTCAACTCGCGAGGAGGTGTTTCCATCTTCGAACTCTTGATCTACCTTCCCGCGCTCGTTGTCGCAGCCATCGTATGCAGCCGTCATGGATTCGGCCGCAGTTCTGGCTGGGTGTTCACGCTCATCCTCTGTCTTGTCCGAATCGTTGGCGCATGCTGTCAGCTGGCAACTTATCATAAAGAAACGCAGGGTCTGGTAGAGGCCGTTGTGATCCTCGACTCCATCGGGATCTCACCGTTGCTTCTTGCGACTCTCGGTCTACTTACACGCTGGTACGTCTGTTCTCGCCCATTGACTTCTTGGGGCATACTAAAAGACATGTTCAATAGCACCGACTCGATCAGCAATCCCTCGTCGACCAAATTCAAGGCAGTTCACCTTCGACTTTTACAGCTGCTTGTCACCATTGGTTTGATCTTGTGCACCGTTGGTGGGACGAGCAGCACATCATCATCTGGAGTGTACAAACCTCAAACCACCACCAAGGCGGGTGTGCTGCTATACCTGGTTGCCTGTCTCGCTTTGGGAGTCATAGCTGCTGTCACAACGCTCAAGGTCTCAAGGGCTCCAAGCGGCGAGAAGAGACTTCTCTGGGCCGTCATCATTGCCCTTCCGTTCATCTTGGTCAGAATCGTCTACTCTCTCATAGCGGTTTATTCTCATGACCACTCTTTCAACATCATTACTGGCTCGGTCACTATACTGGTCGTCATGGCAATCCTTGAAGAAATGGTAGTAGTGGTCCTCTATCTGGGCATTGGCTTGAAGTCGGACACTCTTGCACCCGCAGAGAGGTGCCCGACTGGGAGCGGGCCATGATACGGAGGGTTTGGGGGAGGGCAGGGTAGTCAAAGCAGGCATGGGAGAACAAGGAGACAAGGTCCAATACATGCTCTAGTCGGCGCGGGCATCGCTGCAGTACACCATAGGCAGGAGCAAAAGTCTCAGCCTGGACAGCTTTGAGGGCAAGGGATCGTTGTGCAAGAAGGCGGTACCTAGAGGGATGAAAGCAACAGGTGGAACTTGAATGTTACATCCTCGGAGTTCGATAGTATAGTCATAGTGTTTGGTTTGTTGGGAGTTTCTTACAGCAATCTTGGACGCCCCTGATTTGAACGACTTCTTGCCTTTCGAGAGCTTGGACGAACTGGATATGGGTTTCCAGAAGGCCAGCCAATTTGGTAAAATTCAAGGCCTATTCGTAGCAGTTATCCAGCTCCGTCACAGCTTGCGGTGGACTAGTCGAGCGTACATTATGAATTACCAAGCCGGGGCCACTTTTACTTGGACGGGGGCGACCGTGAAGTCTGCAGGCCGGTGAAGAGCCGGACAAGAAAGAGGTGGCCAGCTTCAAAATGCCCTTGATAGAATCTTCACACGCGACTGATACCAAAGATTAGGCCATGCGCATCGGGCGAGATGTCCCTCCAGACGATCCAAGCTACGGTACCTACCTGTACGGCCCAAATCTCTGGCCCGATATGCCAGAGGAGGAGTTCAAGAATCCGATCATGACTTATCGGGAGCATATGCTTCGACTGGGTACAGAGACTATAAAGATTCTAGCAATAGGCCTGCCGTACAGCGACGATGTGTTTGACGATTTCATGCGCGATCCAGTTGCTGCCGTAAGGTTGCTGCATTATCCACCACGAGCTCAAGATGGCGACGAAGCTCTAGGAGGTCGTCCCGTCTCTGAATGTTGTCCATTTTATTATATTTACATGTTTCAATACCTGGTGCTCACACCGATTTTGGCGCCATCACCCTTCTCCTCCAGCATCCGGGTCAAGAAGGCCTCCAAGTCTTACATCCAGCCCTAGATTCTTGGATTCCTGTCCCGACGGTTGAGAACACCTATGTGGTCAATGTTGGCGACGTTCTATCTGCTTGGACCAAGGGACAATACCGAAGCGCCCTGCACCGGGTGAACAACGAAAGCACGACCAATGATCGATACAGCATTCCATTCTTCTTGGATGGGACCATGTTCGCGGTCATGAGTCCGTTGGATGGCTCCTTGACGTTGCAAACGGGGTAAACCGTGGGACAGCATTTCAACGAAAGGTGGTCGGCCGCGGACAGGAAGAAATGATTGCACTGAGGTTGAGCTTGCTTTCGTCGACTTTCATTTCCACTCTAGAGTTTCCCGCGTGCCAAGTTCAAGACGATCTCTCTTCCCGTAACCCAGGTCGTCCGCCACAACGTTGGAAAGTCCAGGGTGCTGGTGAATGTGTCCGCATAACCGAAGAATAGCATCGGGGGGATCCATCCACGCGCGTACTCGAGAGCAAAGCAGGCCTCGGGCATCTTGTACTGCTTGACAGACCCGCGATGAAGATGATGCACGCTGCCAGGGGGGTAGACTTCCGGTTCAAAGGTACCGGGTGTAAACGCCAACTGGGTGCCTGTGAGAATGTTGAAGTAGTCGTCCGCTGTATGGCGACCAGTGTGTCCTTCTGTGCCGATTGTGGTTCCTAGAGCAGAGATGAGTTTCGCATTTGGATATATTCGAATGGTCCAACAAACCAAAGATGATCAAGTACTCTGTGACGCCTGTTCCAAGATGTTAGCAGCCGATCACGGAGCATACAATCCATCCTTCTTTGGCCTCGACCTTGGCTCGCGAAAGAAGATGGACGAGGGCTGTACTCACTGGCATGAATGATGTACATAGCTCCCATCGCACCACCCGCATTGTTGAAAATCCATTCTTCGTCCAAATTCAGGTGCTTTCCATTTATCTCGTCCCCGTTCAGCTCCGCAACAATGTGATTGACAATTGCACGCGTGTCATTGCCGTATATGTCAATAGCACTGCGCGAAAGGCTGTGCAATTGATCAGGCTGGAAAATATAAAAATTTTCGAGCTTGGAGTCTAGATAGAAGTAGAGATAGGTCGGGAGAGAAAGTAGGAGAAAGATCAGAGATAAAGTGCGAGAGCTTGCCATCGTGCTTTATATGAGTTTGCAAGAGAGAGACTACAAATACACAGGTACGTACTGTAAACAAACAATAAAATAAAAGCCTCCAAGTATCTGGAGGGAGATTGGTGGTCGACCAGCTGCTGCCATTCGAATCTTTTAAAAGGGGCTTGAGTCTGGCTTGGCGCGTGGTGGCATCGTGGGGCGATTCGGATATGTACGGAGTACTGTGGAGGATCCGCCTGAAGGTTCGGGTTCTAGTTCTTGCGGTACGCTTAAAGCCTCCGAAGCCGCTGTCAGATATTCCGGCCCAAAAGGAGACGTGCTGTGTGCTCCATGAATCTGATTACATACTCCGTATCTGGACATTCTATCTGTACTCCAGAATCACACTCTTGGGCTCTTTATACACCCCCAGTGGCTTGTATTCGAGATCATAGCCAAACGCTTTGGGACCACCCAGTGCAAGTCCTCTTGGAGTATCTGTCCACCGCGTGGACCCGGTAATGCCGAGGACTGTCACTAAGAGACCATACCTGTATTCTGGCACTCCCACTGCACGACCTGATCGGCTGTCCAGTACGGAGATCAGGTCGGGTACCATGGCCAGGTATTTCTCTGAACCATCCTCAGCTTCGTGTTTCGCGTATATGTTTTCGTTTTTGAACGGAATTCTGATCTGGCCTCCGCTAGCCAATGCCTGGGATCTCTTCTGACGGCTGTTCCCGATGCCGCCGGTCTCCTCCTCTTCCTCGGCGGGAAGTTGTTGAATGACGATCTCACCGTACGAATGTGCTTTGTGGAGTCGGCGCTCGACGGCGACAATCTTGCCGCGAAATAGCACCCTGGCAGACTCCGGGCCACCGACTTCGCGGATGATATCGTCGGCAACCGTGACCATGGTGTTGTTGATCTCTGCCCGAGCGACGCAGCGCCCAATGCGCCAGGCGAGGGACAGCGTGTTGCGGACGCCGTACGAGAGGATGTGGTCCCTTGTGGTGGGCTTCATGGCCAGCCCGACGAGTGAACCCATCTCGGACGACACGGCGCGCAAGGCTCGATCGACAATTTCGTCGTCGGTCGTCTGGGTCATGACTAAGGTCTTGCCGTCGCCGGAAGCAATCGCGCACGGCACAAGATTTCCCGGCGCATGCACGCAGAGCGTGGTCTGCCAGATCATCGGGTATGCCCGGCCTACGACAGAGATTCATTGTGTCAGTGAGAGAGTCCTGATACGCGGCAAATGAAATGGGAATGACGGCGAGAATTGACCTACCCATCCAGTCGGCATCGATAGTTGGCACTGAAAAGTTTTTGCTGGAACCGACCAACATGCTTAACAGACCACAGGCACCTCCGATCTCGATGGTCATGAACGCGTCGAAATGATCGTCGCCGAGGTACTTTTGCAGTTCTTCAGTGGCCTGGCGATTCTCAGGCCCGGTCAACCGCTCTCCAAAGACCTGTGGTGATCCAAGATAGCCACCCCCTATGGATGACTGTTAGTACTGGACAGGATTAACAACTGGCGCATGGCTCACAGTATATTCGGGCATCTGATGGCAAGGAGGCCGCGTCGATAATTCGGGCAACATGGCCATCACGGAGCTGGGCTCGCAGTCTTAGGAATTCCGAGTATGGCGAACCACCACCTCCACATCCCAGAATATAGCAGCCGTCGGCGATCCAGGCAAGGTCACGCTCCGAAACAATCCATTCGTGAATACCGGTTGTCAGATTCTTCGACACTTGGGGGCGATAAGCATCGATGTCGAATGCCTGTTGCTCGCCGTCGACATGTAAGTCTAAAGATTTGGTCTGGTTTCCAGTCTCTGATCGACCTTCTTCCTCTTCCTCCGTATCATCATCGTGTATCGTGTCCTCTAGATTGATATGATTATGCGAGAGGTCACCAACGGCCCTGACGAGGACTCGGACCTGGTTGGCAACATATTGCAAGGGGATGACATCGACTTCAGCTATGGAAATTGTTCCGGCCTCGGCTCCTGCGCTGATGGCGGCTTCAATCGCTCGCTTCTTAGCATGCTCGACTATCTGAGCAGTCGACTGCTCGGCGGTACTTTCAATCGAATCGAGGGCACCGCTCACCTTGGATGTTGCAGCCCCAATCGCGTTGGCAACCGAGTGCAACCTGGGACGAATGATCTGTGACACGCCCCGGATGCCGTCTGGAACGATGATAGAGCCTCCACCAACCAACAGAAGTGGGATAGGGTCGGGCGACGTCTTCATATCATCGACAGCAGACTCGACCATGGCTTTTATTCTGGCAAGGGATTTTTGAATGAGCCGAGGATCCAAGTGCTTGACGAGCTCGCCGTCGCCAATGTCCTCGCCCACTGCTGCCACGGCAACATCCGTGGTGGTGAGAACACTGCCACCGAAAACGAGGGCCTGGGTGGTCAGATCATTGCCCACTGAGGTCGGGCCTATCGCAAGGCGCTCTTCGGTTTCGTGAATGAGTGAACCACCTCCAAGACCGATGGACGTCACATGAGGCATGCCAAAGTTGACCCTCACGCCAGCCACGGTAGAATAAGCAGAAGATTGACGTGGGAAGCCAGACGGAAGAAGAACACCAATGTCGCTGGTAGTTCCACCCACATCGAGCACCAAGGTCGATACGCCTGTTTCCTTGGCCAGCTTCAGCTCCAGCTTGCCGAGATAGGCGGCCCCTCGCATCGAGTTCGTCGGTCCGGATGAAAAGGTGCGAATGGGTAGACGAGTGGCAGCCTCAGCATCGATCAAGCTTCCATCGTTTTGGGTCAGATACAATCCGCAGTGAAGATTGAGTCGTTTCATGGCAAGCTTGAAGCCTCGGATTGTATGCCGTGCGAACTTCAATATGGAGGCGTTGAGAATCGACGCGTTCTCTCTCTCCAGGAAACCAATCTGAGAGACGTCGGAAGAGCAGACCACATCCACGTCGGGCAGCTCACGCTGTATAATGTCTCGAACGCTTGCCTCCTGGTGGAAATGTCGGTCAATGGGGGAATAAACTCCCGAGACCACAATAGAGTCAATCCCCTTCGCTTTGATCAGGCGGCACTGCTCTCTGACCTGGTCCTCGTTGATGGGGCTCTCTTGAGCGCCATCAATGTGCAGTCCTCCATCGACCCAGCCGTAGTAACCGTGCAAGCTCTCTTTGAGAGCGGGAGGGAAGTCTGCAAACGGTGGCACATCTCTTGTAAAGGACCTGGACAACCGAATGACCGCGACTTTGGATAATCGGCGAATGTCATTTTCAACCACGGCGTTGATGAAATGGGTGGTGCCAATAATAAGGCATGCGACATCATCTACCGAGATCTTAGACTGCTGCAGGACACTACGGACCGCTGTCTCTATCCCGTCCGTGACGTTTGGCTGTGATGTGGGAGCCTTGTGAGTGGCAATAACCCCGAGCGTAGACGACTCGGCCTGGCCGAGATCAAGAATGACTGCATCTGTGTTTGTACCGCCAACATCAACGCCTATACGATACGGCCTTGCGCTGCCTGCGACAGCTTGGGAAACCATGATGTGTGAGTATGAACATTCCCCGATAGCTGTCGCCAGCCTCGAGCAGCTGTTTCGCTCTAAAGATACTATATTAGCCTCCAAGGCTTTCCAGAACTTCTTTGGTCGTGACACTGTACGAGGCCAAAGTTGCAGAAATTGTCCCATTTGCACTAAAATGATGTCTTTCAGAATTGACTCCGTTATGGATCCGCAGACTACGTCCCGTCCGAGCTTTTCGATAACCATGGCCACGAGGTGGGAAATGGAGGGAAAAGCACGTTATTATTAGTCCTAAAAGACGTTAATGGGGAGGGAAAGTGGATCTGTCGGTACGGTAGATACCCCGTACAAAGGACCAGATATCCTGCAGTCACCCCTACTCCGTTGGTGATATGGTCCTTGGCAAGCATCGTAACTCTGGATTCTGTGTACTATTCTAACTAACATCGCCGTGCCCAAGGAGCACCCTTTATCTGCGAAATGGTAGAAAAGGCTTGATCAACATTTGACATGGACAAGTACATCTTCACTTGGTAGCTACCAAGATCCATATAATGCCTCAAAGAAAAGGCTGTGCCGTTGGATATCCACAAACTACACCATGATTCCGGACACGGACGCTGAGGAAAACTCTCGAAACTCTTCGGAGTTTGTGGTTCAGAGATCTCGCCCTGAGAAGGCTGTCTGGGCCATGCGGCCTGCCAACTGCCCTAGAGGAGATCGGAATCTGAATTCGGGAACCTCTACGTCCGATCCCAGGACCAGATCCTGGGTACTCAAGGCCTAGAAGCATTTAGCGTTCCAATAGGTTGGTATCCTATGAACAAACTTTTCTTTGTGAGCTCGTAATTGAACCACTGTATGGCGTCTTCACGCGCCTGATCACACCAGAGCATAGTGGAGACATCATCCGTTATCTAAGTCCACGTGGTGGTGTAGATCGCCTATCCTATATATCTTGGGCGATCTAGTATGACTTGCATTATGCCGGCCCTCTTACAGCTGTCTAGTCAACTCTTGTTTGCAAAGGATTCAGAACCATGGTCTCGTTCGGTAGGATTTCCCGCACGCTCGCCGTCCGCGATCGCGAGGGCAATCAAGTCGATGGCTGGAAGAACCCCGATCTGATTCCTCTTCCACCTTGTAAGTCATCACCATAACCACTTGAGCGAATGGCAGAGCTGCCTGCTGACATTTTTGCCGTTGCAGCTCGTCGGACCTGGGTTGATCTTGACTTTGTGGGACTCTGGAGTACCTCCTTTGTGACCATCTTTGGCTGGCAGGCAATTTCTTCCATCTTATCGCTTGGCCTCAATGTCTGGCAGGCCTTCCTCTGTAACCTGATCGCCAAGTTGATCCAAGTCGGCGTTGTTCTTTCTCTGGGATGGTGAGCGGAAGCATTCATATCCACAACCGCCTCGCCAGACACGCTGACTTTCCCAGGATTGGCGGTCAGTGGCACATTGGCTTTACGGTCAGCTCGAGATTCACCTTCGGGATTTGGGGATCTTTCCTGCCAATCATAATAAGAGTCTTGCTGTGCTGTGGTATGTGAACACGACGCTACTGAAGTCCCTGGGGCAATATCTGACTCTTTTCGCAGTGTGGTACGGGGTGCAGAGCTTCACGGGAGGAATGTTGGTGTCGGCAGTCTTATCGACCATCTTCCCGTCATATCAGCATATGAAGAACACCCTGCCGGCGTCTGCTGCCATGACAACGAAACAGTTTGTAGGCTTTGTTGTTTACAATATCAGTGAGTGTCGTGTCCTCGTGCAATCGGCCCATGGCTAACCAGACTACAGTTGCGATACCCTTCCTCTACGTCCCGCCTCACAAGCTCCGAACTCCTTTCAAGGTCTGCATGACCATCAGTGCCCTAACCATCTTTTCCATGTCTGTAGGCCTGATGGCGGCAGCGCATGGTGCCGGGGATCTCGTTCACACTGGTGTGTCCGTATCAGGCGGCTCACAGCTCGGATGGGGCTGGGTCCACGGCATCACCACTGTGATCGGCTCCGGAGTGGTGGGAATGACCAGCCAAAGTGATTTTAACAGGTTCGCCCGAAGACCCGGTAACCAGGTCTTTGGGCAAACCTTTGCCGTCTTGTTCTTTGGCAACCTCGTCCCGCTTTTCGGCCTCCTCGGTACGTCTGCTGCGGGAAAGCTCTACGGCGACATTACCGAGTTGGGTCTGTGGAATCCGCCAGCCATTGTAGATGTTTGGCTCTCCACCAGCTACCACAGTCCCAAGATGAGGGCCGCCTCGTTTTTCACCTCCTTCGGCTTACTTTGCAGCACTCTGGCCTTGAACACGGTGGAGAACGGGATTTCGGGTGGCATGGATTTTGCAGGGCTCCTCCCGCGCTACTTTAACATTCGAAGAGGCTCCTACGCCATTGCCATTATTGGCATCCTCATCCAGCCGTGGCAGATTGTCAGCAAGGCTTCTGTCTTCACCGCCGTCCTCAGCAGCTTTGGCGTCATCCTTGGTCCATTGATCGGGGTCTTCACCGCCGACTTCTTCATCGTGCGCAAGCGCAGAGTCAAACTTTCCGACCTTTACAATCCTTCTCCGGACAGTATCTATTGGTTCTGGCATGGCTTCAACTGGAGAGCCTTTGTGGCCTGGTTTCTTGGATTTGCACCGTTTGTCCCTGGAATTGCCTCGGTCAATCCGGCAAACGATGGAAAACTTCCCATCGGCTTGATCCAGACATTCTACACGGGGTTTCTGACCGGCTATGTCATCGCCTTTGCGATTCATGTCCTTCTCAACCGTATCTCGCCTCCTTTCGCTCAATACGAAATTGACGAGTACGATGTTTTTGACTCATTCGAGCCGGACGAAGCGGCCAAAATCGGTATGTTGAAGATTGGCGACACCCGCGGTGAGGACGTACCCGGCTTCACCATGACCACCGACGAGCGAAAAGAGCCTTTGCACAGCTGGTCTCGGGCGTGATTATGCTCTTTGGGGTGACATTATTGGTAGTGCGAAGTAGTAGGGTTGAATATCGTTGTATAATACAGGATGTGGCCACTCTCGATGGCTACCTCTTTGATTCTAGATATTTATCCAACTCATTCACAGGCTCCAAGGACGGTGGATTAGGCACTCGCGCACGCCAGGTTTCCTTGCCATTTTCATAAACAACAAGCGTTGGCCACCATACAACATCGGCCGCTTTTTGCGCGGCTGCTCCAGACTCTTCTAGCCCATTGATCTAGGTACAGTCAGTAGCTCCCCACACAAAGCGATTGCGTGCATGACTGGCAGCAATAAGGACGTCCAGCGAACCTTGAAAAACCGGATATTGGCGTTTTCCGGCTTCGCAGCAATCTTCTCATAAAAGGGCGCAATCACCTTGTCGTTGTAGTATGTCAGAATTCGACCGGTCATCATCGCCTCAAATTCGCCTTCTCACCTTGCAAGGTGGACACTGGGTGGAATAAAAATCGATAACAGCTATGCCAGGCTTCTCCAGCTCAAGTGTGTAGGCTTCCAGGTCCGACAGCTCCGCGATGGCAGCCATATTGATGTTGGAAAAGGACGATTACAGCCCCGACCACAAATCAAGTAGAGCGACAACAATCAGTAGTAGGTCTAAATATAAGAAGGAATCGGCTTCTTCAAGGGGGGGACTATCCGCCCGAATTACTGACACCAAGGCTGTACTTTGTAAATGTCGAAATATTCTGCTACTATGGCGTTATTTTCTTCCAGACCTATAGATATATTTATCGAAGCTAGAATCTCCACCGGCTTCTAATAGATCTCTTTAGCTTAACCACTAATCTTTATAAACTTATTGTCTGCTGTATTTGTTAATTAGGGCCTGTTTGGCACCATCTTTATCTGGATCTGGATGTGAAGACAGAAAAGCAGAACGTGGGCAGCCCCGGGGACGCGCTCATCGAGGGCTGCCTCTACCGGCACATGCTCCGGTAATGGGACGAATAGGCTGGGCCGAATGACGCCGGTGAAATGACAGACATCGCCGCCTAGGGACATGAATGTCTCTGGTGTTGTTCTGACCAGCGCTGAGATGTGGCCGATCGCATGACCCGGTACGCTCAGAATATACAAGCTTCTATATCCAAAGTAGTCCTAGGCCTGAAAATGACCGATCTAGAAGTGATCGGTAAAGGGGACTTCCATGACCTCACGCTCTTCAAAATCGGCTTCATGGAACAGCAAATCTTCTTAGAGGGAACCTAGCATCAACTTTGGCTGACGAATATTATCGCTCACTCACCAAGACAACCGCGTAGACTGTCCCTGCATCACCAGTAGAGTGGAATCGCAAATATTATAGTAGGTTATAATTGCAATTTGCACAACTTCTTATGCAATCGACCATAGGATGTGGAATACAGGGCTTCCCGTTCGCTCAGCCGTACTTAAGCCACATGCCGGTCAGTTAGTACTGAAGTGGGTGACCATTTGGGAATCCTGACTGTTGATTGTTTTTGCCGTTTTGTACATTGAATCCGTCCATCTAGTTACCCTTCAGTTTTTTTATATCTATTTCAGTCTTGGACAACATGCGAAAGGGCTCTCATGAGAGCAACATCGACCTTCCTGATAATTTTTTCCGTCCAGGGGCAGGGTCATACTACCATCGATCAGCCCCGCTCTGGTATTATTGGCCAAATTCTCCTATCACCCAGAATCTCTACGTATTGGTAGGTATCTACATCCAACATCCCGACTGAAGTATATGGGATGTGTGTATGTTTGTGGATTTCTTTACTGAAGATGGGTCCAGAGTATACAGGGATAGACACATATATATAACCCGGATAGATGTCTAGTAAGCTAGATAAGGGTGATTAGTTGTCTCATATATCTACGTTCAATGCCCTGCTGTATTGAAATGGACATTTCAGTCAGACCGACTGACTATACTCCCTCTCCTAACGCTCTCCTCCCCTCCGCACTGATCGTGTCGATCGGCAAGGCTCCGATCATATTCCTCTCGTTCTGCTTGCTCAGTACAAGCTCGGTGCCCGTGCCGTCGAGGTACTTGTAATCATCTGGGGGGTTTCCAGCCAGCAGATCCCTCCAATGTCGACGGATGTATTCTTTGTTGTCGGGCGTCGAGGGCGCGGCGGGGATGTAGACGACGGCTGCGGGCCGGGTGCCGTTGTGGGTGGTTTCGACGGCATGGCACATCTGTAGGTCAACGATCAGCGACTTGTCCACTAGCAATTCCTAATGTCACATATGAGGTTCAATGCAGGATCTCAATCCTAATCACAATCCTAATCCTAATCCACAAGTTCCTTCGAGGATTACTTTGTTCGTTGTGACTCGGGAGCTGTTTCCAACGTCGTTGTTGGATCAGACTGAAAACTTACATCTGCATGCCACCAGATGGTGTCGCCGGGATACACGGTCGGGACGCTGACCAGCGTATCTTCCAGATGGAGATGAGGGTGGCTGGCGGGACTCAAGAGCTGGGCGTCCATCGGGTACGTGCCGGGAAACCAGGATGAGTCGTCTAGCTCCCATTTCTCAGGATCTTTCCAATCGTTGCCTTGGTCAGTATCCTTGTGCCGGGGGTCTTTGAAGAACGGTCGCAGAATCATGTATGCCGTGGCCAGATGTATGTCCGGCATAACCATGAGGCCGCCCTCACCTGGGCTACATTCAGTTAGGGCGGTCCAGCCTTGGAAATTGCGTAGAACAGTGCACATTGCGCCGCCGGGGAACATGCTGGGCTTGGCCACTCGTCGATGCGAAAGGTCGTATGGGTCGTACTCCTCCGGATGGCCGGACAGGATCTTGTGGTACGTGTGTCGGTACTCGTCGTCAGCCCATCTCGACAACGAGCCGCCGTCGATGTGAGGGCCCAGACCGTCAAAGTCCTGGCCGGGCTGCCTGACGCGCAGGGCATCCGGATACAAAATGGGCTCGCATTGCGCTTTTTCCTCCTCGGGTGAGATCGTGGGGTCGGTGAACAGCGAATTCAGCAGCCGCTGGAGTTGGAGCTGGTTCGGGTGCGTACGCAGTTTGAGCTGCACGGGACTTTCATATAGATGGAAGATGGCCGGGGTCTGTTTGGGCCAGCCTGTAATAGTGTCGGCGTTTTGGGCGATAAAGGTCTGCAAATCCTCGAGGTGCTGCGTGGCTTCCTCTTGGGGGATCACTCCGCGGATGATGCAGCATCCTACGGCCCTGATCCGCTTGAGAGCCTGTTCATTGTCGAAGTTGCTCTTATAGCCACTGGATATGATCTCGTCGTATTCAAACACCGGCACCGAATCAACACCCGTCGCGGCGATACGCGAGGTCACGGAGCTCAGCGCATTGCACGTCTTGATCCATGCCTGCCGCAGCGCCTCCGCTCCGTACTCTGCAATGATGGCCTTCTTGAGATCTGAAGAAACCGTGTCTTTGGGGTTGCAGTCCTTGGGCGTGAACGAAGGCCAGCCCTCCGGCCATTTCGGTTGCGATATGAGACCGGGCATGATCTCCTCGGTAGCGGTCCTGGGATTGCAAGTGAAGGGTTCAGTCCTGGGGCAGTTTCAAGAACAGGAACATGTGTCACATATGGTCGGTAGTCGGCAATAACGACAAGTTTGAAAGAGAGAAAAAGGGGGGCTGGACTATGGACTGTTAAGGTATAGGGAAACAAAATACACAGTGAACTCTCTCACCTTCCATTCTTGATGAGTCTCTGTAGTCCTTATCAGTGAAGCTTTCTCAATCCTCCATGACTAGTATTATTTAGTTAGATGTCATCCTTCTCCTAGCCTTCCCTGACGACGGTAACGAGTTTAAGCTTGGTCGCGATCGGCCTAAGCGACCAATTAAACCGTGTCAATCGCAATGCTTATCTCGGCCACCTGCACGATGGTGGGCACACGGAGAAGTGCTGTGGTGCGGCCACTGGCATCTAGGTGCCTCGCGCGGAGTTGGCCAGGAGTAGGCCGCTGATTGCTTTCCGGTTGCTGCTTATGGTGCCCTCGATATTACTGCATTTGGAGTTGGTCTATCAGTCCAGTTGAAGGATGAACCAGTTACCGTGCAGCCTTGTCTCCATCCAAAGACATTGGTTCCACAACCATATTGTCAGTCCTCTGATGCACACGAGTGTTCGTCCTGCCGCCTTGACGGATGGGTTTGCTCGTCGATAAGGGAGAGTCTAATGTAGAGTGCTCCGCATAGTAGATTGCGGCAAGATAACAGACAAGATAGGAAAAGATATGTAGTGAGGTACAAGTACACCCCCTGATCTCCTCCCTCTATAGAGAATAGCTCTAATACTGTCGAGTATTTCGGATCATAATAAGCATCTTCCAAAGTTCCCAGTACACCATAGTCAGTAGCGGGATCTATGGAGTCGAAACCGGCAGAGACGCATGTCGTCGAAGGACGACTTTCGCCAACGTCGTCTCCCCAACCGGACAGCCCAGAGACACGACAACGACAGTATGTATCGAAACTGGTACCCTCGGATCCCAAGCACGTTACTGTGCTATTCTTCCTGGTTGCCACGTTCCAGGCGGTCATCAATGGATATTGCACGTCGATGATGAACGCGCTTAATATCCTCCCCTCATATACCGACTACTTTACTCTCACCACCGCCACGCTGTCATTGAATACAGCATCCGTGTGGGTGGGTGGGATCGTGGCCGGATTCTTCTCCGGCCAGTTCTGCGACTGGCAAGGTCGCAAATGGACCATGTTCTGGTCTGCGGTGCTGTGCATCATCGGCGCCATCATCCAGACAGCGGCTCAGAACATCGGCATGTTCGTAGCTGCTCGCATCATCATTGGCCTGGCTTGTGGGCTCGCAGGGGTGGGAGCATCAACATATCTCGGCGAGACGGTGGCGGTGCAACATCGCGCTTACATCCTCGGGTACTTCTGGGACTGTTGGTTTGTCGGGTCGTTGATCTCGGCCGGAATCACATATGGCACCAAGGACATTCTCAGTACGTGGGCCTGGCGGGCTCCTTCGCTGATCCAGATCGCACCGCCGCTGCTCGCCATCGGCATCCTTCCGTTCATTCCCGAGTCGCCGAGATGGTTGGTCTATCAGAACCGCGTGGACGAGGCCCTGGAAGTGCTGGCTGTGTCCCACGCCTGGGGCGACAAGACAGACCCCGTCGTCGTCACAGAGTACCGTGAGATCACCCAGACGCTCGAGTTCGAGAAGACAAACGGCTCGACTTCGGTTCTCGAGATCATCCGCACCCCTGGAAACCGGAAACGCATCATGCTGTGCCTGAGTGTGGCCATCTTCTCGATGACCATGGGCAACAATGTCGTGTCATACTACCTTGGGACCATGCTCGAGCAGGCCGGCGTCACAGACATGAACTCTCAGCTGCAAGTCAACATTGTCATGTCGGTATGGTCGCTTCTATGCGCCTTTGTCGGTACTGTCTACGTCGACAAGCTCGGTCGACGCTGGATGGTCATCCTGTCCACTGCCTCCGCCACAGTCTTTCTCTTCTTAACAGGCGCGTTCTCCGATCTTTATGGTAATAGCACCAATCAGTCAGGTTCTTATGCAGCCGTGGCCATGATGTTCCTATTTATGGGGTCATACTCAGCCGGCTGGACACCGCTTTCGTTCATGTACCCGGTCGAAGTGCTGAATTATTCCACTAGAGCGACAGGCATGGCATTGTATACCTTCTGGGCGAATGGTATGGGGTTGATGATCACCTTTGCCTTCCCCTATTCATTTGATGCCATTGGGTGGAAGACTTACATGATCAATGCCAGCTTCAATGTCTTGACATTGATCTACGTCAGCATCTACTGGGTAGAAACTAGCGGGAGGAGCTTGGAAGAGGTTGATGCTCTCATGGATGGAGAAAAGCATGCCGATGTGCCGGACGTGCTGGATGTCTTGAAAGGGAAGGTGACTGTTTGAGGTGAGGAAAGAGCATTGATGAGCAAGGGATATTAGTAGATGGTAGAAGCTTGAAGACATCGACTGCCAGTCACATAGCATGCAATCATAGACTTTGTTTCACAGAAAGTCAGAAACACTGTCGCGTTCGGCATGTCCAGCAAGAACAAATTGAGACTCCACTGGATACGGATGTTGTTCATATCCAACCAGAAAGTCCTCAGCATGGTGTGTGAATTCAGGGGGGGCGCCGGGGACGGGACGCCGGAAAGTTGACTATTCCAGCCATGCTCCGGCGAGGTCAATATACAATGACCAGGATCCATGCATCTCTCCACCTACCCACCTTTCCCCAGACTATCATTTTGGCAGGGATCACCGGGAATTGTCCTGTCGATCCGTGTGGAGATGACATCGAATTACAACCTTTGTTTCTTCTCAGATTCGGCATCGTGGCAAGACATAACCAAGTTGAATCTTCGGCAAGTCATCTCAGCCTTCGTCCACCACCGGCCCGGACTTCCACGATGCGAATACTATATATGTTTTCTCTGGAGAGTGTCTAAAGTTCAGGATTTCTGAACCCTAGTATACGGCCGCCAGTGATTCTGGTTTCTCTCCATCAGAAACTCCGTCAAAACGGTCAAGATGAAGACACCACTCCTGTTGTCAGCATTCTTCCTTCTCCTATGCATGTCGTCATCCGCTCCTACGACGGCGCCCGCTGCGACAAATGTATATACATATGCATACTTCAACAACGACACTATCTTCCTGTCGCCTCCTAACTACACCTCCCCAGGAACGTTGTACGCGCGGACAGTCCAGCTGGGCGACAAATCGCTGCTCGCTACGTGGGAAAACTACTCGCCTGAGCCACCGAGCGTATCATTCCCAATCTTCCGCTCGACCGACAACGGCGTATTATGGACCAAGATCTCTCAGGTCGAGGACACCAGCGGCAACAACTACGGTATGCGCTATCAGCCGTTCCTGTATGTCTTGCCACAAAACTGGGCCAACTGGACGGCCGGGACCGTCTTCCTTGCCGGCAACTCTATTCCGACAGACCTCGGCTCGACGAATCTGCAACTGTACGCGTCGCGCGATGGCGGCTGGGGCTGGGAGTTTGTCAGTAGCATTGCTAAGGGTGGCGAGGCTGTACCTGACAATGGGCTGACGCCGGTATGGGAGCCGTTCTTGATGCTGTATGGGGCGACAGACAACGACAGCAGCAACAACAGCCAGAATAGTAACGGCCATGACGGTGACACACAAGACATTCTGATTTGCTATTACTCAGACCAGCGAGATCCCGCATACGGCCAGAAACTCGTACATCAAACCACCACCGACGGAAAAGTGTGGAGCGACGTCGTAACCGACGTGGCATATCAAAACTACACCGATCGACCGGGCATGCCGGTTGTCGCTCCGATAAGCGGGAGCTCCAAGCCTGAATACATTCTGACCTACGAGTACGGTGGTGGCCCTGTCAATGGCGTACTCCCCGTCAACTATACCTTCCCGGTCTTCTACAAGATCAGCTCAGACCCGACACAGTTCGGCCAAGTGGAGGGGCTTCCTGTCGTGGCGAATGCGAATGCGAATGGGAACACCAGTCTAAATGTACCCACCGTGCCAACCAGCAGCCCCTACGTGATCTATGATGAAAAGAACGACTTGATCATCGTCAGTTGCGGCACGCTGAGTCAAGTCTTTGTCAGTCAGGCTGGTGCTGCCAGGAGCGAAGACATTGGGACCTTGGTCTGGGAGAGCAGAGATACGGGTGAACAGGTCAGTTACTCGCGAAGTCTGAATCTCATCTATTTGGACGATTCGGGTCGCGAGTGGACCAGTAACAGTGGTAGGGATGGTAGTAGTAGTAGGGCTTTGCTCATTGCCGGTGGAGGAATGTTGCCGTCTTCGCAGACTCCGGGCCAGCGCAACACGGTCACTGTCGGATTGGTGGAAGTTGCTTGATGTTGATACCTTCCTCTTCTTGCAACGTGTGCGACCGTGGCATGACCTTTTTATGCCGCCACCCCTTGCAACACCAATTCCAGGACACAATGCACAACAATGCAGGATTCGTGGTGTCCTTCCTGAAATCAAGAGATGGAGCGCCCATTAGTGTCCTCGAGTCTTGCACCACTTCTGCGTGACACACTTGGTTTCGGTTACAGCCGGTCATCAGCGTGTGTGCCATCGGGTATATGGTACCAAGTGCACTGTGTGGTTTGGGGTACACGGGGTCTTCGTCTATACAGTCTATAGCTCAGGGGTAGGGTTAACCCACGGATATAGTATCGAAGCTAGAGTCCCACTGGCTTCCTATAAACCTCTTTAGCTTGATCACTAACCTTTGTGACTATCCTCGAATATTGTCGAACCAAGCCGCTACCTACAAAGGCGCTATAGTAGGCGAAAAGATACCAGGGCCAAGGATCAAAAGTAACGACTCCGCTCCCACCCAGTGGAGAGGTGACCTGAGATACACCTTTGCCTGTGGCACCTCCGCTTCGGCCCTTCTTTAGCACAATATTGTATCGATTACATTGTGAAGTCAAAACGAGAGTCAGCTCGTGCTGCCATCGTGCCCGGGGACCAAAGCTACCGATATTGTGGTCGTTGACTTCCTCGGTCGACGAGTGCATCAGATCCGCTAGCTACCCCCTTCTCTCTGCAACCTCTAGCGAGTTTACTGGGGGTATATACCACTTGCAAACCCCTAGCGACGACGAAGAAATTACAGTTTAGTCCTCAGTATTTACAAAACTTGGAGACACAACGTATCTAAACTATCTACCAGTGTACTTGATCTCCAGAAATCTCAGGGGAACGAAAGTCAACACTGAAAAGATACCGCTGAAGATCCAGCCGAGCTCAGCCCCGTCAGGCTTAATGGCCTTGGCCACGACACCGACATACCACGTCTGATCCATAGAGAGCACCGCGCCCACAAATCCCATGGCGATGGCGAGGAACCCGGCAATGCCATGGGGGATGACTTTCATGTTGTTCCAATCCTCCAACGGCAGCTTCTTCTTGCGAAAGTAGAAGTATTCAATGGGCACAATGCACAGGAAGGGTGTCCCCGTGTACCCGATGACTGACAGGAACGACTCCAGCACTTGGGCAAATGAATTCTCCGCCGCAATGGCAATCGCGATGAAGATGGCCGAGCCTGCAATAGTCCATATAAAGCGTGGAACCTTGAGCATGATCGGATGGAAGTTCTGACAGGAGAAGGCGAGCGAGTAGTTGTTGACCAGGTTGCACCCGATGATGCTCAGAGCGGAGAGAACCAGCAAGAATTTCCCAAACCCGCCCAACGGCTTTAGTGCCTGACCCATGATGCCGCCGATGCCTCGAGCTTCGTAGGCGGCGGCGAATTTCGGGTCTGCCGCCACCGCAGTCATGTAGGCCGCTCCGAGGATTTCGGGGATGGAACAGCCGAAAAAGTTGCCCGCCCAAATGGACAAGGTGAGGTTTCGTTTGCTGGTGGTGACAGGCATGCGTACGTTGTAATCGGCAGCCATCTGGGCCCAGCCGGCCACAAAGCCATAGATGACGGCAATGAAGGACATGACGGACGCGGCTTCGGCCGATCCAGAGCCCATTGGAAGGGCGCCGGCGTCAAAGTGCTTCGCCCCGTATCCGGTGAGAAAGAGAAAGATGAGGACCTGTGGCATCCAGCAAAACCGTTCGAAATAGTGGACGGCGTAGTAGCCGAAGAGCGAGATGATGGCCGTGCATATCCCGATGACCAAGTTGCCCGCCCACATGGGACAATTGCCGTCCGAGAGCTCATTGAGGACCTGTGCTCCAGCAATTGCGTTCACGCTCGACCAGCCGACGGCACCGCAGATTCCAAGAGCGATGACGGCCCGGGTCCCCCACTGGCCAAAGGCATACCGGCCGACAGACATGGTACGGAGACCTGTGATAGGCCCGAAGCAGCCAAAAAGCCCGACCACGAAGCTGACGAAGAAGTTGACCAGCACAATGACGGCAAATGAATCCCAGAAGCCGAGCCCGAAGATGGCGCCCAGTGTGCCGGTCGCAAAGGTGGATGGACTTGGAGTGATTTAGTATTGTTCCTTTACCTGGCACAGTGCTGTACTGTACGGTGTACAATGCGTCTTTCTGACTGCAGGGGGGTCGCGACACGTACGTGAAATTGGCAGATGCCCAAACAGTAAATCCATCGAAAACGCTCTGCTTGACTCTGTCTTCTTCCAACACCCGTTCTATCCCTCTTTCCTCGATGTGCAAATAACTGGCAGCCTTGAGCAATGGGCTGAACCATCCTTTCGAGGCCTCGACGCGGTCGAGGTTGTCAACCTGGCTTGTGAACCCCCTCTTGCCCCAAACGGTGCCTTCGGCTTCGTCCGCAAAGCCTGGCCCGGTGCTGCTCACCGTTCCGCCCTTTTCGGGGTCCAAGCTATTCATGGTCGTGAATCCGCAGAGCAATGGCTACAACGGCGGCTTCGAACTTGAGGAGGCGCCAATAAGCTTCACAAAGGCACCGGCAAAGGTCAGGAGTAGCAACCTCCACGACTTCAATACACTATTCTTAGAGTAGAGTTGAAGAGTCCTTTATTCTCTATCATAGGGGCCTGGGGGGCACCTTGACTATGTTGAATAAATAGTAGAGACTTGTAGATCAGGCTGGGGAATGCTCCTTAATATTTTGACAACTATTAGTGTTCATCTTATCGCTCTACTAACCCTGTCTGTCCCGTAGTTCACCCCAGACCATCGAGAACTCGGAGCATACCGATGATAAGACACCTTAACTCGGGCATACTTTCCCCAGTCTGCAGGTCCTAGGTCAGTCCGGACCCCGCAACGTCGACTAGACGAACGATAAGGCTGTCCAACTTGATATTGGGACACCTGCTATCCCCCCACCTGACTAACGTTACCGGGGTAAGCCTCACTGATCTTATCTTCGTCGAGCGCTGAATTCCATACACAGAGACATGGCACTTACCCAGTTGCTCCCTAATATCTTGGTACTCGGTCAAATCCACCAGTAATACAATTTTCCGCACATATACGGATACTCTACAGAGGATATAGGAGGACGTCTGTTGCTAGCTATCTAGGCGAGCTCCGGCACCCTCTTGGACACCAAAAAGTGCGTGCAGCCAAGCAGCCAGCGTCTCTGTTTCACCGGCGTGTGAAGACTAAAACCAGGCACGGTTGCACGGTGATACTTCCGAGCTTGTCAAAGACTACACGGGGTGAAATGGTCGTCGAGAACTCGTTCACCGTCCATCCTTTTGGATACCATGGCACCTTCATTCACGCTGCATCTGTTGGAGAGCTCGAAATCATTGAGCAAGGCCTTCTAGTCGTCGACGCAGCGGGGAGGATCGCATTGCTCGAGAAAGACATCCTGCCAAGCAACATCAAGGATACACTGGCAACAAATGGGTTCAGCACGTCTACCCCCGTCCAGGTCTTGGCCAGGGGCCAGTTCCTCATCCCAGGTCTGATCGACACGCATAACCATGCTCCTCAATGGACCCAGCGGGGCACCGGACGCGGGAGGCTGATCATGGACTGGCTCAACACAGTGACTTTCCCACACGAGGCCAGGTTTGCCGATCCCGAGTATGCCAGGAACACCTACGCATCCTGTGTGGACGGATTCATCAGGCAAGGAGTCACGACAGCATCGTACTATGGCTCCTTGCATGGTGAGGCTACCAAGATCCTGGCCGAGACCTGCCTGGAAAAGGGCCAAAGGGCCCTGGTGGGCAAGTGCAACATGAATCGGAATGCTCCCGATTTCTACAAGGATGCCAGCGCCGCCGAGTCTTTGCAGGTCACCGAAGATTTCATCGCCCACGTGCGCAAGATCGACCCGACCTCACGCCTCGTCACCCCGATCTTGACTCCTCGGTTCGCCATTTCGTGCGATGCAGAGGTTCTCTCGGGGCTGGGGGATATCGCAGCGAAGAATCCAGATCTGCCCATCCAAACTCATTTTGACGAAGCCACGCAAGAAATGCAGATCACCAAGGAGCTCTTTCCTGAGTTTGAGAATGAAGCCGATCTCTACGAGCATTTCGGGCTGCTGAATAACCGGTCGATCTTGGCGCATTGTATCTATGTCGGAGAGTATGAAATGGGCCGGCTGAAGGCCCTTGACTGCGGCGTTGCTCACTGTCCCGTCTCGAACACGACGGGTGGAGAGTTTGGAATGGCCCCGATGCGCGAGTATATCCGAAGAGGCATCAAGGTGAGCCTGGGCACGGATAGTGGAGGCGGCTATTCTTCCTCGATTATCGATGCCATGAGACAAGCTTTCGTGGTGTCCACGGCCAGAGAAACACTGTCCGGTGGCAAGGACCCATCTCTGTCGATTGCCGAGTGCTTCTTTATGGCCACCTTGGGAGGAGCACAGGTATGCGGCCTCGACGACAAGATCGGAAACTTTGTGGTGGGCAAGGAGTTTGACGCCTTGGAAATTCACACTGTCGGTCAGAATTCTGGTATCATCACCCCTGTCGAGGATGTCGACCAACTCCCAGACCTCTTTGAAAAGTTCATCATGAGCGGTGACGAGAGGAACATAGTCAAGGTGTATGTTAGAGGGAGATCAATCAAGAGTTAGACATTGAGGCATCCAAAATAAACCAGAGTTGAGATTCCAGGCCCCCTTTTTTGCTCTTTCCCACTTTATCCTCTCAAAGTCCCACAATTAAGTTTTGTCTGAAAGGGCTGGTTGCCAAATCACTTCTTCCTTTACCTGTTTACCTGCAAAGCACATGCTTCAACACATCTTCGAGCTTTTGGTCAATATCCGGAGGAATGCCCCACGCACGCCAGGCAACAAATCCATCGGGGCGAATCAACGTTGCTCCTCTGATAGAGATACCAGCCGCCGACTCCCAGGCACCCTCGGGCGCCACCAGTTCGCAAGCAGGTCCGGCACAGTACGCCACGATGTCAAGAGCCAGATACGAAGCTACCCTCGGGGCAGCCTCACACCACCCATTTCCATCCGCTCCCGCAATAATCACAAACCTCTTCCCGAGCAAATCAAGCGTGGACACCCGACGGCCCTGGTGCTCTACCCAGATGTGTGGACTGCGAGACCCGGCTGATCCGCACAGGCCGAGAACCTGGGACACAGATGGCAGTAGTCGCGTCATCCTCCATAACAGAGGTGTAGTATCCTCCGTCCAGACTGCCTCGGAGGCATAGACATAGCCATATCCTGGGAGCCTTGGTAGTCGACGGACCAAGCCCAGTATTGCTGGGATGTTTTTCTGCATGGAGAACAAGCCATACTTGTCGGATGCGGCGCCTGATTCCTCAGCAACAAGACGCCCGATAGGATGCCGTTCAGCATCGTAAGTTCCTAGCAGTGAGGCTGTTGCTTGTCCGTGTAGGACTGCTGCCAGCTTCCAGGCTAGATTGTGAACATCTGCGATGCCGGTGGTTGCGCCTTGCCCGCCCCAAGGTGGCATTTGGTGGGCTGCATCTCCAGCAAGAAACACCCGTCCGTGTTGGAATGTCTCTGCAACCCGTACAGTCGGTTCCCAGGGCAGAATACTTTTGATCTCAAGTTCAACGTCGGGCAAGCCAAGAGCAATTTTGATCAGCTCCTGGCAGCGATCGGGGGGGAAGTCTTCAATCCTTTGCCCCTTTTGGGAATCATAGGCAAGGTGGAACACCCATCGTTCGCGATTATTGATGGCCGTAAACAAACCCCTCACTTCTGGTCGGTCAACTGAGCACATGCTGATCTCACGACCCCGTACTAGCTCGCCGAGATCGGCTTCAAACAGGATGTTCAAGAGATGTCCCAGTGTCCCAGCCCCGGTGGTCTGGACACCAAGCTGTCGCCGAACTGGACTGCCAGCCCCATCAGCAGCAATCACGTACGCTGCATGAACGGTAAGTTCGACATTCCTTGACCGGTCGCGCAACGTTGCAGATACGCCATTGGCGTCCTGCTCGAGGGTCAGGCATTCGGTGTTGAATCGCAGGTCGCCTCCCCGATCACGAGCAGCTGTTAGTAGAACGGGCTCGATCATGTCTTGTGTTCCCCGGATTCCCTCGACTGGGCCAAGAGAGCTGGAGAATGCCGCCCCTGGCAATTTGCGCGGCTCCGACCTTTCTTTGCGGGTAAGGCCTTCGACAACTTCGACAATGGACGAGCCATGATAGATGCCCCAGCTAGGCGCCAGAGATGCGCCTGCGGCCCGAACAGCCTCGTCGATCCCTAGCTCGCGGTACAGCTCCATTGTTCGGCGGTTGAGTCCACGGGCTCGTGGATGGATAGAGGTGCTCGCATGGCGCTCGACCAAAAGCGACTCGACACCATGGCTGGAGAGAAAAAGAGAAGCTGAGAGCCCGACTATACCACCTCCAACAATCAAAACTGGAATGTGGATGGACGACATAGTCGTTGGTCAATTCGTCTAGACAGTAACAAATGACAGGAAGGACATGGGATCGAAGCAAGAGTAAGTAGGCTTTTGCATGTAGTGACTGAATGAATCCAGGGGATCGGAAGATCATTTCAGCAACCAAAAGTACATAGGCCCTTGGCCTGTCCTAAGCCCCGGGTCCGATCCCCTTGTCCACTCCACATTCCCGGAGTGGGTTTCCGGGCCCGGGCCCTGACTCGACCGGACGGGCCCGGGGAGGCCACCACCACCCGAGGAGCCAACCCACTGCCCAGCCAAGAGAGTACGGAGTACGGAGTACTGTATATATATAGGTGCCTACATAACAAGTAGCTCAAGTTGTTACTAGTCAACAATAGCATGAGATGTTGTTAGGATAATAACCTAGGTCTAGCCTGAACTCTTCATGTAGGTTGAATGATCTTCCTTTCTCCCTTTCAGATAGTCCTACCAGACTTGTCCAATGTTCTGTTTGTAGGTCCGGCCCAAGTAGGTTTCTGGTCTGACTCAAAACCTTGCATTCAGAATATGCTCAAACTCTCTATTCCTGACTTCCAGCACTTTCCAAGCATTGTAGCTGAGACTGAGCCTGGCGCCCAATTTTTGTGGTTCAGGATTCCTCTCGTAAAGAGCCACGGAGAGGAATGGCTGGGACAATGCGATGGCTAATGCGAAACTTGCAGGCACGCTACCGACAATGGCAACGTCAGCGACCGGTTGGTATTGAGCCCATAACTATGGACTTTCGGGCATGGTTACTCCCACTGCCATGCATTTCGAGATGGGGTGATCCAAATCTAGGATCTATAGGTTGTGGGTTTCGTGGTGACAGCACGCCATTCTAGAATAGACGGTCGCCATCTCCCCCACCACGGTCCCTAAAGCTTCGCATCGTCACGAGGATTGGCTGTACACGGGTTTCCCACCCTTGGTAGATATTGTTCAGCGTGCAATATCTCAAAGCTTTGATCACATTGGCAATTGAGGGGGTTACAAGCTCAGTGGACTGGCTTAACAATGCGCGATTCGGGAGCCTCCGTATTCATTCGCAACGACAAATAAAGGCCTTGAAGCTGGGGAAAGTGAGTGGCCAGTCTCCTGATACTCGTCCACATCATTTAGGAGATCGATGGGAATCTAGACTACGGTAGCTGCAGACGGCTACTTATCTTTTTGATGCAGAAGTGCAGCTTTTGGACCCCAGACTGCAACTATCAAAGTTGCGTTGTTTAGAACGGATATGGCACAATTTCTTGCCACCCCTGGTCCCGAGCTACAAATCGGCCGCGGCAGCCAACAGCTAGTCCTATGTATGAATCGCATTGGATGTGTCGGGCACAACACCTCTCACGCTGAAGTTGTTGTCCCCATTCAACCATCATTGTTTCTTTGCCAACGTGCACAATATGTCGAAGGGTGTTGAACCGACCGTTGAGCCCTACGATCAAGGCAGCAACATCCAATCCCAGGCCGAACCGCAAAGAACATGGAAGGGTTACATCTGGGACACATTTGACAAATCAGCCGAGGAGCGACGATTTCTGTTCAAGCTCGATTTGGGATTGCTGACATTCAGTTGCTTGGGTACGTGATACAATGAACTCAACGTTCAGTCTATCATTATCAACATCACGTCGCCGACGGAAGTGGCTCTCCTACTGACTGGGAGCCAACCAACAGGATACTTCATCAAGTTTCTCGATCAGGCAAACCTTAACAATGCCTTCGTGTCGGGCATGTGGGTGGAATCTAAACTTCGGTCGCCGCGAGGGCCACAGCTGAGCTTCAAATAGGAAGGAAGACCTGTCCATGTTGGGCAATCAATACAACTACGCGGTGACCATCTGGACGGTCGGCTACATTCTGGGCGAGATTCCCAGCAATCTACTTCTCACGCGCATCCGGCCCTCGATCTGGATTCCATCCTGCCAACTTGTATGGACGGTGCTGACCATGTGCTTGTCTCGAGTCACCAACGTCCACCAACTCTATGCCCTGCGCTTCTTAATTGGGCTGGCAGAGGCGGGCTACTTCCCGGGCGTTCTATACATGATCGGATCTTGGTATGGTAAAGACGAGATTGCCAAACGATCCTGTATCTTCCATGTTTCAGGCGGCATAGCCACCATGTTTTCGGGCTACCTGATGACGGCCGTCATCAGTCTCGGAGGAACGGGTGGTCTCAAAGGCTGGCAGTGGTAGGTCTTTCGCCCAATGGATATGGTCCATATACCCAGACAAGTTGCTGACGGCTGTGGTGACAGGTTGTTCATCATGGACGGAGTGATTTCTCTGCCAATTGCGTTCGCGAGCTTCTTCATGTTCCCCGATCTGCCGTACAATTGCCGTGCATGGTATCTGAATGAACATGTAAGCGACTAGCATCCCTTGGCTTACACATGCTCTTGCTAAAACACAAACGCCGTACAGGACAGGATACTCGGCAAAAAGCGTATGGAGCGGATTGGCCGCGTGGCGAGACAGCCCTTCACCAAGCAGAAAGTACTCAATATTTTCTCACGATGGCACATTTGGGTTATGCCGCTCCTAACCATGTAGGTTCCCTTTTCTTTATTTGGACAAAAAAAGCCACATGTTGACGTTGTTCACAGCTTTGGAGGTGGTGCAGGAGCTGTAGGGCAGCCCATCTTTGCGTTCTATCTCAAAGCCCACAAGCATCCGAAATACACCATTCCTCAGATCAACAACTATCCCACCATCACCGCCGCCATCCAAATCGTCGCCACGCTGCTGTATGCGTACATATCAGACGGCCCCTTGAACGGTAGAAGATGGCCCGTGATGCTATTTTCAGCGGTATGTTCTTCTCTTTGCGGGATTTCGCATGACCTACCTTACCTTCCACGGATTAAGGAGGTGGACTAATCTTGCTCTATCACAGACAATCAGTCCCGTCTTCTGGATCTCCCTCGCTGTTTGGAATATCTCCGAGGGATGGCGGTGGGCCTGCTACATCTTGAGTGGACAGGTCCTTGCAATCGTGCCGTTGACTTTGACGTATGTATCCCCCTTCCCCTCGCTACATAATAGCTTGGTACTGATCTCCCCAGCTGGGCCAACGAAATCTGTTCCGACGACAACGAAGAACGGGCTCTCGTGGTTGCTACAATCAACACCTTCCAGTATGTAATTGGAGCCTGGCTGCCACTTGTCATCTGGAAGCAGACCGAAGCTCCGAGATACAAAAAAGGTTTCATCTCGGCAGTTGTCTTCAGTTTCATCGTCATTGGGCTCCTCTTGCTCATCAAGTTCCTTGCCGACAGAGATCAGAAGAAGTAAGCAAGCCCGACGGATTGTTGGCCACAACCTGGAGAAAGTTTACTAACCTCTGGTCTAGGAAGCGAAAGGCACATAATCAGACCGAGGCTGGTCTGTCTCAGGGCTCAGAGGAGTCTGAAGTTGGTGCGGATAAATAAGACGGTTCGAGCAGCTTTTGGCCTGTCCGAGTCAATCATGGCCGCAATCTATCATAGGAACCTGGGGGGCACCTTCAACCCTAGTTGACACTTTTAGAATTGAAGTCGAACCAGTACCCGGCGGAAGGATTCGTGGGGACCCAAGTGTTTTGGAATACAATGATCGGCCTAGCTAGGGTTGGACACTGTACAATGGTGTCACCAAACCAATAAACATATTATGCCTAGTAATGCGATAGACCCCGATGTAGTTAGTACAGAGAGTAGGTTCTACCCCGGATGGAATTTGGCGTCTTGGCTCTTGCCCATGATCCAAAACTTCAAACTTCCACTCACAACTTCTTCCCTCCTCCACATTCTGATACGAGACGTAGTATCCGGGGAACACGGCCAGCCGAGGTCGAGGTCGAGGTCGAAGAGCAGAAGACGCGGTATCTCACTGCAGTCCCTCTGGTCCTGGTAGGAAAGACCAGCAACGCTCCCACTCTACGCTCAGTGCCGCACGCCTGGGGCTGCCTTGCGCCATTTCTCTCGTGGTGTCGCCAGCGGAGTTGTGCGACCCGGATACATGCCAGGCATGGCCTTGGGCCACCACGATGCTTTCCAAGGCTAACTGTGTCACTCGCTTTTCAAGCCTCTGCTTGCTCTGGCCCAAGCCCTTCGTTCAAGAGCCTGTCGAGATATCCCATACGGACCGGAAACGGGAAACCATATCATGGTCAGCAGCGGGCCTCATAGGCTTGTCGGCCGCTGGGTTTGCAGTCCAGATTGTCGTCGTACCAAGAACACCATGGGCTATAGCTGCTGCTGTGCTATGGGCTGTGGCGGCACTATACCTTGCGGCGGTGCGCCCGACGACGGTATCGATACCGCTGCTCCTTGCTTTCGTCGGCATTGCCGCTGGGGGAGTGAGCTCGTTCGCCTTCCACCCTTCTGATGACCTGTCCGGGCAATCAGTGATTCTCGGCGGTGTGAGTACATTCTTGGCCATACTGGCTTTAGTAGTCGTGATCAACATGCCTCTTCGAGACCCCGCGTCAATTCCAGCGGACGTCAGCCGACCTTTTACAACACCCAGCAACGCATTTCGCTCCCCGGAAGACAATTTGACGCTCTTCCAATGGATGACTGTTTCTTGGCTCAGCCCCTTGATCAAGATTGGCAATCAAAGGCAGCTACATGATGAGGACGTCTGGCTGCTCGGTTTTGAATTCCAGCATCGGCACCTGCACAATGCATTCCGCGAACTCAGGGGCACTCTCGTCAGACGCCTCTTGGTCGCAAACTGGATTGATCTCGTCCTTCTCACCATTCTCGCCATCTTCGAGTTGGTGGCGAACTACTCCGTTCCAGTCATCCTGCAAAAGTTGCTCCAGGCCATGGAGAAGACTCATATCAGCAGACGACCTGCAGTCACGTTTGCGCTGCTGATCCTCATGGTCAGGCTTGTCGCCGCCCAGAGTGCAGTCTTCAGCCTCTGGTTTGGCCGACGTTGCTATGAACGTGCAAGAGGCGAAATGATCACCATGCTATACGAAAAGACCCTGAACAGGAAGATTTTGGGCAGCCGTGACCCAGAAACCACAAAAGGTGCCGGTTTGGCCAACCGCCATACAGCAGACAGGCCAGATCCCAGCGATATAGGGCCCCTCCCTCCGACTGAAGAGCCCTTGGACGACTACAGCCAAAAGTCGCCCGCTATCACGGGACGAGGCCGAAAGTTGCTCCAGCGAGTGCGATCATTATTCAGGTCCAAGAAGGGCCACGCCGTCGAAGAGAAATCCCCTGCATCCATGGGCAAGATTTTGAACTTGATGCGCAACGACGTTTATCAGGTTGCTCAGCGATTTTGGGAGTTTCAGACACTAATCAACAAGCCGTTAGGTCTGGTCCTGTCTGTCGTTCTTACCTGGCGTATGCTTGGGTGGTCATGCCTGGTCGGAATGGCAGTGGTATTTATCGCCCAGCTCTTCAACTACGTCCTTGCCCGCATACTGATCAGCTGGGAAAAGGAGCGCAGGAAGGCGACCGACGTCAAACTACAGCGGATATCACAGTACGTTGAAGCTATCAGGCATTTGAGATGGTATGGCTGGCACCTCAGATGGCTTGAAGATGTCATGACGGCGCGACAACGAGAGGTCGGTTTGAGAATTGTCACCTACCTCTGGAACTGTGCCATCCGGTTCGTCAACTCCCTCGCCAGCGGATTGCTGCCGGTGGCGTCCTTTTTTGCCTACACCGCCCTGGCAGGCCACCAGCTACGGGTCGATATCGCCTTCCCTGCATTGCAACTGTTTGCGCTGATGCAGACAAACATTCGAGAACTGCCGGCCTTGATAACCGTCTTGCTTGAAGCATCCGTGGCGGTGGGACGCATTGAGGGCTTCATCTCCGAGCCGGAAAGATCCGATGAGTCGGAAGTCACTGGAGTCACCGACGACCGACTGGAAGTGCGTAACGCCACATTCTCATGGCCAGGTCTGTCTCGCCCGGTCCTTCAGCATCTGAACCTCTCCTTTCCCCAAGGCTTGACTGTGGTGTACGGCCCGGTCGCAGCGGGCAAGACCGCGTTGCTTCAAGCATTGTTGGGGGAGCTCGATCTTCTTGACGGCCAATTGTTCAAACCACATGTGCCAGTTGGATACTGTGCCCAGACGCCGTGGCTTCAGAGTATGAGTATTCGGGAAAACATTCTCTTCAATTCACCATACGAGGAAGCTCGGTACAAAAAGACGCTCGAGGCATGCGCTCTTCTCCCAGATCTGGCCAGCTTCAAACACGGTGACCTCTCACACATTGGAGAAGACGGTATCGGGTTGTCAGGAGGCCAAAGAGCCAGAGTTGCTCTCGCACGCGCAGTCTACAGTCGAACGCAAATTCTGCTGTTGGATGACCCTGTGAGTGCACTGGATCAGCAGACTGCGGAGTGGATAGTCACAAAGTGCCTGGTTGGCAGTCTGATGAACGGGCGCACCGTGGTCCTCGTTACACATCGCATCGACCTCTGTCAACATGTTGCCGCGCAGTTTGTTGAAATATCGCACGGTACAGCAACATTACACCGGCCCGACGAAAATCTCGCCTGTTCCACCCCTGCGACTGTAGTCGAAACGGGGAAGCTTGCTTCAGATGACGGCCGTGATCCAGATGTCGATGAAGCCGCGGCTGTTCCCGATAAGTTTGTGGAAGATGAACACAGAGTGCACGGCGGAGTGCAGTGGGCTGTGTACTGGGAGTATATCAAAGCGGGCAGGCTGACCGGGTGGTTCATGGTCGTTTTGACCGCCATTCTATGCCGCATCACATATGTGCTTGAAAGCTGGTTTCTGAAGGAGTGGAGTGAGGCGTACAATTCGGCCGCAGTCCATGTCCTCAGTCTGCAGTCGTCGGACCCTGGGATCCATTTGCTCAAAAGTCCCATCGCCGGCTTCTTCGACAAATTTCCGAACCCGGCAACCAACGTGCAACCATGGCTACTGGGGTTGCTGGTCATCGTGGTCTCTGAAACGCTGGCCCTGTTCCTCTCGCAAGTGTCCATGCTCGTGGTCACCTACACCGCAGCCGTTCGGATCTTCAAAGACATCATGGATCGAATCAGCGGCACGACCTTTCACTACTATGATGTGACGCCAGTGGGCAGACTCATGAACCGCCTGACCTCCGATGTCGGCACGGTGGATAGCAACATTGCGGATCAGTTCTTGGTTGTCATATGGTATAGCATCGCGTGGCTGTCCTCCATGGTTGTCATCGCCAGTGTCACGCCGGTGTTTCTGGTCTTTGCAATCGCCTTGACCCTCGCGTTTGTGATGATCTTCTTACGTTTCATCCCTACATCCCAAAGCTTGCGACGCCTTGAAATGGTGTCCCTCAGCCCTCTCATGTCGAACTTTGGGGCGCTCTTGAATGGGCTGATGACGGTCAGGGCCTTCTGTGCCCAGCCGCAATTTCAGGAACGGAACATCCAGGTCACAGATGCTTTCCAGAAGATGGACCACTTCTATTGGAGTCTGCAGGCGTGGCTCATGTATAGGTTTGACGCCCTGTCGGCGGCCTCGACCTTTCTCCTAACCGTACTCGCTGTCTTCTCGGGCTTGTCGGCTGGTCTGACCGCTTTTGTCCTCGTTGCGGCGAACAAATTTGTCCAATCGACTCATGCGATCTGCAAACAATACGGTCAGCTGCAGCTTGACTTTGTCAGTGTAGAGCGGGTGGTTGAGCTCCTCCATCTGGAACAAGAGGACCCTGGCTTCATCAAGCCTCCGGCTGCTTGGCCAAGATATGGCGGCGATGTCGTGTTTGAGAAAGTCACCATCCGATACCAACCTCATCTCGAACCAGCTCTTTCGGAGGTTTCTCTGCGCCTCAAGGGCGGCACCACCAACGCCATCATTGGCAGAACTGGCTCGGGCAAGTCAACGCTGGCCTTGGCCTTATTGACAACGATTCCTCTTGATTCCGGCCGTATCTTGATCGACGGCATTGACATTGCGAAAGTTGACAAGCAAACTCTGCGGACGCGAATCACCTTCCTCGCCCAAGACCCGATTCTCTTCCCAGGATCACTACGACATAACCTTGACCCGATGGAAGAGCACTCGGACTACGCTTGCGAAGGCGTTCTTTCGAGAGTTTGCGGGAAATATGGATGGACTCTGGAAACCGCAATTGACAATGGAGGGCGCAACCTGAGTCAAGGACAACGGCAGCTTGTCGGACTTGCTCGTGCGATCCTGCGACGAAGCGCAGTTGTGATCATGGACGAGGCAACAGCTAGCATCGACCTTGACACCGCAAGTGAGATTCAAAGAGTTCTGAAGGAAGAGCTGCAAGAAAGTACTATCATAACCATTGCACATCGCGCCGCAGCTGTGGAAGGTGCCGATGTTTGTGTTGTCCTGTCGGCTGGGCGGCTCGTGAAACAAAACCAGGTCAAATTGGAGTCTCAGAGTAGACCAAGATAGGCTCAAAGTCGGCAGTGAGGGCGCCGGCGTATAGAGGTATAGAGGGTATAGAATGACTTGATACGTTCCCGGCTGATTTGAAGAGACGAGGCAATCAAGCCGAAATCTTCGGCGGCATCTGTCGCCTATCAACAAAGTGTCTTAAAGAGAGAGACGCATGAAACGTAGTGTCCTTCGTGTTCCGCCCAGACGAGTCGGCTATCTCCAGTAAGCCACGTCCACAAAATGGTGAGCGACAATGTCCCCAGAGTAAACCAAGCGAACGGTAAGCGAGATGAGCGGCTCAACCTCCGCTTGGCCATCCATCACAGTATATCAATTCCTCCGTCTTTGACCTAGCCATCTTGGAATCTCAGCCTGCGAGTGCGACTAGGGGTGGAGTCTCGAAAGGTCAATATGAAGGTAAGAACAGGAGGATCTGGAACAGGTTCGGGTCTGTCTAGGGATTTCCTAACACGTCAATCACCATTAGCATTCCCATTTTGTGGGAGGAGCATGCCGAATGAGCTCCGAGGAAAGCGACCTGGGACATTGCTTCCAGATCATGCAGCCATTCGCTCCTCCGAACAAGATGTCAACCAGACAGAGGAGCGAGGGAAATTAAAACAGGCTGCAACGAGAGCGAAGAGTGCAAAGTGAAGAGTGAAAAGTCCGGATGGAATAGTGCGCGTCAGGTCCAGCTGCTCGCCTATATGTTGTATTACCCCAGGTTCCAGATTTCGGAGTACAGCACCTGCCCGCCAATTGCATTCAAGGTTGCATGTAACATTGACAATGACGTTGGAAAACGGAAAACTTTTCTGTGCTTCCTCGACGACGCTTCATGAGTTCCCAAACCCTAACTCCTGGTGGAAGCTCCCTTGACTGAGGCATTGTCACAGTCAGTCAGGGACCTGAGAGTACAAGAGGACAGTACACCTTGAGGCCCGGGAGTTGCCTTGACCACTGCTTTCCCATTGTTGTTGACATACTCCTTCGATCATGGCAGACGCCTCGAATTCCACTGAAGACATTCAAGCTGCCCGCGTTATCTCCAGCCACCTTCCCTCAGGGTATACCGCTGATTTCGATCCTGTCAGCGACCATGGGAGGACGAGGGACCAGGGAGAGGCTGAACCAGAATCATCGCTCAAATTACAGGGTGGCGATATCACCCGGGACTTGTACAAGATTCACCAGCGAGGCGTGCCTCTTCAGCGAGCTGCCACAATCTCCCATCCCAACGACACGCCCCCTCCTCTCGCAGATGCTTCTGTCGCCGAGCATCTTGCGCCTGGAGGTTTCCGCCGAACATTCATAAAGCAGAAGTACGGACGCTTCAATCCTGCGGTCCTGCCAGTAACACGGAATTTCGTCGAGTTTCTTTCCCTCTACGGCAGTTTCGCTGGCGAAGACCTCGAAGACTCGGAAGATGAATCGGCAATTGACGATCTCGAGGAGGAGGAAAGCCGACCACCAACTGAACGCAGACCGCTTCTTGGTCGCCGCCAAACCACGAGGAGGGAGAAGAAAGGAGACGCCGGCCGGACCAAGACATTCTTCACCCTGTTGAAGGCCTTCATTGGCACCGGAATCATGTTTCTGCCCAAGGCTTTCAACAACGGTGGAATCTTGTTCTCTTCCATGACTCTGCTGCTGGTGTCTGTCATCACGACACTGGCGTTCCATTTGTTATTGCAATGCCGACAAGTACATGCCAAAAACGGATATGGCGAGCTCGGTGAGGCCATCGGTGGTCGAAGGATGAGAGACATCATTCTGGGCTCCGTCACCATCTCACAACTCGGCTTCGTTTGCGCCGGCACTGTCTTTGTCGCCCAGAACCTGTATTCTTTCCTCGACGCAGTGACCAAAGGCCAAAGCCCGTTGTCGACCAACATCTTGATCGCTTTGCAACTGCTTGCCCTGGTCCCACTGGCCTTCATCCGGAACATCTCCAAACTGGGTCCGGTCGCATTATTGGCGGATGTGTTCATTCTTATAGGTCTCACCTATATCTACTACTACGACATTGCCAGTCTCGCCGATCATGGACTGCACAAAACCGTCCAGCTTTTCAATCCTGACCAGTACACCTTGACGATTGGGTCTGCTATCTTTACTTTCGAGGGCATTGGCCTGATCCTTCCTATCCAGTCATCAATGAAGCAACCGGAAAAGTTCGAGCCACTCCTGTGGACGATCATGTTGATCATTACCATTATCTTCACCTCCGTAGGGGCACTGTGCTACGCCACCTTTGGAGCGACGACGAAGATTGAAGTCATCTCCAATTTCCCGCAGGAAAACAAGCTCGTCAATGCGGTGCAGCTTCTCTACGCACTTGCAGTGCTCGCCGGCACACCGGTTCAGTTGTTCCCGGCCTTGCGCATCCTTGAGGGCAAGGTATTTGGTCGGCGCTCAGGCAAAAGAAACACATTCACGAAGTGGAAGAAAAACGGCTTCCGAACCGCCCTCGTCGTTCTGTGTGCACTGGTCTCAATCTTCGGGGCCAACAATCTGGACAGTTTCGTGGCCCTCATTGGTTCCGTCTGCTGTGTACCTTTGGTCTACATCTATCCCCCAGTCTTGCATTACCTGGGTGTTGCTCGGTCGAGGTGGGCAAAAGCTGCGGATGCTGCATTCGTGGTGTTGGGCGCAGTCTGCATGGTGTATACCACCATCATCACCCTCAGGAACAGCTTTTGAGGCCTGAGCGACGGCGCACAACTGACGCTACAGAGTTACAAATCAGCAGATTGAATGAGGCAGGGAATGGAAAGGCCACGTAGACGGCTAGATCCCCGTTTTGACTGTTTTCAAGTTCGGTTCAGTCATCAGGCTGGTACTACACCCCATACTCTGCTAATGAAAAGGGTGTGTATTCCGTCGGTGCATGATACAATCACACGCCCATCTTATCTTTGTAGGAGCTGTGTCGCCGTGATGGAATTCTGTAACCCCATGGTGCAGGGAACGTCCAGATCCTCGTCCTCAATTACGGAGTTCATTATAAGGTATAAATTGGTGGCCTAAGCTCGGACAAGGCCGCCCCAGTCGCCCTCCGACACCGCTCCAATTGTTTGATCTCTGAAACTCCAACTGCAATAGCCGTTTCAACAGGCTGCAGCTGCCTCTGTAAAGTCTTAGCACGCCGCAGGAGACCAAGACAGCCATGTTAGTGCTCCGAGATGGAGACGTGCTGGGGTTGCTGTCGAGTCTCTCGCGAGAAGAGGCGCAGCGACTTCTCTCGAGGCTGCATGATGTGTTGAGAGAATTTTCCCAGAGCAAGGCGGCCGGGCCGGAAGAGCGAACGATCCACCAGCCGGAGCGAGAGACGATTGCGACTCGACTGGGCAACACGTCTCTCTTCATGCCGTCGTCCATCACGACGTCGACCGGGGTCAAAGTGGTGACCATCAGCTCGGGCGGGCTGAAGGGCTCGATCAACGTGTTCGCGCCCGCGGGCGAGCTGTTGGGCGTGTTGAACGCTGAGGAGGTGACTGCGTTCCGCACGTCGCTGGCCGTCATGATCGCCTATGTGCGATACCCGCATCCCAAGACCAAAGTCGTCGTTTTCGGCGCAGGCAGACAGGCCGAGTGGCATGTCCAACTGGCGCTCTTGCTGGGCGACGTCCGCCAGGTCACGGTGGTCAACCGAAGCTCTGCTCGGAGGATGGAGCGGCTGTTCGAGCAGCTGAGGAAGAGATATCCGCGAACCGAGTTCAGGCTGCTTCTCAAGACCGGAGCCGGGCCAGACTACGACACACAGTTGCGAAGCCGCCTCGCAGACTCGGAGGTCATCTTCTGCTGCACCCCGGCTACCACGCCACACTTTCCGCACTCGTATCTCGACCGCAAGTCGCGTTTCATCTCGCTGATCGGGTCCTACAAGCCCTCCATGCAAGAAGTCGACAAGGACACATTGCTTTCGGGCGATTGCATCTACGTGGATACGAAAGAAGGCTGCCTCGTCGAGGCCGGAGAGTTGATCAAGGCCAATGTCTCTGCAGACCAACTGGTCGAGATTGGCGAACTCCATGACGACAGCCTGCTCAGACCCAACGGAAACCTGGTGTTCAAGTGTGTGGGGATGGGCATCATGGACCTTGTGATTGCCCGAGAGCTGCTGGCCATGGCGAAAGAGAAGGAACTGGGATTGAGAGTGGATGACTTTTGACAGTCTGGGGTCTACACTCTTCCAAAAACGCATGGTACTTGAGGCTCAACATCTAAACGCCATCATTAAAAGTGTAATCGTTGCCCCATCGAGTGTCCCAGGGCCGTGACTGGTCCACAAATCTCAGGTCTGTGCCCAGTCGAATTCTGTCCTCCGGGTCGTGGTTGATGGTCGATGCATGAATCTGTACAGCTTGTCAGTGTGTGGGTGTGGATGCAGCAGCCGGAGAAAAGGATTAAATCCCTACCGAATAAGGGTTGTGAAGGACCACATCACCGGCCTCATACTCGGTCAAGAGCCATCGACGATTGTACCGCCGTCCAAATTCCGCGGGGCCGTCGGCGAGCAAGCCGCCGCCCATCATGTTGCGATTGAATCCGTTCTTCGCCTCCTCGTCGGTCAATCCACTGGCTTTTGCCTTCTCCGTGAACTCCTGTTCGATCTCTGCACCCAAGGTATGACCCTTTTCAAGATAGATCAAGCCACCGCCTTGGCGCGAGACATCCCCCATAGGCACCCATGCAGTCACCGCGGTATCTTCTCCGTGTCGCAAGAAGATCTGGTCGTAATGGACGCCAATGGCTTTGTTGCCAGGAGTGTTGTTGCGCAAAATCGTCCTCCTGACGCCGAGAGTGTTGTCCCCCCAGCCGGTCAGCCTTGCCACATAGTCGCGCAGTGCCGGGTGCTTGCAGAAGTCTTCCTTGTACCATGGTTCGGTGTGGGCTTGAAGCGCCAGGTCAACGAACAGATTGGCCACCTCAGGGTGAGGTCCTATCGGACGGCCGTTGGCAGCGGCAAAGCCTGCACCAATGCCGGGATAGTCCAGCTTGTCTTTCGACGCGTCGAAGATGCCGTCCACTGGATTCGTGCCCGGCTTCAAGACCCCGCTGGGCGAGAGCAACTTGAAGTATCCCTCCCGCGCTTTCAAAACATCTTCTCTGGGCAGCAGGCCTTTGACGAAGACATAGCCGTCTTCTTCGTAGCGTCGGCGTGCCTCTTCGATCGGAGTGTCCAGCGTGGTTGGTCTCAGGTCAGAGAACAGGTCGGGGGTCAGGGGCCCATCATTGACAACAAGCTTGTCGCGTCCTGCGGCTGGAGGCTCGGGTGACTCTGCATGAGGCATCCTGATGTTGTGCCAACGTAGGCTTTTTTGGTCTTTTTTTGTCGACAAGAGACGGAATGGTGATAGAGGAGCTCGAACCACAACAGAAAACACAGCAGGCCAGGCTCTTGACGCCTCCCCCGGGGTACCTACTCTGTATGTATCTCCCGAACGGCGGGGCATGAGAGCGCAGCTGACACGCCCAGAAATTTTAATATTGGATCCCGATCAACACTATGTATCCGTATGTAACGCGGTTGGGGGACTGTCTCCCTGATGACCGAAATGGCTGTGAATCCCGTGTCTCCAAGATCCGCTGACACTGAATTCCCCGCCATGCTTCCATTGAAGGCAATGGCTGGCGAAGCTTGTCGGAAAAGTATACCAAATGTATACAGACAGTCTATCAAACTGCCTGTACGCCTCCTGGGATGGAGTCTCTCCACGCAGTAAGTGTTGCCCCTAATAGTCTCCTACAATGTTGGTCGTGCATCAGCATTCTCCTGGCGATCCGATTGCACCACAAATAACATCAGCAGTTCTGGGACCCAGATCCAAAGTTGACAATGTGCTCCGGAAACCCCGCAATCCCACCCGCACCAGACTCGCCGCCACCAGAACCAACCCGTGCAATCCAACGTAGACGTTTTGCACCCAGCCCACGCCGCCGTTGGCCTGGTGAGGACCGTTCTTTTCATTCCCAGGGGAAGAATCATCATCCGTGACCTGAGGCTGTAAAGATTCACAAATCGCGTGACAGGCTCGTGGACGAAAGAGGCCAGCTTCGCCTCTTAAGATAAGTAAAAATAAACTCCGTACATCGAGTCCACATGCGACACTCCGAACGGATCACTTTGGCTCACCCTGAACATAGTGCGGTACCGTTAGCTTCCATGAACCCCTTACATCCATCTTGGTTTTCTCGTCCGTAGCGCAAGGACGAAGGTGGACGCGGAAAGAGCATCGGTTTGTCAGAGGAAAAAAAGACCAAAAAATCAAAAAATCAATTGAGGTCGTACCCGGGTTCGAACCGGGGTTGCCGGAAGTTTCAACTCAAAATCCGCTGTGTTCGTTAGCAGGCAATACTGTCATGGGGGTTGGGCGCGGCTTACGAGTGATCACCACTACACTATACAACCAATTTAGGTCCCGAAAACTCGAGGCCAATTCCAGGTCCATTTTCGGAAGAATTAATTCATATATTAGGGTAAAAATTGGCCTGGGCGCTTGTGAGCATTCAGCTTTACTTTCGGTCTGGGCATGGTCACGTGAACGAGCGAGTTTTTCCTCGTTATGTCCATTGGCTCCAGGATGCGTCATGCCAGAGGGATCATTACATAGCCTGGTGAGCTGTTAACGACTCGTCAACGGTTTGCGCATCCTACAGTACCTACGGAGAGGAGCAATTGCAGCAGAACATGCCGCCTCCGCAAGTCAAAATATGAGGTTGTGCCTTCAGCCAAGGGGCCTCTCTAATCATGTTACGTCAGGCAACGAGGCCCTGCCCATCTGCGGCCGGTGTGAGCACACAGGGCCCTTCTGTGATCATTCAATGCCCTTCAAGTTCCGAGCAGAAGAAAGTTGCCAGGCGAATGAACTCAGCTCCGGCGCCTGACCATAAGTCATCGACGGACGCCTTGTTGCAAATTTCTCGAAAGACATTGCGAAATGAAGAGATTGCCCAATGGTTCAAGCATTACTTGAAGATGTTGTCGCCCTAGTATGATCTCAACCACTGCGAAGCCAGCTGCCCGTTGCTGCTGAGCGCTGTGACTGCTCTTGCCGCCAACACACAAGCCTCAAATTGGCCGTTCGGTATCCTTGGGATCTGCCGGATCGTGTCAAGCTTGCCTCCAACCGCTCATCGGACTTCGTGATTGCGACCCTACCACTGAAGATGGGACCGTCGTTGCGGCCACGTGCTTTCCACAACGATCCAAGATTCTCGGAAGTAGGTCATCGGCCTTGCAACTCAATAGTACCTTATGTGAGGCGGAGAAGGAGAATCTCGAACGGGCACCTTGTCGCGGCATTTCCTATCGTCCCAACCCTATCATCCAAACTTCCTGCAAATGGCTCAGTCCGTTCCAGAGGTTCCGGAGATATTGGTGGCAGGTGGTTGGCATTAGGTGGTGATCAATGTGAGACGGTCAGTTGGTTGTCCGACACCCAGAAATACACTGGATGGATGTTCCAATCCTCAACCAACACTGTGAAAGTCTGCTCGGCAGGCAAGGACGAATCGGCCGCGAGCCGTCGAACGGAGGAGAACCCTGCGGTGAAGGTGAGTCCTGTTTTACGACTTTGTTCGATGTATCATCATCCCACTAGTTCGATCTGCATCCTTTCGGCGATGAGAAACTCCTCGTCGGCAATGTCTTCGTCAAATTCGTCGGCGGTATTTACATCACCACGACTGCCGTTGTGGAGCAGAGTTGATCCAGCGTTTGTCTCGCGGTGAAGATAGTCGTGCGCGTAAGCATCTTGCCTCCCAAAGTCCCCTTCGCCTCTGTTGGATCGCTGCTCTCTTTGAAAATTCTCCAATTCTTTCAGATCCCAGCTATCTTTGCCTTTCGTGGAGCCGTCCGGTGCCTTTTGCCCTGGCACCAGCGGCTGTGCAATGCTTCTCAAGAACTTCTTTGCCATGCCCACCGCGGCATCAGTACTCAAGCCGGTCTGACCCTCGTGAATCTCTTCCGCGATCCATCTAGGAAGCTGATTGCGTTTTTTCTGAAATCGACGGTCAGCTAAGACCATGATTCCATAGTCATCCTTCCCTCTCAGTACACGGCCCAAACATTGGGCGGCGTGTCTCATCGCATCGAAGGACAAGAAGTCTTGTTCTTTGATTCTGTAATTCTCACGCAGAAACTCCAGGCGGGCTTTCAGGATCCGAGATTCAGTGTACTGGAAAGGGGCCCCCATGCACAAGACAGTTCGTCCAAAGTGATGATCAAAATCGATCCCTTCAGACACCTTGCCACGGGCCACGCAGAGGAGAATGGCACCCTTGCCGTTTTCGCATGCAGTTCGGTATGTTTCCAATGCAAGACTTGTCTCCTGTGCATCCGGTGTCTCGACCAAAATCAGCTTATAGGTCCAAATCTGATCGAGAATGCCCATGCCCTGCCACATGCTAATGATCATTTCCATGTAGAGGTAGGAGGGGAAAAACACCACAATACCATCCGGAGTGAGCTTTGCAAACTCAAACAGCAGTGCGCCATAATTTCGGACCACACCGGGATCTGATCTGGACTGGAAGCCAGAGGTGATCGACTGTTGGTCCGAGCCACGCGTAACAATCATCGGCAAGAAGGATCGTCGTGTAAGCGACATGGGATAGGATTCCTGGAGGACGGTGTTGAAGTTTAGCATTTTCGGGTACATCTCTAGGGGTGATATGGTTCCCGAGGTGATGATTACTGAGGAGAATCGTTCAAACACTGGTTTGATGGCAATGGAGGCATCGAGGCACGCGAAATGGAGGATTGGGTTTGGCACGGTGGCTTGTTCCGTCTCGAACGGCTCCAAGATCAACAGAAACCCGGTTTCGTACGTCGCGATCAATGTTGCGAACGTGGCGACCTCCTGCAACGGTTGGTAGTCTTCGATGTTGGTCAGTTCGAGAGTTCGAACAAGGGAAGTCAACCGTTCGGCGCAAAAGCGAAGGGGCTTGCGTTCGATAAAGGTTAACTCCTTGAGATGGGAGAGAAATGAAGGAGGAGTCTCCTGGATGACATAGAGGACCTTCATGCGCGTCTTCAGGTATTCGATGAAGCGCTTTAAGAAGGCAACAAAGTGCTCGGCACGACGAATATTGCCCGGGACGGCTTCTTTCAGCAAGTCATCAGGTAGCGTCGGGTTGGACATGAATGCGTCCTCGGCTCGAGCTTCGTCCGCTTCTCGAAGGCCTTCGACAAGCTTTTGGTACTCGTTTTGCAACTTCTCCTCATCCGAAGCTTTCATTTCCTCGATCTTGCGCTCGAGATTATTTGCTCCTCGCGTCGCCTTCCTCAAAGAATCTTCCGTCAAATCAATGGATAGTGACTCAATACAAACATTGTCTATATTGTGCGCCTCGTCGAATACCACAATGCAGTCTTTTGACAGTTCTTTGGACACCCGCTCGGCGATTTTAGGGTCGAGGAGGTAATGGTAAGAGTAGATAATGACGTTACAGAAAGACATCATCCTCCGGGCTGAGAAATAAGGACACTGTTTATGATCTTCACCATATCTGAGCAGCCCGTCAAGAGTAAAGACGCCGGGCGGGACCAGGTTGTGAGGCTCCAGAAGATCCAGATTGTCGTGGTAAATACAGACGTCAACGTCCTCGCCCCGTTCCTTTTTCTCCTTCACGAAACCTGCGGTCAAGGCCCGACACCGGGCATCGACAACGGCACCGCTCTTCTCTCGCTTGACTGAGGGATGCAGACACAGGTTTTTGCGGCTGGTCAACCCGAGGCCTCGGAAGTCTTCCACATGGCCTAGTTGATCGGAACGATACTTCATGAGGGCTTTCAGTTCGGCAAGTGCCTTTTCGATTTCCGACATCGTCCGCGAGCAGTAGATGAGTTTGCGATGCTCTGGATAGTGCTGCTGGTACGCCACAATGAGCGACAGTAAAGAGACTGTCTTGCCGGTCCCGGAAGGCATCTCGAGAACGCAGTGACCACCTGCGTCCAGGGTCCGTTTGAGATCGCACATGTAGGCATATTGTTCGGGGTAGATCCGTGGATATGGGAAGAGAACGGGGAGATCACTATTGACCCATCAGCAAAGTGTTGCAGACCAGAACGGCGCTGCCTACTCGATGAAGAACTTCATGACGAGAAGATGACCAAGGCTGGCCACCACTTTAACATCCCACCGTCGACACCAATCTTGTGTCTCTAGCAAGCCAACATTTGGTGGAGTGGGTTCAGCCGGGACGGTTACAAAGTGCCTAGAGAGTCAGGCCGAACTTGAGGTCGTGGCTAAAAGCGTCGTGAACGAAGATAAATCTATAAAGTGGCACACGCGATCGCCGCGCAGGTGCCTGAGAATATGAGTCGCGTAATCCATAATCCGTACTGTCATTCATGGATCGGCGCAGACGTCATTGGCCACCCTCCCAAAAATTTGGAGTCACCAGAGTCAACTTCAGAGGCACCTAAGAGGGGTTCCGATGCTGCAGACACAAGTGAATCATCTTCAAATCTCCCGTTAGAAGACGAGGGCGGCCAGAGCAGCATGAGCAAGAAATTCAAATCACAGGCATCAAGCGCCCGTGCTGCCTCTGCTACCTTTGGGTCGTCCTCCTTCGGTTTCGGCGCGCCCTCCAACGGCTTCAAGTCCGCAGCTTCGCCGTTGTCCTATATCACTGAGCAACCTGACCTCAGCGGCGTGTCTAATCCTCACATTATCGTCGCCCTCCGCAACCTGGGCAAGAAAGATAGCACTACGAAGGCCAAAGCACTAGAGGAGCTGCAGGAGCATATCAGCTCTGTCACGTCCGCTGACCAAATCGATTCCAGCTTACTCGAAGCATGGGTTTGTCAACCTGGATCTGGCCGTTGACACTCTACTGATGAAGCTGCGTACAGGTCGGCCTATATCCTCGTACCTCTATCGATAATTCTCGACGAGTTCGACAGCTTGCACATGCCCTTCAGGGGTCCCTCACTGCGGTCTCCGGCAGACGAATTGCGCCACTTCTATCCAAGGTCGTCGGACCGTGGCTCTCTGGGGTCTACGACAGCGACAAGTTGGTGGCGCGGGCAGCTCAAGATTCAATTTCAACGGCATTCAAAACTGAGGAGAGAAGGCGGGCATTGTGGAAGATCTACAAAGATGCGCTCATTGAATATGCTGAGGATGCCATATTGGTCCAGACCCCCAAGACCTTAAGCGATGAACGCTCGACAAGCCCCGATGACGCTGAAACGAAATTTGTGCGTGTTGTTGGAAATGCCATCTACATGCTCCGTCAAGTTTTAAAGAGTAACTTCCCCGGAACCTCTGACGGAGGGGTGACTGAAGTGCCTGAAGGCCTCAAGAAGATTGTGACAGACAAGGGTCTCTGGGAATACTCCTACTCTGAAGATCCTAATCTACGCAGAGCCGTGTGTTCTCTGGTTGCCGTCTGCACAGAGACGGTTAGTGAACACCTGAGTTGGAACGCCATAAGTACATGCTTTATCGGCAAAGCTCTGCACAGCAGTCAACTTGGCTCATCGCGCCAACTAACAGAGGCACTTCTGCTCCTGACAGTGCACCGACCTGAGATCTGGACCTCAGATTACACATCAAAGACATCAGCATCAAAAAGATTGTTCCAGTATATGAGGAATGGGTCGCAAAGAGGACCGGCGGATTTTTGGACCACGATTGCTACACTTCTCCGCCGAATTCCCCTCGAAATCTGGGCTCCGGACCACCTCGATGGCACGATTCAATTGACATCCGCAACAACTTTGGTCAATACTTTCCGTGCTGGCGTGTCCCATCCGGAAGAACCCCGCCAGAATCTCCCGACTGCATGGTCGGCCTACGCCAGCATATGCTTTTGGGTTCTGGACATGCTCCATGACGAAGATTCGAAATCCACCTTGACGAACGAAGAGCTATTTCCTCTGGTGACCCAGTTCATCTCCCAAAACGCACAGCAAACTTCCTGGAAACTACCCACATCCTGTGACTTGCAGATTTCAGCGAAGATATTGGCCAATATCCTCCATCACGGCTTAAACTATGTCTTTGAGACTGCGTGGCTAAGTTTGTGCCAGGAAGTTTCCGATTGTATAAAGCTGTCACTTCCAGAGACTTCCAAGGACTTTTCAAAGTCCCAGGATGCTGTTGTTGCTCAAGCACAACGTCTGTTCCGTTTGAAGTCATCTATCTTGCAGCCTGATGTTCTCAGCCAGGCTGAAAGGTCACATGCACTGCGTGTCTTCGAGAAAGGTGATGAGGATTTGATCCGTGTTGCAACGGACCTCTTGAGAACTCGGAACGGCAAGCCTTATTCCGCGGCATTTGTCCTCGAGAGCATCACGGCTAACCCGGAGTCGCCGAGGCCTCAGTGGCTTGAATCCTTCTTGACTTCAGATGCCCTGGCTTTGCTCAGCAGCCCTTCTGCGGAATATATTATTGCCATTATTCTAGGCCGTGGTCAGAACATTGAGCAAACTATCTCAACCTTGATCCATTCTAGCGAAAACAAATACTGTGCAAGTGCACTTTCAAGACTTCTCAGTCAGCTATCAGAAGAAGAGCTCTCGGTGAATTCCGAACTTGAAACCTTTGTTCTGCATAATATTTCTGCTTCTCTTGGAGAAGATTCTGTCCAACGAATGACGCGGGCAATTCTACAGAATCCGAAGCTTCACGCTTCGAACTTTTGGAAAAGATGTACCCAATGTATTCTTGCTCAGTTATCTTCCGACACAGATGCAGCGTCTCAACAGAGCACGCTCAATTTCCTTCTTAGTCTCTTCAGCCGCCCTGATACCGTCCATCTAGTCTCAAGCGGCTTAGGAGGTGAGCTTCTATCACGACTCCTCGTGTTATCAGACTCCCAGCACCATGACACGGCAGACTTGGCGAACTTATTGATATCAAAGATCAAAGCAGCACCTTCAGGCCAAGATTCAGCTGCCACGACTTCCACCATGGTCATTGCGGACCAGCTTTCTGGCAATGGTGTTCCATTGTCTATCTTTACGTTGATCGACCTTGCGAAAGACACATTGAAGAATAAGCCGCTGGACAGCGCTGAGTCGGTACCAGGAATCTTACCTTCTGCTGCTCAATGGGGCGATGCCCTCAGAAGTCAGATTGGTGGAAGACGCCCTCGTTCGTTAGCTGTCACCAATGCTCTCCATGGTATCATATTTCTGATTGAGCAAAAAGATGCTCGAGCACCGACTCGGCATCTTCGAGATATGGATGAATTCTCTCTTCTGTTCCGACTCGTCTTATATGTCACCAGGATTGCCTCCGACACTGATATTCTCTCGAGGTTATCCGCAGAGCAATTGGGTGTACTCTATGTCCATTACCCATTGGCATTACAGCTTGTGAATGAGAAACTGACCATGGAGTCAGCAAATGATATCTGGCAGAACACAAGCAACGAGGTCGTTGATGAAGCTGCAGACGTTCTCTCTCAGGGAAACTCGCTGGTGCAAAACTGGATCCACGATGATGGCCTGATCAATACCTGGATCGACGCAATTCGCTCAACGGTCGGTCTGACGCCTCAGTCGTATCTGACGGGTTTAGCATTTACGGACATTGCATCCCGGTATGCCGATGAATATGGGTTGAGTCGCATCTTATCATCCTTTAATACCGAGATGGAAGAGCTTCATAGGGCGCCAGAGGCTATACGATCAGCAAGCCTGATATGTGTCTGTCGCGATAAAGTCGTCAGTACTCAGCAAGGACGCAGGCTCCTCAATGAGCTGATCAGTATGGGCACGGATACGAAATCTGAAGATTCGGTTATGGGACTACGCCCTCTCGTTCTGCTCGACTTACTCCTCGACGGCCGCTCAGAACCCTTGAATGAAATCCCTGGCCCACGGTTGATCTTCTTCGCACAAAGGCTATCCCGTGTATTGATTGATGCGTCTGACGACCTGGGGTATCAAACGGAGGCAATGAGACTACTCGATCCGGTTCTCTCCGCCTCCAAAGACGTCTATGGTGCACATTGGGACAACATTTTACAACATATAGTTTCATTGTGGCACGATGGACACGATTTGGCAGATAACATCCCTCTCCTGCATGCTTCTCTCCGTCTGTACGGGCGTCTGAAACTTCTGGCAGAGTCTGACGCTTGCAACGAAGATTTGGGAGAGTCGTGGACGGCAGCGCAGGTATCTCTCGCAGATGGCTTGGTGCAATGCCTGGAAATGTTCAAAATACCGGAAGAAGAGACGAACCAACCACGCCGAATGACTGCGGAACTGTTGCGAAGACATCTTTTACATATTCCCGCTCGACATGACGTGAATATGTATCCCTTTCTGTCGTCCGCGGAGCCTGCAATTCGGGGTGCCGCTTACGATCTTCTGCATCGTTCCATCCCAGCAGAACAAGAGCACCTTTCGCTACAGCTTGCCCTGGAACAGAAAGTCGCCCATCTTCCAAATGAACTGCTGTCCCTCTTATTAGATACGCCAGGGGCATCTGAACTAGGCCCCGGCTCAGTTCGTCAAACCTATCTGCTTCGCTGGCACCTGGTCTTCGATCACTTCACGAGGGCGTCATATAAACTTCGGGAGCGGTACACCTTAGATATCAAAGAACGGGACGTTCTTCCGAGGCTCCTTGAAGTCATTTGTGATATTAGCCGCATCACTACCAGTCGTCCGGTGGACGCTTCCAAAGCTGACCTGGAAACGTTTCGGCTGGGTTCTGACGAGATGGACGGGACAGCTGAACGAAGCCTGGCCATGCACTTGTACTATTGCTGCCTGTTCTACCTTCCGAGTCTGACAAGGGGGTGGTTCCTCGAGCAGAAAAACAGAGTGAAACTGCCTCTAGAGAGCTGGACACAAAAGTACTTTTCTCCGTCCTTGATTTCAGCCGCGATTCGCACAGTCACAGAATGGGTTGCCAGCCAGCCGCAGGATGACAGCGAGGCCTCGGTGAGTGTCAAAGCATCTCTCGGAGGATCTGAAGTGGTAGCGTCGATCGCCATCGATCCTGAGTCGCCTCCTATTTCTCTGGCAATCTCCCTCCCCGCCACCTATCCTCTTGAGTCGCCCACCGTGTCTTCACGCACTCGAGTCGGTGTCTCGGAGAAGAATTGGCAATCCTGGCTCCGAACTTTTCAGATCATCATCTTCAGCGAGGGAAGCATTATTGAGGGCCTAGTAGCATTTCGACGCAACGTTCAAGGTGCCCTGAAAGGGCAAAGTGAGTGTGCCATTTGCTACAGCATCATCGGCACGGATATGCAGACACCGAACAAGAGATGTGGGACTTGCCGCAACACTTTCCATGGCACATGCCTCTTCAGGTGGTTCAAAAGCTCCAACAGCTCCAGTTGTCCGTTGTGTCGGAACAATTTCAACTACGCCTGACGGAGGTTTAGCGGAATTGAGGTTGTTTCCCAAGGCACTTGCATCATATGAGGTGCCGAGGCAGAGATGTGTCCGATGGCCAAACTCTGCTCTCCAGCATCTGCCATCATGTCTTCGGATCGCCTGGTGATTTGTGATAGGAGCGTAGGACTTTATATCCTAGTCCAGCGGACCGAAAAGAAGAGGGCCGATAGCGAGATAGCTCCCGAGGTGGTTGATCGAACCGGAGACTAGGAAGAACGGTGATCTCGTTATCTTTGTCGGACTCGGTCGAAGGGCATGTGAGGCTAGAAGAGTGGTGGTGTGGCGCTTTCTCTCTCCCCTGGCTTTGACAAGAGGTAAGATGGTCTATTTTGCATAATGAAGAGTATCGTGGCTAGATAGAACCCGAGAAGATAGAAGATCCAATATCTTAACAGGCCAAACTGGCTGTAAGCCGTCCATGCCGAGATAGTTGGGTAGTTGGGTGACGAATCTGCATACTGTACCGAGTATGTCGACAAGTACCTAAGATGCGCTAGTAGGTGGGATGGTAAACGGAGCGGAACGGGCCTAAGAGCCTTAGCCCCTTAGTCTTAGGCTTGCGGCTCTGTTAACAAGCGCCTAGAGGTGTCTTAAAAGGTACTAGAGTCTTACTAAGTGCTAGTAGTTCGTTGTCTGCGTACGCTAGACCTGACTGAGTAGGCGTATGGGATTTGTCGAGATGCCAAAGTGCTGATGATCCGCCTTTCTGCTTCAATGGAAAAGCGCCGGTACCAACAGTGGTAGTGCTGTCTAAGGGCTCCTTATGGGGATTATGAAACAGAAAGAAGAAGGCAAAGGCAAAGGAAAAGAGAGAAGAGCATTCAACGGGAAAAGGTCTTAGGCATTAGTAACCAACCCCAGAGACGCCAAGCCTCTACTAAAACAACTCCTGCTGGTGGTGCAAATGTTCCAAACATGCTCCAAGTCTTACAAATTGTCCGCGACAATCCCACAGGCAGCCAATTCCTTATGTCTTCCTCCACAATCCCGAATCTCAATGCGTTCCGTCGCGGTCAACGAGGCAGGGGCAGGGGCAGCGGCCGAGGCGTCGGATCATCGCATTCTGGTGCAGCTGGGCTCGGACACGGAAGGCACAGGCCCCATGACGAGATCATCCAGAATACCGACAATGACGCTGCTACCTCCCGCTTAAGCGCAGTGGAAGCTGGATATCTCGAGGATCCATTTGCGAGGCTACTGAGCGCGGATGAAGATGGACCCGTCGCCCGGCGGCTGCCATTGATGAATCGAGGTAGGCTTTATGTGAGGGCACGAAGCCAAAATTCTCACACCATCGTCTCCAGGAACATACCTCCGGACTGCGTCCATTGACCGCATCGTGGACACGTTCCTGTCTTCTACGGGCCATGGATGCAGGCAGATTATCTCCTTGGGTGCAGGCAGTGACACCAGATACTTCCGTTTGAAACACAAACGCCAAAACCTTGCCATCGTTTACCATGAGGTGGATTTCGAGGCCAACACTCGCCGGAAAATTGGTCGACTACGAAGTCCCCCCTTTGCAGACAAAGCCAAGACCCTTGCAGGAGTAGACATGCATGCATCTGACGTCCGCCTCTCAGAGGATGGTTCAACCCTCAGGTCTTCGGAGTACAACATCCATCCACAGGATCTACGACGTCTACCCCGTGATAACGCAGATTTGACGGGAGTGGACAAAGACCTGCCCACTCTGATCATATCAGAGTGCTGCCTCGTCTATCTTCCTCCTGAAGATGCCGACGCGGTGCTGCGGTACTTTAGCCAACTCTTCCCCTCCACTACCCCTCTTGCCATTGTCGTGTACGAGCCCATACGGCCGCACGACTCTTTTGGCAGGACAATGGTCCGCAATCTGATGAGCAGAGGTATACAGTTGCAGACTCTAGAAAAATACGCCGGACTTGCAGAACAGCAGGAAAGATTGAAGACGTACGGCTTCAGGGGAGACGATGGGACAGGATCAGGTGCAGAAGCCGTTGATATCAACTTTATTTGGCAAAGATGGACGCCGCCAGAGGAGAAGGAGCGGGTAGACGGACTGGAGTGGATGGATGAGCTCGAGGAGTTTGTTCTCCTTGCAAAACACTACTGTATATGCTGGGGCTGGCGTGGGTATGGGGAAGGCTCGGGCTGGAAGGAGTTGCCTAGTAGTAGCCCAAATTGAAAGGGTTGGTTGACACAGCTTAGCTGACCAAGGTATCGTCTTGTGTCGCGCGCACACTGTCCAGTGCATCGACGGCTTGAAGAGATGAGACACGGACCCTTCGTTCTTCGGCGCCCGTCTAACAGTGATGAGTGACATGAAACAGCCCGCCGTCCCTCAAACGCCCCCAGTCGCTGCTGGCTCTCAACAGATGGAGTCACGTGGCTAATATGTTGCCAAGACTGCGCCTTGACGGTTATGCCGCACTGCAGTGTACTCCGTAGTGGTGAGTGGTGACTCGGACTCGCAGTCGAAGTGCGGTGCTGATTTTGCTTCATCTGTCACTTCTGTCGACTGTCTGCGTACAGCTGAGGTGGATCGTCGAGGTCATCAACATGTCATACACGGCACAGTCTATCTCGAAGAAGCTCTCTGCCGACCCATCTACGGAGTATACGCTACAACTTGCCTTCTTTTCTTCCTCTCCATGTTCCTCCTCCTAGGCGATAAGGTCAAGTGTTTGAACACTACCTAGGTATTTAGGTGTGGCGCAACCGAAACACCCCAGAAACGCCACCCAAGCGACGGAGCGACTACTAGTAATTTGGGCAGCTCCTGCGCTGGGGTTCATCTCCATCCATTCGACGACCACCAAGCCGCGCCCCTTCTTCCCCTGTTTCGTCGGCAGAAATGTTACCCTTTCCTGGAACAAATACAGGACTTTGTGGACTGGTCTCGTCCCCAAGCAAAGGCCACCCATGTCTTATGTTCTCGAAGTCGGAGGAGCTGGGACCAACCTGAATGTCCACACCCAGTATGCCAGCATCACATACCGAGATTGCGGGCGACATTCCACACATATCAAGTTGCACCCCACAGCAACCGGCGGCTGGCAAAATGTGCAAATGATCACGTCGACGGAGAGATGAATCGCTTACGTTGATTTGCCCATGCCTGACATTGGGATATTAGGCGCAAGTACTAAGCTCCGGTCGGAATATTGCTGATTCGTCTCGTGAAATTTGACAGCTTCAAGCGGGCCGGGGCCTAGTACGATCATGGCCGGGATCCCTGGCCTCCCCCCAATTGCAAAACAAACCGTGGACCGCTCGTGGAGCATCAATGCACCAGCCTTGCATGGCTCGAGATCGGCCTGGCATGGTCGACTCTTCGTCACAAGCAATTTGCTGTTCGGCCTTGATCTGCGTCTCCTTTACTACCTGTTCGGTTCGATAGCATGCCCATGTCCTGCCCTTCTCTGGGTTTGCGCACTTTCTTGTTTACTTCGTTGCTTCATCGTCGCTGAAAGGAGTTGTCGTCGCGTTCAGCTATCGCACGCTCTGCGAGCTCCCACGTTCCTTACGAAAACTGACCCTAGTCGCTCATTTTGACTCTGTACCATCGCGCTGCACGGAGGCCATTCGACCTGTGTCGCAAGTCAATGTTCATGCACCAACGATCATAACGCAACAACAAATACCACCCGACCGCGCAGATGCGAAAACGGACATTTACCTCGAGCGCAAGCGCTCTGCTACTTCTCGCAGCGTCCGTTGTCAGCGCAAAGCATGGAGTTCACAACCACCTAGAAGCACTTCACAAACGCCACCGCGCCAATCACCGACTGGACGCCAGGTCAATCGCGGAGGATGGAGAACAAGGTGTCGAGATACGGGCGGTTCCAGAGACGATAACCTCGTCAACTCTGGAAAAGCGAGGCGGGCAGTGCCAGTTTCCTACTGATGCTGGTTTGGTCGCGGTCACTCCGGGCGAGTTGAATGCTGGATGGGCCATGAGTCCCGACCAACCATGTACACCGGGGAGCTACTGTCCCTATGCTTGTCCACCTGGTCAGGTATCAGTGCAATGGGACCCCAGCGCAACGTCCTACTCATACCCCAAATCAATGGTTCGTGCCCTTCACTCCAGTCTGACAGACCCTTGAGCTCATTGCATGACAGAATGGCGGCTTGTATTGCGACGATGATGGGAATATACAGAAACCCTTCCCATCCAAACCATACTGTCAATCCACGGCAAACAACATTGGGGTGATCAACAACGCGGGCGGTCCAGTCTCTTTTTGCCAGACCGTCCTCCCAGGAAACGAGGCAATGTTGATCCCCACCTTGGTGAGCAGCTACGCCAACCTCGCCGTACCAGATACAGGGTACTGGTGTGGCACGGCAGCGCATTATTATATCAACCCTCCCGGTATCGGAACCGATGAAGCTTGTGTCTGGGGCACCAAAGCGAATCCTGTCGGCAACTGGTCGCCGTATGTCGCCGGGGCTAACATCGATGCTTCTGGCGAAACATTCATCAAGCTTGGATGGAACCCCATTTACCTCGAACCCGCGACGCCGTTCCGCAATGAAATGCCAACGTGGGGTGTCAAAATTGACTGTCCCAATGGTGGCTGTAATGGCCTCCCCTGTGCCATTGATCCCGCTCAAAACCAAGTGAACCAAATGGTTGGGTCAGCCTCTAATGGAGCAGGGGGTGGCGCGTTCTGCGTGGTCACGGTCGCAAAGGGATCGACTGCGAACTTTGTTGTCTTTGAATCTGGCGGTGATACCAGCAGTGATACCAGCAGTGATACCAGCAGTGGTGGCGCCGTGAGTTCGTCGACGAGTGGCGGGAAAGGTGGTCAATTCTTCCAATCAACTGGTGCTACACAGGCGGCGCCCACAACGTCTGCTGAGTCGTCTCCAACTGAAACAACATGGAGCGAACCCCCTTCATCTTCTGCCCAGCCGACCTCCAGTGCTTGGGTCTCGTCGTGGGAGCCGACAAGCTGGTCTACCACCTCGTCTACTCCTTCGGCTGAAACCACTTACACGACGAGCTCCTACTCCTACCGGTCACCGACTTATTCCCCACACTATTCGGTTGTCAACAATGCGACCACGTTCTCTCCTGCCGAAACTTCTTCCGAATCAAGCGCCATTGAGGCCACGGCGACTCCTTCAGGCCCATCGACGCGACCATCCATTCAAACAGCAACCGGTGCGGGAGCTGTCATTCGAGCCTCCTTCGCCAGCATTCTTTCCGCCCTGGCCTTGTATGTCCTGGTCACACTATGATGCTGAAAATCCCCTTGGCTGTCGGCGGTTTTGAATTGATATGCACCAGGAACCCGGGCGATATTGTGTGGCCATTGGAATTTCTCAGCGCAGCTGGTCTTGCAGAATCATCTTTTCAATTCTCATTCAACCCCATTTGTACCGACATGTTGAGCAACACATTCCGTTTTGTTATCCCCGAGTCTTACGAAACGTGTTGGGTTAGTTATTCTGAGGACGAGCATATACATTCCCTGTCCATATCGTTCTGGAAATGCCACCAATGCTGACATCTTCGACTCTTGGATGGTGCATAGTGGGTGGGAAAGTGTAGGTGTTTCAGGAGATTGCGGCTTGGAATCGGGTTTTTGATGATACCCACGTTTGTTGTTTGAGACATGGAGGAAGAAGGGATGGGTTACACGTAGCAATGGTCTGGAGCGAATTCCCATCCTCGACTGGGCACACCGAGTGTATGGACATGGGAGCGTTTGGCATACGGACGCACACAGTTGACTGAGTGCCATTGTTAGTACACCTTGCTAGTACAGCTTGCGCATCGGGTTGGCAAGCTGGCTCTTGTGGTTCTTGCAATCTCTGGAGGTACTGTACACTGGATGCACAGATTGCCCTCTGGGGGCACTACAATAAGATCGGGGTGGTGGTTGAGCATCCGAATTACCATGTATTATCTAGTTAATACAAGCACTGATGGCATGGTGGATTGTCCTCTCTCTAACAATTGCGGCTTCGTTCCCCGCTGTAGACAACTAGGCCTGATTTGCACCCCCTCCATCTGGTCAGTAACCACCGCAGCCCGTTCCTCCCTCCCTCCAACTTTGTCGCGGCGCGTCTACTTGACAACTTCATCGGGTTGAACACCTGAATCTCGCCCGTCTCTCGTGGTGCTTTCTTTCCTGGGCTTTTCCGGCGGCCCGGATCCGATCCGAATTGAATCGATTGCAGTCCTCCCACCTCTTGGGCCGCAGGTCGAGATCTCCAGTATACGGCCATTGTCAAGATGCCGGCGGCATCGCCTCAAACTGTGAGTGGGTGATTCGCTACTGCCATTGATCCCGAAGCGAACATATCCATATCCCCGTCGAGGATTCGATCCCATCTATCCGTACCTTATGCATGCCCTCTCCAGCCAACTGAACTCCCACCGTCTCCTTCAAAACCGACCGTCTAATCCGATACCACGCTCAGTCGAGGCTATGGTGTGAACGCTGCTAACGCTCTCCGCTTGACAGATCAAGCTGAAATCAACCCTGCGCCTCCTCATCCCGCGTCTGCGAAATGCCCAGAAAAAGGACACGGCTCTGTCCATCGCGGCCAGGCGCGAGATGGCCGAACTGCTCTCCCAGTCCCGCGAAGCGTCCGCACGCATACGAGTCGAGAACATCATCCACACGGACATCACGGTCGAACTGATGGAGATTCTGGAACTCTATGCCGAACTGCTCCTCGCACGCGCCGGGCTACTGGACATGCGAGACAAGAACATAAAGGAGGGCACGGCGACGGGCACTGACGACACCGGTCTCGAGGAGGCCGCCGCGAGCATCATCTACTCTGCCCCGCGGCTACCTCGGGACGTAAGAGAGTTGGGAATTGTGCGGAACATGCTCATCGAGCGGTTTGGGAAAGACTTCGCCATCAGAGCAAACGAGAACCAGGATGGTTGTGTGCCCGCTAGGGTGGTGGACAAGCTCAAAGTCGACCCGCCAAGTCAGAAGCTGGTCCAGGCCTATCTCGAAGAGATTGCGCGGGCGTACGGCGTGGATTGGCCACTTCACAAAGACGAAGTAGAGGCACTAAGTCGGGAGGTTGACGACGAGGACGCAGACGAAGGTGTCGGAGGTGGAATGAAGGAGCCGCCTATCCTCGCAGATGGGACGACGCCCGCAACACCGACAAAGCCACACAAAATCGATATTGGGTCTCTAGAAAACGCTACTCCGCCTTCGAGCCTAGCACCAGGCGGTGTGAAGAGCCCCGTATCTGTCGCGCCTCCGGCTGCAAGGTCAGACAATCCAAGCCCCAAAGTGAAACTCCCCGGCGGCGGGGAGGTAGCAAAAGACGACAAACCCAAGTCGGCATCTAAGTCAACGCTAAAAGCGAAAGGTACGCCAACGGCAGGAGGGGATGGTGTGCCCGGCAAGGTCCCCACCGTGGATGATTTGGCGAAGAGGTTTTCAGCACTGAAGAGATAATGCCGCGCGACGAAGGGGGGAATTGAGCACCTCCATGATGAAATTCTGTGAAAGACAATGAATTGACCGCACCCTATGGTGCCGGGGCAAGTAACAACCTGGCATTTTCCTGGGTTGATGCAAGATGGATGGGGTGGCTTCTTGCTAGGGAAGGGGACCATCCTGCTCCTCTGACGCTGAGTCCAGTCTGCGCCTAATTTCACTCCGAGCCACTGGGTCAACACTGCTGAAGGAATCTGTCTATGCATCAGAAGCCCGCCCTGTAGCCAGCGTCAGATCGAGACGGAGGCGAAACGAATTGATTGTGACTGATGACCGGAGGTGCTGATACGGAGAGGCCGATAGTTGTAGTCAGCCTGTAAAACATGTGATGGTCACCTCGCATGCACGAACATAACACCGAATGCCGCCTTCAGTTGACTGTATGGACGCTGTCGATATACTGGGCTGGGTGAGCCTGGTCACCGCGTGAAAGTCCTTATTGATGCTTTCTCGGATCTTGCTGCTGATTAAGGTAGAGTCTTATACGCATCGATTTCGAATGTCCTTCCAGTGCTGGTAAAGTTCTGCATTGCTCCATGGCCTTGACCACTGCCCAATTCTGGATATCCGAGAAGCCGAAAGCCAGACGGATGATATAAAATCATTCCAGTGCGCAGGTTATGGATCGTCTGTGGCTGGCTGTTTGTGTCCTCGGAATGGTGTTGATGCAGCCATCGAGCGGTTGCCCTATAATCCATCCCTCCTTACCAGATCACAATCACACATTGTCCCGAACAGTGGTATCACCTCACTCCAATTTATCCAGGTGCTCCAACCTCGTCAAGACAACCTGCTTGCTCGTCTCTTCAATCTCTCCGGCCAAGAAGACCTCGTCCAGGATGGCGTAGACCTTGTAGAAGTTGAAGACGAGGTCCAACTCGCATACATTGCCGAAGAACTGGTCAAGGACTTCGACGAAGAAATGGATGGCCTCGAGATAGGCGAGCTCGTTGTCGTTGGCATCAACGCAGACGCAGAAGAACAGGCCGGCGTATCGCCGATAGACAATCTTAGTAGAGGACAGGTTCTGGCGGACCAGCGGTTGGGCGTGATGCGAGGTCGAGGCCGACGAGCTGGGCGCCGATCGGAACTCAACAAAGTTGGATTGGTATTTCTGGTCTCGAGGCGCAATGAGACGGTGGACCTGCGAATTCGACCGGGATGACTGTCAGTCTGGAGATTGAGGTGGCTTCAGATTGCCTTCACGGTGGACAGCCATAGGCATGCACGTACCTCGCCCTTCAACTTGACCTTCTCTTCATCCGTGTAAGGAGCATACCATTTGGCGAGGCGGGTTTTGCCCTGGCGATTCTGGACGAGGATGAAGGAGAGAACCATCTTCACGTCGAGGAGAACAGGACATGGGCACCCGATGCAGTGCGACCGAGAGATGTTTGGTCGTCCAACGCCTCTGGATTCCGAGGACGATGACGATGCTTCAGGAGATGGCTATCGGTACGTTCTTGCAGAATGGTGTCCGGAGTACTCTGTAGAGATGAAATAGGGCCATCGGGCTGTGGGCCTGCGGCTCAGGCCTGGACGTCGGCCGCAGGAAGCCTCGAGTCCGCATTAGGCTAATAAATAATTCCAGGCTGGTGATGGGTGCGAAATACTCACAGCCTCGCAACTGCCCCTACCATGGACCTGTTTCTCTATAGCAATCTCGCTCTTACAGTCTAGAAGTCGATGCATGTTGCTCTGCTTCTAAGGTTGGTTTAAAATCCTGGGTGTGCTCATCCAACCATGGCGTCTTGCATTCGCCGGGTATTTTTTGACGCTTCGACTCCCTGTTATCTTGCATCGCATGTACATATAACGACCGGGCTCCAAGCGCCATGCACCGTGCGATGACCTTATTCCTAGGACTGTAATCCCTGCAATCGTCCCCAAGTCTAACGTCGACGAAAAGGAGACGTGTGTTCTTTAGTCGAAAAACTTAGTGAACGCTTTGTGTGCCAGTTCCACGCCGACAAAGGTGGCAGCATTGGCCGGAACCGCTCTGGCCAGCGCAGGGCCAAAACCAGGGAAGAAAGCCTTGATGCCTCCGCTTCTGTAAACACCGCTTATAGTACCACCTATGGTCGGCCGTCCCTCTGCTGACTGTAGCCGCGACTTGATGGTATCGATTGGGAAGACTGGGATCCACATAGCTACACCGGCAGCGCCGCCAGCTGTCATGACCGCGGGTAGACTCAGTTCGCCTGTGGCGTTGCCGTCTTTGTCCTTGGGACTCAGACCGCGCTTGACATATTCGTAGACTGCAAAGTAGGCGGCTGAACCAGGACCGTCGCGGGCCAGAGTCATCGCGCTGCCTCGAAAGACGGAGCGAATCCCGCCCTCCTTGTAGAGCTGTCTGACAACATCGATGCCGCCCTTGTATTTCGGCTTCTCCCCCGGGGCGAGTTGTTTCTGACCCTGGATCTGAAGCAAGACTTTGACGCGTTCAAAGGGTGCCGTGATCAACGTCATTGGAATAGCGGAGAAGAAACCTGCAGCCGAGATCTGGCCAATGCTGTACTGGGGGGTGTTGTTCACAACCGGCACTGTGGCGAAGGTGTCGACAAGTAGCTTTCCCATGTCATAGCCCCAGAAGCTGACTGCAAACATGGGGGTAACGCCCACAAGCGGCGCGGAGACCCCGGCATAGAGGCCACGCGCGATTCCTTCTCTTGCAATTGTCTTCTTCACCACGTCAAAGGCGCCAGTGTAAACGCCCTTGTCCGCCGTCTGTAGACGGACTTTGACCAGATCAAAAGGATGTCCGACAACAACGGCGCAAATGCCCCCCACCCCTCCCGCGGCTAGAGACCTCAGGCCAGATACAGCGCCCTTGGCTGACTCTTTGACTTGTTCCTTGACTTCTTCTTTCGAGGGAAGCTCGTCCACAGACGTGGGCACGGCAGCTGGAGCCATTGTGTGGATGCGCAGGAGGAAGAATCAAGGATTGGAGAGGAGAGAGAGGAACACAAAGCTCGCGGGTCAAGACTGCTTTCTTTGTTCCTTTGGTGGCGCTCGTTCGAGCGGACAGACGGAGGGACGAGACCAACGGTCCAGAGGCTTGTAAGAGGGGTCAAAGGACAGACGGCGGGCAGTAGCGAGAAGTGGTTTAGCAGGATGATCTCATGCTTCTGTCCGGCGAGGCTCACGTCTAAACTCTTGTAGGGATTGGGAGCTCCTGGGCCTGAATTGAGAGGGAGAATCCAACTACTAGATGAGCGCACGAGACTGTCCTATGAAATGTTCTGGAGCTTGTGAAAGCAAAGGTGCACTGGTGCAGGGCTGAGTTTTGTTTAGCCGAGGCTCGGACACCTGAGCTTCGTCCTCCGTACTCTCCGCGGGGCTAAGGAGGCTGACTACTGTTCCACGGGGGGCTCAAGCCTTCCCCGAAAGGTTTTCGTTCCATGGCATATATTCGGATTTCCAAACCAGCCCCCGGGAAGAGTTCGGCTGGCAGGAGTGCGACGATTTGCGTGCATTCTGGCATGCATTTTTGCGGGACATGCTTATTTGAAAATGCAGGTATTCAATATACATAGGACTCCAGTAACTCTCAACGCCGGTGGAAAGAGAAAGGCCGCATTCCATGATCAAGCATCGGCAATATGACTTCCGCCCAAGGATGCGAGATGTCCCTTTTTTTTTGAATCGTCTCTAAACCCAGGCTCAGTGAGGGCCAGCAACTCCGTGAATTCCTTTCATAATCCCACCAAGCTGGTCTCCAAACATGATGTGAGCCTCCGCAACCAGTACGGTAGTGAATAAGATCCAGGCAGCCATCATTAGGAGAACCACTTTCATCATGAGCTTGAGCAATCGAGCCCGGCTTGCCCATGGAAAGCTCCTCCATGCTTCGACCAGGCCGATCTTGCCCTGGCCACCAATGATTGCCGGGGTAGTCCTTCCATCGAAGGTGCGGTCAAACGGTACGATTGTTTCGTCTTCTTCTGGAAGCATCGATGCAGCGACTCTGACAAGAGTGACGGTGGCAGGGATCTGCAACAGGACGAACAAGGCTAGCATGATGAACATGCCCATGAAGCCTTGTGCGCCGACAGCATAGAGATCCTTCTTGCCGGGTTCGTATGCCGGGTCGTTCATACGCTTGAGAGACCCAAATGAGCCACAAACCAGACCGGGGAGAACAGCCACGATTTGGCTGGATGCCGCCCACAGAGCCACGGCGGGAGCAATCTTGGGCCATGTCCTGATCGACGGGATGCGATGATACCATCTCTTCGCCCTGGGCTCAGAAATGACAATATGAACCCAAGCCATATGAAGATTCGCGAGGAGGGTTTCGATGACAACAGCTGCAAAAGCGACTGCAAGGCGGCTGCCCGTGGCGCCACCAACCCCGCCACCGATAAAACCTGATACCACATGCCACACAATGAACATAGACAGACCACGGAATCGTGACCAGTAGCCCGCTCGAGCTCTGAGATGTAGTATGGTCTGACGGATCGAGGATGTGAACGGCTTATTGCGGATAAGGAGGCCGTCCCGGGCAGCGTAGCCTTCCACCTCTAGATCTTCGGGGACGTCGTCTGTTGGTTTTGAGACATCCTCTGGAGAGTAAGCCGGAGGGTCGGTGGGGTTTAGAATATCAACCGGGAGATAGGCTTGTGTCTCGGGGGATTCGATCATGCAGAGCGTTGGGACGAGGTGGCCATAAGTGTAACCTATCTAGGGTGGCGTCAGCTTGCTGGACAGACGTCAAACAGCAGTACTTACGCAGAACAAGAGGATCATGAATAAGAGGCCAGTGAGGACGAAGACCAGCCCAGCCACTGGAGAGATCTTAGATGGTGCTTCGCCGCCTGGATGGCCACCACTTTCGTCTTGCGTAATGGACATGACTCCGTGAGCAGCTTCAACGCCGCGGCGGAGTAGATGACTTGAGAAACTCATTATTCTTTATGGTGGGAGGACGACTGAGGAGGAATTGGAAGAATAGGGATGACAAAGTACAGAGTAGAGAAACAAAACTGGGTGTAGGTGGGTGGCACGTAGTCTTTATTCAGGGCGCCTGGCTTTAAAGTTTAGGTACGTTTTAAGCAGTGTTTCAGCACCCCCGTGGTACGGAATCGGATCGCCCGGGAGCGTCATCAAGACCGCAGGCTGCCATCAATTATTGTCTCACTGCGCCACACCCGCCGTAATCACTCCAGCCTCGCCGCCACCACAGGCACCTAAGGTATCCGTAATAGTTACTCTGGGCCTTAGTGTGTAGGTATGGAAGAACTCTGTACGGAGTACTATTACTGAGTATTTATATGGACAGTAGAAACCCAAGACATAATTCAAATTAGATCATGTGCCTTTACTTCACAGTCAGGTCTGCCAGCTACGCCCAAAAGGACTAAAAGGCCTTCACGGTGCCAGTGCGATCCCACGTCGTGCATCATACAGTGTTTGGTTTTTGGGCAATCTGGAAACAGTTTCGACTGCCTCAGAGCTGTTGCAATTCATCAAACTGCAAGAGGCCACACTAAACGCATGCCTCTTTGTAGGCACCATCAAGTCCAAAAGTGAATCATTGCAGCCAAAAGGGGGCCTTCAATGTCGAGGTGCCACAATATCAGACTCAGCCCTCGATTAGAAGACTGCTTGGGTGTCTTGAATCACGCTACCTACATAGGTAGCACACTTGAAGGATGCAGAGTCAGCTCTGCCAATGGTTTTAGTACCAGACACATCGATCATATCTCGAAATGTGGGATAAGCCACCAACTCCATGCTCAAAGATTTCAACCCAACCCCGACATAAAGGATCTATTGTGACGCATAACTCGGACAGAAAATGATCCCCCATGCGACCTTCTAGAAGCCAAACTCCGTCCAGTACCAAAGCCTAGTTCGCCGGTGTGTGTCTCGTCATTCTTCTCCGACGCTTTCTCGCACAATCCTCTGACACTTCCGTCTGAATGCCTTGGGATCCTGTCTCCATAGTTTCGCTGCATCGACATTGGCCGGGCTCTCGTCGTTCGGGCTACTCAGCATGCTGATCACCGAAATCAATATCGATTCGGGAGACTGTACGGGCGACCATCTCTCAGCGGCAGACTCATACCCGTATTGGTCTTCTTCGGGAGGATGGAGGATCGAGATGCAGACTTCGCCTGAAGGATAGATGTTAGGATGGAAAATCGGCGTCTCGAACTTCATTTTGGGTGGCATCAGCGGGTAGTCCTGTGGGAATGATAGACGTGCGCGAAAGAAGCCACCTGAAAGTGCGTCAGTATGCATGCGAAAAAGTAGAAGTAGGTTGAGATGCCGTACCGCCATAGTATTTGCAGTCGTCGTTAGGAATAAGCATTACACTCCATTCGAAGATGTTGTCGTCCACCAAGCCGCAGCTGATGCCAGGGATATCTTTGTCGGATTGCATTTGTTTCAACTGTCTGCCGAGCAAGACGGCCGCGGGAGAAGTGGCGGCCATTGGCGATGGTGGGCAAGTACAAGGCACGGGGTCAAGTAGAATTTCTGGACAAACGTCTGGTTCTGGTCGTGGTAGAGGATGGCCTTGGCTAGACTGCCGTTCAGAAACTGACCATGGGTGACAGGAGGACAAGGTGGTGGAAGTGTTGAAGTCACAGCGACTTGGACCTTTGCTTCTTGTAAAGAGTCCCTCCCTGTCATGCTCCGATTTGTGGATCTCCAAGTGGCGGAACTTTACCCCTCTCCTCAAGACCCAGAGAGATCAACGGTACTCGGTAGCTTTCCAAGTTTCACACGGGTGGTTTGAGGTGACTTCATGGTCTATACAGTTTACTTAGTATACATTGTGTCGCTCCCCAATATACCTTGCTGTTCTTCTATACTATGATGAGCGAAATTCAATCAACATGTGACGACCGACACCGGTGACTTCATTTCGTGTTGCCACTGGTGAACCGAAGGTACGGCCGGACCTCACGAACATCTGTGAATTTCTTCTGCGCATCTGCCGTGGAAACGGTGGGTGGAACAATCACATCGTCGCCGACTTGCCAGTCAACGGGTGTAGTAACCCCCTTCTTGTCGCCCGTTTGCAAGCTGTCAATAACTCGAAGAACTTCGGCAGTGTTCCGGCCAACCGACGCCGGATAAAGCATGATCAACCGAAGCTTCTTGGCCGGATCAATGATGAACACACTCCGAATTGTAAAAGCAATGCCTTTCTGATCGATGTTCGTCAAGTCCTGCTGGTCAACCATATCGTACAGGTACGCCACCTTCCGATCAGCATCCGCGATTATGGGGAACTGCAAGTTCGTCTGCGCAATGTCGTTGATATCTTTGATCCACTCGGCGTGACTGCTCAGATCGTTGGCGCTCAGCCCGATCATCTTGACCCCTCTCTTTTCGAACTCATCCTTCAACTTTGCAAACGCCCCAAGTTCCGTTGTGCAGACCGGGGTGAAATCGGCCGGGTGACTGAACAAGATTGCCCAGGAATTGTCGATATATTTATGAAAGTCGATGTCGCCATGTGTAGTCTTTGCCTGAAAATTTGGCGCAGTGACCCCGAGACGCAGATGAGGCTGTTGTTCGGCAGTAGTGGCATACCCGCGGCAGACTTTCATGAGTGGGGAGGGGTGTGATCGCAGGGTAGCGACAGGCCCGGACCGTACAGCTGGCCTGAACGAGCGCAGGAAGGATCGAGAGACTGCTGAAGCCATCGTTCAATGTGAGCGTTGAAGCCAAAAGAAGCTGCCGCAGAGTAGGTGGTGCTGGCGAATCTGACTTTAGCAGAGTTTGAGCTCTACGAAGAGAATGCCGCGCAGTTGATAAAGTTTCTTCGGTCCAGCCTCGTGATGGCGTCATCGCACACGCTAGTCCAGAGGCGGAATCAAAACAACTTTGAACAAACATCCACCAATAGAATGACTGAGGCTGAAGATCTCCGTCACACTCTACGGAACACTCAGTTATTAGAGAGTAGACGCATCAAACCTTATCAGCAGGGAAGGTCTCCATACTTCCCAAGCATGATCATTTCGCTCTGTCGTCCCAAGGGTCAAGAATTATCATCTATACTCCAGAATGTGTCTCATGGCTCAAAATGACCCTCCCGTTCATGACATATGTAGAGTATCCCCGCTCACAATCGCATCAGTGACCGAATCTCCAGCCACCTTCTATTCTCATGCGTTCCCGCTGTTCTCGGTCTGCCCTTACTTCTTCCAGCGTCAGCCCGTCACCGCTGATGGCCCAATTGGCACTGCTGGTTCGATCTCGAAGTCGCTTGAGTCGGTCTTTGTTGCCCTTGGCGAAAATTTCTTCCATCTTCAGTGGCGCAACGGGGCCGAACACAGCATCTCCGTCCATTTCTTCTTGCCGAATGAGTTGCTCCGTGAGATGTCCTGGTGTTGCCCAGTCTGGAATAGGGAATGCGTTGTCTTCATCATCGGAATCCTCCTCCTCCGAGTCCGTCGGGATCTCAGGAAGGTGGATGGCTTCTCCGTTAGGATACTGGGGAGACGACTTGATGGTCTGAATCGTCTTATGCTGCATGATCGACACTGGAGTCTTTGCATGTGTGGGAGGGTTGGGAGCATCGGCAAAAGGAATCTTGGCTCCATTGGCATATTGCTGCATCTGAGGAGGAGCAGCACGACTCGGGGGTTGGGGAAACTGTCCGAGGTTCCCAGCTGGCTGTGCCTGCGTATACGTGTTATGGCTGAAGATTGAGGGTTTTTTCCCAAGTTGTGATTGACGGATGGGGGCCCCTGAGACCACAGGGCGAAAGGAGTGCTCCACAGAATTTTCCTCGTCGCCAGTTTTTCGTCTTTTCGCATCGGTCTGAGGTGGGCCCATAGCATACTTAACAGTCTGGGCTCGTGATGTGTCAAGGTCCTCTTCCAAAGGTCGTTTTGCCGGCTTTGCCGCATTCGTGGGCAGTGGATGGTTGATCAAGGAACGGCCGACAGGTTGGTTTCCAAGGCGTGAGGAGGGACGAGCCTAGGTGTGCACGGTTAGCGGATGATTTAGACAAGTTACGAGATACTTACAGCTTCGGTTGCAGCACGATCCAGTCGTTGCTGCTCGGCCTTTCTAGCCGCCTCTTGACGCTTCCGTTCAATGGCTTGTTGCTGAGCTTGTCGTCTGGCTTGCTCTGCCGCTAGCCGCTCCCTTTCTCGTCTCTCTGCATCTGCGCGCTGCTTTTGTTCTTGTTTCCGCATCTCTTCTTGCTGTGCGGCTCGCTTGCGTTCAATCTCCCGCTTCTGCTCGAGCTTCCGCTGTGCCTCACGTTCGTCCTGCTCCTTCTTCCTTTCGGCAGCGAGAAGCGCTCTTGGTTTGGGTGGCTGACCATGCATTGATGATTTTAGAATGGTGGACGTGGTAGACTGTAACGATGCTGTGCTAGTCTTTTTATTCAACCCTGGACGCTTGGGCTCAGCAGGTAAGACTTCTTGTGCATTCGCGGCGGAGTGTGCCGGATTAGCCGGCATTCGTTGAGACAGGGTCCCAACTCGAATAGACACAGGAGCCGGTTTGGCTTTATTGATGGGCGGCTCTCTTGCTGGCCTGCCTGGTCGCGCAGGTTTGGCTGCCAATGCCGTATACTCAGCCGGCTCGTGTTGTACTGGCTCGTCCGCCAGACGTCTTGGACTTGGATAAGCTGGCTGCTTGTTCTTGTTCGTGGTCTGCTCTTGTGCGATCCGCTGTTCTCCTATCTTCCGCCGCTCCTTTTCGCGAGCTTTCTCTAGTTGTTCGTCCATCTTTTGCATGATCTGAACATCTTTCTCCTTTCGTCTCTCCTCTTTCTCTTTTTCCGTGGAGCTGCGAGTCCTCCTTGTCGCCTTTGGAGGACTGGGTGGCAACGGCTTATCCTCCGTCATAGCGCTGAGGTTCGGATACATGCCTGGCATAGCATTCGCTGCCGCAATCATAGCATTGGGAGAAAGTGTCTCCAGCTTGGCCGCGGCGGACACGCCAGCACTAGCAGTAAAGAGGCCTTTGGCAGTTTTCATAATGGAATGCAGCTTCGACTTAGAAGCACTAAGATCAAGATATCGTTTGGGGGAGCCTTGCGGGGTGGTCGTAACTTGAGGGTTGGACACTGAAACCGACTTGCCAGGGCTCGTAGGCGGTGCCATTGCCGCCTTGGCAGGGGATGCCAAAGTGGCTGTTGACGCAGCTTTGGTATGGCTGAACAAAGGCCTCATTTTCCCGGGGCTCATAGACGTTCGGGCTGGCGTCTTCATTCGTGCTTCGTGTGCTATCAATTCGGGGGCACGAACATCAAATTCTGCATCGTCCGAATCTTCCTCATTGTATGCACTGACGCTCTTGGGCGCCGGTGAGGCAGCGACATCGGGAGAGATTAACGGCTTGATCCAGTCATCATCATCGTCATGACCCAGCAGATCCCAGTTGTCTGGTCGTTCGAGGTGGTCAGGGGCATCAGGTTGCTTATGAGTAGCCAGTGTAGCAGCCGGTGGAATTGATTGGGATGGACGTGATTGAGTGGCCTTTCCAAGCATATCTATTTTTTCATGCAATCTCTGTGTCGATGACTTCGCGTGATTTCGGGAAGTCTGTGCCTCGCCAGGAAATTCATCTTGTCCTAGAATTTCGATGTTCTCTTCATTCGTTACAGCATCTTTGTTGTCATGTTGGGCGAAATTCGATCCAGTCTGGGTCAGGCCCAGTGCTTGCCGCGAGCTATATGGTCCAGCTTGATGTGGCTGATCAATGTGACTTGTTCGTGACATTCTGGCACCAATGCTCGTTTTCATTGGCTCACGCGCAGGAAGCGAAGCGAAGGTCAAACTGCTCTTCCTCACCAAGGGTTTCTCAGGTGTTGATTCATCCGATGGGGACCCGATTTCGTCAAAGTCATGATGACCATCGTCTTGTGCATGACCAGATGGCGCAGCCCGTATAGTATCATCGCCGTTCAGCGCCACATTTTGAGGCGCGGAATGATTTATAGCAGCCTCTGCATTTACAACCCTGTTAATCTGGTCCTCTTTTGCCGAATGAAATGATCCTTCTGTAGTTCTGTGTTCGGGGTCTGTGGTGTCATCTGTATCCTGTCCATGCAGAGGATCTGTTGGAACTGGAGGTTGTATCTGCGACTCCACCTCGATATCGCCTTGACTCGAGCCGTGATAGCCGGAATCAGTCTGCGATTTGTAGGCATGTTGGACGTGCTGACTCGCATCTCGGGCAATTGTAAAGTGAGGTGGATTCATGTTTGAATGCTTCTGAGGGCTCTGTCGTGGGAGGGGCTGCGATGAGAAGACATCACTCAACGGCTATGATGAACATTAGACGGGGTTAACGTAGATTGGGCTTGACGTACTATTCGTGCATCCTGAGCATTACGTTTCCTCACTGTCCGGGGAGTTTTCCCTCGGAGCTTTCCAGGGGTTTTGAAGACATTAGACACGTCGCTGTAGGCATTAGCTTGTTGTAAACATGCGCAGCTGAGAGGAACCACTCACACATTGCGCTTGCTGAAGATCTCGGCCATGTGTTCATTGAGCCATTCAAGCTGATGTTGCGCAGGAAATGCCACCTCCTCTTTCTCATTTTGCAGCAACTGCAAGGCGTTCTCCTTCTCAGCTGAGATCCAGGTAGCCGATCCGATCGCGGTAGCTTTGGCAGCCATCGTGCGTCCTGGAGGCTGGAACTGGAGGCTGACAGGTCAAGAAGAGCGACTCGGGAGTATGCCGTCGGTTAGTTGTCGACAGATACTCTTCAATGGCAGAGATGGCATTGCCAGGTGCCGGTGGTGGATGATGTTGGACGTGTTGAACCTCACAACTGCCTCTGGTGTTATTGATGCTGCCGAAAAGGTCTTAGCTTGTACTAATATGTCACAACTTAAGTCTTGGCGCAGTGCTCGACGAGGCTGATCACGTGCACTCGCCACCTTACGCCTTTTCCGGGTGCGGAGCAGTCAATGGGTTCCGAGTAATCTTCCCCAAAAGACCTCGACAAGATGCTAAGCTTCATTGGCCAGATGGTCATTTCGAGTTCCGAGATTCTCCGCCAATGCCATCTCGAAACGCCATGTAGCGTCTCGGAGAATGAGCGACCTCGGAGGTTCTCCAATATGAGCGAGCTTATACATATACATTGAATTCCACGCTCGTTCTCCCTCTCGGACCTCACCATTTATAGATCAAATTTCCGCTTCTGAAAGATACGTTACACACGTTAAATCATACCTACATCCGAGATGTCCTTCGTAGGCTCAGGCAGTAGTAGCCTTCCACTACGCTTCTTCTCCAGGTGTCCCGGCCATACACTCTCTCGACCTCGGCTATGGCATCGAGTTTCCCTCCAAGGCGGATACAGACACTTTGCTACCAGCAGAAGGCACAACATGATGGATACGAGTGTCTTTACCGAAGAGCAGTTAACAGTACGAGACGCAATTCAGAAGATCTGTGCTCAATTTCCCAACGAATACTGGCAACAGCATGACCAGTCCGAGACTGACCCCAAAGAATTGCACGCCGCCTTAGCTGCTGATGGATGGCTTGGAATAGCGCTGCCCGAGGAGTTTGGAGGCGCAGGGCTGGGTATTTCCGAAGCGACAATGATGTTGCAAACTATATCTCAATCAGGAGCCGGAATGGCGGGAGCTCAATCCATCCATGCCAACGTCTACGCCACACAGCCACTGGCCAAGTTCGGCAACAAGGACCAACTGCAGTCGACTATCCCCAACATCATCAGTGGTAAATGGAGAGTCTGCTTTGGCGTCACCGAGCCCAACACAGGTCTTGACACTCTCAGACTGAAGACGACGGCCACTCGTAAGGGTGATAAATATGTTATTACAGGCAAGTCCATCCTTACTCTGGGACCGGCAAGCAGGAGAACTGGGTCATGACCTCGTACCGAGTCACCGCCAGGGATACTGTATTGTTGGCCAGGTCCCTCGCCAGTCAGCTTTTGGGTGAATGGGCATCTTTTGCAGGTGCTAATCCTCATTCACAGGCCAAAAGATCTGGATTACTTGCGCCCAAGTGGCTTCAAAGATGATCCTGCTAGCACGAACCACCCCGTTAGAAGAGGTCAAGAAGCCGAGCGAGGGTTTGTCTTTGTTTTGCATAGATATCGACAGATCTAATCCGGCTTTGGAGCTCAAAAAAATCAAGAAGATGGGTGGCAGGGCGGTAGACGCCAATGAGGTGTTCTTTGACCATTACGAAGTCCCGGCAGATACCTTGATCGGAGAGGAAGGTCAGGGATTCAAAATCATTCTTCATGGTATGAATGCGGAACGTTGTCTTCTGGCAGGAGAAGCACTGGGGTTGGGATATGCCGCGCTAGAAAGGGCTGCCAGATACGCACGAGAGCGAGTCGTATTTGGAAGACCAATTGGCAAGAATCAGGCTATTGCTCACCCTCTTGCCGATGCCTATGTCAACCTGGAAGCGGCCAAACTGGCTACCTATCACGCGGCCCGACTGTACGACCGAAGCAGGACAGACAAGACCGTCAGCCCACATGCAGTAGGAGTTGCATGCAACAGCGCGAAATACCTAGCTGCCGAGGCTGCGTTCAAAGCGTGTGAAAGGGCAGTCATGACTCACGGTGGTATGGGATATGCTATGGAGTATGATGTTGAGAGATGGCTGAGGGAATGCCTTGTACCGCGGATCGCGCCAGTTAGTCGTGAGATGATTTTGAATTTCGTCAGTGAGAAGGTCTTGGATTTACCGCGGAGTTATTGATTACTTAGGTAACTTGGATAGCTGTGTGCATCAGATAATATGAAAGAGGAATACTTTATGTCTTTCAAATTAGTACTCTGTAGACTTCGGTTGACAAAGGGAGAAAAAACACGAGGATCGGAATATTATAATCGGATTTCCCAATTTGACCCCCGCACTCACTAGGGACTCGCTCGGCTGCGTTCACATTGGTTTTTGGTTTTTGTTTTACATGAGGTCTTTTTTGGTTACACAGTCGCATAATGTCGCGTATCGAGGAACTCCCTGATGATTTCGATGAGCGCATCAATCTCAATGAGCCGCCCAGCGCGCCCTCCCTTGAGGAGCTGTACAGCGAGCACGTCAACGCGCCTGTACAAAACCACATCTCGGACAAAAGCTTTGAGGAGATTGTGCAAGAGATGAGCAAAACGCCTCTTTTCATGAACAGTCTAGATGAAGCAACTGATGAGGGTATGCCGGACTCTACCGCGCCTTCACAGTCTGGCTGAGCAACGTGGTGCGCAGATGGACAAAATATCATGGTCGAGGCCATCAAGGCTCTACAATACGAAGGCACAAAATCAGAGATTGCCCAAGGGTTCAAAGACCGCGGCAACGAAATGGTTGCTGAGAAGCAATGGAGCGATGCCAGAGAGTTTTACACAAAGGGCCTGGCCGTCTTGGTTGACAAGACTGAGGATAAATGGGACAAACCCGCAGACATGGATGTCGAGATAAAGCAACGCACAGCCCTTGAGGAGCAGCTCTACACGAATCGAGCTCTGTGCAACTTAGAGCTAAGTGCGCTGCTACATGCCTGGACGCCGGAAGCCTGCTGACAATCCAGAAAATTACCGGTCGACAACCCTGGACTGCGCAGCTGCCCTTCGCATCAATCCTTCCAATGTCAAGGCCCACTACAGGTCCGCCTCCGCTCTGCTTGCGTTGGACAAAGTCTTGGAAGCCCTCGATGTGGGCTCCCGGGGCTTAAAGATCGATCCGGATAACACGGCCTTGAAGAAGCTGTTAGAGCAGATAAGAACCCGAGCGAAAGCCAAAGAAGAGCAGGACCGATGTCGGCAGGCGGAACTGAGGAGGAGACAGCAAGAGAAAGGAACATTGGAAGCCGCTCTCAAAGCCCGGAAGATACAGGTCCGCGGCTCGACGCAGCCTCCAAACTTGGAAGATGCAGAAATTCGTCTCTCACCCGATCCCTTGTCACCAACGAGCCTACTCGAGTTTCCTGTTATGTTGCTCTACCCGATGAACAATCAGTCTGACTTTATCAAGGCTTGGGCGGAGAAGGACACTATCAGCCAACATCTCAGCTACATCCTCCCATTGCCATGGGACGGCAAGAACGAGTACAGGCAAGACACTGTAGATTGTTATATGGACACAATCAATGGGGGCTTGGTGAAGATTGGGAAGAAATTGACATTGCTAGAGGCGCTGTCAAACGGTAAGACAGAAGTTGTCGATGGGCTGGTTAGGATCTACGTAGTGCCAACATCGATGGCAGCACAATGGATAGGAGAAGTGAAGCGGAAGAAAGGGAAATGATGTACCTATTCTGTGGTTTGCACGACAAGAACTAAAATCGAAGTCTTGAAGCTGTAGAAGCCTTGGGGTCTGGCTGCTCCAGCTGTGCAGTGGGCTGCGTTTTCTGATCATACTAGCGTAACGGTAGGCATCTAGTAGGCTCCTGCCAAACAAGATGGCGGGGGATTAGGAAGGATTGGGATTGGACTAGTCACTAGGCCGATTCCAGTGGCCGCTGATTATGATTGATTCCCTCTTAGGTGCCTCTCCTTCAAGCTGCCACAGGCTCATCTTGGACAATTAGCATCTCTCTGGAGACTGGGATCTCCCTTCGCTGGCCTCGCTTCCACGTTTGAGACATAGCCAGCCTGCTAGCCCCTCCCTTCCCGCGGGCCGAAATCTCCCTGGCCTCTTGTTAGCGTGCGGCACCCGCTGCGCTGCACATTCTGCGCCACCTGTCCCGGCAAACTGTAACACACTCGCTCGACAGTGCTCTGTACCTTTCCAGCCTCAACGAAGCCCTTGGCTCATGCCCAATCAATCACCACTCGACAGCCATGAACAACCCCGCTGGCGTGCCGATGTATGCCTTCAGCAATCCCCAAGCGGGAGGGCCGTTTCCCATGTCCCCCGGGCCACCCTTCGCCAACGCCCAGACGCCATTTCAACCATCAAGCATTGTACCAAACCACCTGCAAAGATTATCCCACCCTCCGCAAGGTCAACAGCCAGCACCACATAACATCTATTATCAACAACATCCAGGAGAAGGTGCTCCTCCACAACCGGAAAGCGCCGCCACCCATAGCACACCGAACCAAGGTTAGTCGTTTCGCGAAGTATCTTGTTCTCCCCACAGGCTGCTGCCGTTGTCCAGTACCAGACAGGATCCTAACTGAGCCAGTAGGATATTTCTCCAATGGACAGTCACCCGTCTCGATGACCCAGACACCGAACCAAACATTCCATCCTACCCATTCTCAGGTGCCTACAGGCGCTGTTCAATCACGAGCCCCTTCGTCCGTACCCACGGACATCAGTATGACCTCACACATTGGAGTCCAGGGGCAATCCAGCGCGAGCCTCGCGCAGCAAGCGCAAATGCAACATGCGGCACAGATGGCGCGCTCTGTTCCACAACAACAACCCCAGCCGGGCGCGGGACCGTCGCCGTTGTCCCAATCAACTTCTCGGGAGCGCGCGAGGGTTTCCATCCTCTTGGAGATAAACACACATTTGCTGCAGGAAGTGGTCTCACTACAAGCCCAAGGGAAAGCAGGAACTGCCCCGAACCCAGGACAGCAGTCGCCCACATCACCTACGTCGACCGATGCCGGCAACGCCTTGGCTAACAGCCCCGGCGAGCCGCCGAAGGGCGCAAGCGGCGCAGGCGCAACTCCCTCCAAACCGCCCTCGCAGGAGTATGCAGATTGCATGCGTCGTTTGCAAGCCAATCTCGCTTACTTGGCTGCGATAGCGGATGCAAAGAAGAAAGCCGGAACATTACCCTCTGGCCCGGCGATTATGATTCCACCTCCTCACCTACCACAAGTTCACGACTTGTATAAGAAGCTGAACGCCCTATTCCCCGAAGCTGGCCACTCTGCCGTCAATAAAGCAGTTGCGTATGCTGCAGGACAGAACCAGAGTCAGAACCCGAACGCCAAAACTCAGCAACCTCCTTCGGTTCCCCCCCCAGGTTGAATTTTTTTGCCGTGATTCTCAAACGGGGGTTTCGAGCTTATAGCTTGATCTAGGCGTCTCGTCAATCAAGACGTATATAACTCTCCACAGAATGAAAATCCCTGATGTTCGAGGTATTTCGAGGTCCGAGAAGGAATCAGGTAACCCAATTGCCTCGCATAAGGAGCTCAAGACTCTAGTGGTGCGGACAGCGGCACTGGGTTGATTCTTGGACGTCCAGCGAAAGTCAAAATGTGCAAACTTCGCTCGACTCATGTTGTCCGGGCATGCTGTTGCACATCTACACTGCAAAAGAGAGACAGGTCAGAGCAAGACAAGTAATGCGCCTAGTTGGCCATTCTTTGTGAAGAGGGCAAGGTAGAGCTTGATGATGAAGGGGTTCACATGCGAAAGTCCATGTATACCTGATATATAGTTGTCCTTAGTAGGCGAGTCCGTAGATGGCTCCGGTCTATCAGGCAACCAAACTCCTCAAGTTGGAAGAACTAATCTATTACATGCGCGCCAAATCATGTTACTGGCCCTACTCATCTTAATAGATTTTCAAAGTGCATGGTCGCTGAATTGCTTGATCGCTGGTGGGGCCTGTAGTCGGGAGACGTAAAACCTGTCAACTAAAGAGTGATATTATAGACGAGCTGCTTGTGAGAGATCTCATGTTAATGTAAGCAATGGGACGTCTAATTGACTTCAATTCAAAGCTTTGAAGCACTTTCATTCACTTCATGCTTCAGGAGCCGCCAAGACAAAGTCGAGTTGAAGGCCGGGGTGGAATCGAGAGGAGTCGAGAGAGTGGCCAGTCGGGCTTCACAGCAATTTTGCTTCAGGCTGGCTCGAAAGTAGCCTTGCGACAATTCCACGGGCCTGCTGCCTCCTCGAGCATTCACAGAGGCCTTTTCACCAGGACCTCTTGTATGCTTCTTCATTTGGCTTCTGAATGATATCAAGGATTTGCCCCAATCTCACTCGGGCCTCTCTTCTATCTTCTTGTAACACCTGCGCCACGGTTCCTTCTCACTTACGCGCCAGCCTTCCTTCAGCAAAGTCTTCTAAAGCTTTCGTACCTGCCAAGTACCGCTGGTGGAAACCTCGAGTTTCAGCCATCCACGATTCCTTGTTCGCACGTGCGGCGACGTCTACTGCTCTCCGTCCTTCCAAAGCAGCCAGAGGTTGGCGTTTCTCCTCCACCATGTCAGGACTTAGCGAAGCTCGACCCAAACGAAGAACAAGCCCGATTTCGGCTATAGAAAGGCCGAAGAAACAGCTCAAACAAGAGAACGGAGTGCCTACACCCGGGGATGTCACCCCGCAGAATGGTTCGGTCTACGACATCGAGGCTGACTCGAGCGCTGTACCTATAATAAATGCTGCCTCTGCAGCGGGCGACTCCCCCGAGTGGCAGGCTACAATAGAAAAGGTGATAAAGAGTGTGGTTTCGATACACTTCTGCCAGACATGCTCGTTTGACACGGATCTTTCCACGTCGAGTCAAGCAACGGGATTCGTGGTGGACGCTGAGAAGGGATATATATTGACAAATCGTCACGTTGTCTGTGCGGGACCTTTCTGGGGCTATTGTGTATTTGACAATCACGAAGAAGTAGGTTCCCGCTCCTGTTATGCTATACCAGCCGTTTGCTGACGGTTGTAGTGCGACGTGCGACCTGTCTATCGCGACCCTGTCCACGATTTCGGGATTCTCCAGTTTGACCCCAAGGCTATCAAGTACATGCAAGTCCAGGCGCTGAAACTGCAGCCCGAGTCTGCCCGAGTCGGGGTCGAGGTCAGGGTTGTGGGAAACGACGCCGGAGAAAAACTGAGCATCTTGTCTGGAGTCATCAGTCGGTTAGACCGCAACGCTCCAGAATACGGTGAAGGTTACAGTGACTTCAATACAAACTACATCCAAGCTGCCGCAGCAGCAACAGGTGGGAGTTCCGGCAGTCCTGTGGTCAATTTGAGTGGCAACGCGGTTGCTCTGCAGGCAGGCGGCCGTGCGGACGGTGCTGCCACCGACTATTTCTTGCCACTGGATCGACCATCACGAGCCTTGCAATGTCTCCAACAGGGCAAACCAATCACCCGAGGAACGATTCAGACGCAATGGATGCTGAAGCCCTTCGACGATTGCAGGAGATTGGGATTGACGCCCGACTGGGAATCTGCGGTGCGCAAACACTTTCCGAATGAGAACAGCATGCTCGTGGCGGAGATTGTACTGCCCGAAGGTCCTGCAGACGACAAGATCCAAGAAGGGGACGTCTTAATCAAGGTCAATGGAGAACTGTTGACCTCCTTCGTCAAGCTTGATGCCATTCTCGACTCGAGCGTCGGAGGCAGGGTGGACCTTTTAATCCAGCGAGGCGGAGAGGACCGTGAGGTCACACTGGACGTGCATGATTTGCATGCAATTACCCCGGATCGATTTGTCACCGTGGCTGGTGGTAGTTTCCACAATTTGTCCTATCAACAAGCGCGATTGTATGCCATTGCTTGTAAAGGCTTGTACGTGTGCGAAGCGGCGGGCTCGTTCAAGATGGACAACGCCCTTTCGGGATGGATCATCGATACAGTCGATCAAAAGCCTACCCCGGATCTCGATACTTTCATCGAAGTCATGAGAACCATTTCCGACCGTTCTCGAATTGTCATCTCATATCGACACATCCGAGACCTCCATACCCGGGCCACGAGCATTGTGCATATCGACCGACATTGGCATCCGAAGATGAGACTGGCTATCAGAAACGACCAGACCGGTCTGTGGGATTTTCAAGACTTAGGCAAACCACAACCCGCGGTCCTGCCAGAGCCCAAGTCGGCTGATTTCATTCAGCTTGACGGCGTCAATCTGCCTGCAGCAGCAGATATTATTCGTTCGTTTGTCAAAGTTTCGTGTTACATGCCTGTCAAGATCGACGGCTATCCTCAAGCCCGGCGAACAGGGTTCGGCCTCGTGATCGACGCCCAAAAAGGCTTGGTGGTGGTTTCTCGAGCAATCGTGCCATATGACCTGTGTGATATCACCGTAACAGTGGCAGACTCGATCCAGATCCAGGGCAATGTTGTGTTCCTTCACCCACTGACCAACTATACGGTCATCCAATATGACCCAAAGTTGGTAGATGCGCCTGTGCAGTCAGCTAAGTTATCTACGGAAATGATTAAGCAAGGCGCCGACACGATCTTTGTTGGCTTCAATCAGAACCACCGGGTGGTCGTTGCGAAGACCACTGTGACTGACATCACCGCAGTCGGAATCCCTGCAAACGCGGCTGCTCCTAGATATCGTGCCGTCAATCTCGATGCCATCACTGTGGACACAGGCCTCTCATCGCAGTGCTCATCCGGCGTCCTTATTGGTGCGGATGGGGTTGTCCAAGCTTTGTGGCTCACATATATGGGTGAGCGAAGTCAAGGCAGCCACCGAGACACGGAGTACCATCTTGGTCTGGCTACCAGCATGATTAATCCGGTGATCGATCAGATCAAGGCTGGCATCATTCCAAAGCTCCGAATATTGAACATGGAGTCATACGTGGTGCAAATGGCACAATGTCGGATCATGGGTGTTTCGGAGGAATGGATCAAAAAGGTGGCCAAAGCAAATCCTTCTCGCCATCAGCTGTTCATTGTTAGGAAGGTGGACTGTGGCCCAGCAAATGGGGCCAACGACGGCCAACTGCTCCAGGAAGGAGACATCATTCTTACACTTAACGGTCAGCTCATCACGCGCGTCTCCGATTTCGACATAATGTACGATAAGGAATGGCTTGATGCATTGGTCGTCCGGAAGGGAGAGGAGATACATCTCCGAGTGCCCACAGTCCCGACCGAAGATCTGGAGACATCCCGCGCCGTGATCTTTTGCGGAGCCGTCCTGCAGAAACCTCATCATGCGGTGCGGCAACAGATCAGCAAACTTCACTCGGAAATCTATGTCAGCGCCCGAAGTCGGGGATCACCAGCATATCAATATGGACTGGCCCCGACCAATTTTGTCACTCATGTCAATGGGGTCAAAACGCTGGATCTCGACTCATTTGTCAAGGAAGTCGGCAAGATCGAAGACAACACCTATTTCCGGTTGAGGGCTATGACATTTGATAATGTGCCGTGGGTGGTGACAATGAAGAAGAACGAGCACTATGTAGGTATTGGATCGAAAACATGACTTGGCAGATGCTAACCGGTTGTACAGTTCCCCATGTCTGAATATGTGAAGGACGAGAAAAAGCCGACCGGATGGCGGGTGATCTCCTACAGCGCGAAAGGCCAGAAATCTGGTAGCAAACATGACGGAGCCCCGATCACAGCCGAGGGCATGGATGAAGAAGTGGGCGGAAGTGAAGGGGAGGAGATACCAGACACGTGACCGAGGTAATAGAGGCTCAGCAGGAATCAGGAACACTGGAACAGCCCAATGTTTGGGACAAGGTCTTGCCAGAGCAAAGTATCGATCTGTTCTGGAGATACGGGAATAAATGCAAAGAAAACAAGGGACAACATGCCGTAAGGCAGGCAAGCCATGCTCTATCTAATCAAGAATGAACACTGCGACCATAACAAGGCTGTGAACAAGGTACTCCGTCCCGCCTCAGGTTGCAGTATTTCCACCTGTTTACATGCCAATGATAAGCCCAGTCATAGGCTCCAGAGCCTAGCCAGAGGTCGTAGTACAGTACTACCGGAGTGCTCTGTAGGACGAGAAAGTGTACACAGTGTACACAAGAGGGGACAACGGGATGGGTGCGGCTGAGGCCAAGACTGTCACATGTCAAACCCTCCTGTCCTCACCCTTTTCAAAGTTCAAGGAGGTACCTCGTACGGGTAGTTGGGGACAACAGCATCTGGCACCAAACTTACCACTGACGTGTGTGCTACTGGACAGGCACAGAACCAGGCAGTCGACAACAGTACGGATGTAGACGGTGGCCTAGATGAAAGGTGAAAGGTACAGGCAGCCCTAAAGCACTGCAAAGTTACTCCGTACTGACTGACATAGCTAGGCCGGATGATGTCAGGTTGGGTGGCTTTGGTGGAGCATTGATGTGGTGTTATGGGCGCACGCGATCAGGTTCTTTGTAGGGGCAGTGGCGCAGACAACAGGACTAGATACGTAACACGGACGGCCTGCGAGTGGTCGAACTGGTTGTCAGTGTTTGGCTTGATGGAAGGTTCAAGATGGCATAGGAAGCACCTCACCGGCCTGTTTGCGTCAGAGGGGAATACCGGGTGGCATTTCCAGGAGCTGCAGGTGAATCACAATCGCGCGTCGGAATCAACAGTAGCACTAATACACAGTCCGTATATGGACTACGTTACTAGCCTTTAGCCCACTTCACTGGAGCTCGGGAGCCCGCACCGCCAAATCTCGTCACCACAGCACTACCCTGATGCCCCCAAACGCAACCAAGTTTCCTAAACCTGCCTAACTGCCACCTACCTAACCTACCTACCTACACAAAACCAATCCCTCCGCTCCAGAATCGTGCCTGCACAACTCTTCTTCCACCTTCAGAAGCAATCCATCATCAATCATCACTCTTGCAACCATCATCCTTCTCTCTTCATTCATACCATCTCGACCGCCCCTCACAGTTCTTCTGACATCGCAGGACTCCGTCACCACCCACGGTGTCTTTTTGTCTAGCAGCTGGATCAGATGTCTTTGGAAGATTACAAGCCGTCGTCTGAACTTCCTACTCACACCGACATGTCTTCTGCCGAGAGCTCTGCTCCAGCGCCCACTGCCAATGGGACCACGTTGAAGGACAATCTGATCGACAGTAAGGTATGCAAGCTTGCCATGGGAATTCTTCGTTCTTCAATCACAGATTAGTTCTGACCATGCAAAACAGGCTCTGAGCTTCGTGTTCTCCTCCCTCTCCCATACTGATTGCTCTCAGACGCAGCTGCGGCCGTCAACACTGTGCAAAACCACCCAATCACTCAAAATGTTGTCAATGGTATGAAGGGCGAGTCAAAAATCTAAAACAAATGGTAACAAGTTGCTCCAGGGCCCGTGGCAACATCCATCAAGAACGAGGCTGGTGCCACTGCTTCTGAGTTCAGCGACCTTGCTGGCTCTCGCCAACAACCATCCTACACTGCTGCCAATGACACTCCTCTGACATGTATGCCAGCTAGACCCCGATTCCACGGGTATTTTTGCTGATCGTTGACAGACTACCATTCCTTCTTCTACACTTTGTTGAGCGTGAGTATCAACAGTTCTGCACCGCAGCCACAGCTAACAATCCACAGTGGAAGAACAAGCGAGCTACTGGAATCACCTTTGTATCCGTTCTTGCACTCATTTTTGCCTTCCGATACCTACCCATCCTTCGATACCTCCTCAAGATATCCTGGATGACTCTTGGTGGTATGTCTGCAACCGTCTCCCCTGGTACACATGTATTGACACAAGAGACAGTCGTCACACTTGCCGAGGCTTCTAGCAAAGCTTTGGTGGGCTCAAGCGTTGCGGGTGCTGTCCGGCCACGGAGATACTACACGATTCCAAAGGAGACCCTGGAGGCTACCTTGGACGACCTTGAGAACTTGATCAACTTTTTCATCATCGAAGGTCAGCGAATCGTCTTCGCCGAGAACGTGCCGGTGACGGCAGCGGTAAGCACTACCTGTCCTGGTGAGACCGTCAGTTACTGATCTATACCCAGGCTTTCCTGTCCGCGTTCGTCACCTACTATCTTATCAAACTCCTCCCACTCTGGGGCGTGTCTCTGGTTGCTACAGTTATTGCTTTCCTCGGTCCTTTGATCTACCTCGAGAACAAAGAATTGATCGACTCCCAACTCGAGCAAGCTGGTCATGTCATCAATCAACAGACCAGCCAGATCAGGGACTTGACTGCTCAGCACACAAGCAAGGGTTTGGAATCTGTCAAGCAATACACTGGCACATATGCGGCTAAGGCACAAGAGGTGGTTGGAAGTGCTAGACAGAGAATCCCCTCTCCAACCACTAGCAAACCCGTGAAGGAGGCCGACTTCCCAACAGCACCGAAATCTGACTTCTCCGCGTCTTCGGTTCAGGAGCCAAAGACTGAGACCGAGCCACTCCTCGCGGCTTGAAGGGGGCAGCTCATGTGACGGCTCGACAATGTGAAAGCTCGCACCTCTCTTCCGGGGGAATGCCCAGTACGGCCGCACAGTCCTGAACAAGAGCTCATCGGGTTCAACTACAAGCGAACGAGATAACAATGACACCCCTTGCACGCTGACGATTTTGTACCTTTACGCAAGGCAGTCAATGCAGCCAAATGTCGGAGTTATAACCGATTTTTATGACAGGAGCGATGGTGGAGCATGAGCAACAGGGTCTTTCCAAGGAGGAGCTCTCGCAGTAGTCGAGGGCTCGAACAAAAGTGAAGTTTGAAAGTCGGCTCCCCAACCTCTATGTATGATAGACAGCGAGTATGGTTTTGGCAGTCTAGGAATAGCATGCTTATCAATGCTTGTATTCTTCGTCGTCTTAGTGACCATCTTGCCATCACATCTGTGGCACACGTCTCCGATCCAAATATGCAGTCCAGAGCCCGGAACCTCGAACGGCGAAAGCCTCCTATTGCTACAATAGTGACCCTAACGCGCCATTTACCTAGCCATACTCTTGATTGTCTACAGCATGAATTGAGCCTATATTCTCCCTAATTTCCATCGAATCCTTGTTTATGATGTGAAAAGCGTGATAGCTTTTCGGAGGAAGTGCTCACTGTTCCAACCTCGAACGCAGCAGACACACTCTACCGTGTTGATGGACCATTAGAGCAGTGCCCTGCTCCTCTCATCCCTGACCACAATGCCCTTCTTTCCATGCTTGGCCGTGTCCCTCAACACACGTCGCAGGATCTTTCCGCTCGGCGACTTTGGTATCTCATCGACAAGCTCAATCTCCTTGACCCACTTGTGTCTGACCTTCTTGTCTTGTACATACTTGATGAGCTTTCGGCCCACGCCTTGGGCATCGGCACGTTTCGACCGGATCGGCACGACGTACGCCTTGGGCCGCTCGCCTGCATACTCGTCGGGGATGCCCAGCACAGCCACGTCCTCAACATCTGGATGGCCCAAGAGAAGGTCCTCCAGCTCCGCGGGCGCAACCCCGATGCCCTTGACTTTGATCATCTCCTTCAGTCTGTCGGTGATGGTGATCAGTCCTTCCTCATCGATGGAGCCGATATCTCCGGTATGGAGGAAGCCGTCCTTGTCGAATGTTTCTTCCGTGGCCTTCTTGTTGTTTAGATACCCCATGACAATCTGTGGTCCTCGAGCCCAGATCTCGCCCGGCTCGTTGAGCCCGCACTCCTTGCCCGTTTCGGGATCGATGAGCTTGACTTCGGTGGACGCCACGATTGTGCCCACGCGGAATGCATATTTGTAGTCGTACTTCTCCGGCGGATGTGCTGTGATGCACGAGCAGGACTCGGTCATGCCGTAGCCCTGCTTGAAGCCCGTGCCAGGAAAGCGTCTTTTGAGGAGTTCCAAGATCTCCGCCGACAAGGGTGCTGCGCCGGAAGAGAAGCGCCTCAAGGAGCTCAGGTCATATTTACTCAGAGTGTCCTCGTCGCGGATCATGCGGATGAGAATGGGCGGGACCAGAAGCATCTCCTCGAGTTTGTATTCTTGCACCGTCGCCAACATCGAGTCCATGGCGAAGCCGGGAAGCATGTAGACGTTTGCGTTGAGAATGATAGGCAGGTGTAGTTGATGGACGAGCCCCGTGATATGGAATAGAGGGAGCACGGCCAGGATCCGGCGTAACGTGTCAGGAGTGATCTGTTTGATCTGCAAACACTGGGCGATCACGTTGGAGTGTGCAATCATGACGGCTTTGGGAAGCCCGGTTGTCCCACTGCTAAATGACAAATAGCCGCAGACATCCTTGTTCTTCTTTCCCGGCGGCAGCTTGAAGGGCTCGACCTGCCCGGAAGACCCATACGATTTGCCGATCTCCAGCAGCTCGGACATGGTGGTGAAGCCTTGCATCTGACCCTCGAGCAGGAAAACCCGCTCTTGGGGGATTCCTGCGGTTCTGGCGGCTGCAGCCGCAACTTGCATGCTGCCAGGGACGGTGAAGAGAAACTTGGCTTCGGCCGTCTTCAACGCATAGCTCATTTCTTCCACATTGTAGGCCGGCGACGCGCCCGAGACCACGCCACCTGCTCGCAGGGTACCGAACATTGCGCATGGGTACCAGACTGTGTTTGGGGAGAAGAGAGCCACAGTCTGTCCTTGTTGGAGTCCATATTTCCGAACCAGCGCGGTGGAGAGGTGCGTGCTATGGACTTTCAGGTCGGCATAGCTTAGGTGCTAACGGGGGAGGGGGACGTCAGCATCTCATCTGTTCCGGGTTGAGGAAGACGCAGAAGCACACCTCTTTTGTAACGGCGTTGGTGTATCCTTGGATCTCGTCTGGCTTGTAGTTCCGCAGAGGACTATATTCCGACTCGAACAGCCACGTCCACACCGGCAGATGCCATGGCACTGCACCGATCTTTCGTTAGCAGCTGGTAAACCAAAGAAGCAAGTCGAACAAACCGTCGATGGGTGGCTGCTGGGACTTGAAGACAGGCATCTTGCAGACAGACGGTGTAGAGACAGGCCGGGTCGTTCACAAGGTACAGAGTGGTCAGAGGACAGCATTCGGAAGAACATGACTCCTGGAGAAGAACATTTGGGCCTACTTACACCAGCCTCCCCGTGTGTGCCGTGTGCCGTGTGCCGCTTATCGTTTCGTGCCCACTCGAAAGTCCTCGGCTTTGAGAAGTTGCAAGATGCGGAGACAGTCATTGGGATGCGGGGAACGGAATAGACCGCCCGTTCTCACCACCCTGTGCAGCCTTGCCATCTTCCTCACTCCAATACGTCGAACAGACACATATGAGAAGATGAAAATCAGTGTCAATTCTTGTACACTGTGAATCTCGATTCTAGCCCGCTTGAGCAGCCCACGACCTGTTCCATTCCATCCGTGCCAGCAATGAAACAACCCCATTGTCCTGCCCCATGCGCCTTACAACCAATAATGCGCCGCCCCCAGCTCCCAGCTCCCAGCTCCCAGAATGTCCATGTGAATGTCGTGTCGTTGCTGTTCCATAAATGCACGCTTGTCGATATGCTCGCTTTTGCTCGTCCAGCTTTCATTTGATGCAGCCAACAGTATCATTTCAACCCACGATCCGGAATGTCTCAACGCCTAGCGTCGGGGTCTCCACTAGGTGGTCTCGTGGAACGCCTTCTTGCTTACGTCTGCCATAGAAGCTTCGACATTCATTTCGAACTTGGCACCATTCTGCCAATGCACGCCCGCTGTAGCGAGCTGTGTTCACTTCATGACCTTGTGGTTTGAGTGGCCTGATTTCCTTTGTTCTTGTCCCCATTCTGAAGGTGCTGCCTATGCTGTTCCCACTGTCATTGCTGTCAGAGCGTTGTCGCGAGCGGAGTATTGTCTCTGCATTGTGTGGTAGTTGAGGTGCTGCCAAGACTCGGTTGAGGCTTCTCCTATCCAGATTCTGAGGTGCAGAGCTGAACTCAAGCGAGAACTTGAATGAAAATGCCTGGTGTGGAGGAGTAGCAGGACGGCATGGTCTGGTCGCAGTGATAGCACTATTAGGGTCGGGGGTGATGTCGATGTTCGCAACGACAGCATTCTCCTCGGGACTGCCTGGGGGAGTCACTTCGCCAGGGCGGCTATTATTTGCGCTAGAGCCAAAGACGTTCAACCCACGGAAAAGGCTCCATCGTTTCCTGGTTCCTTGCCGTGGTTCATCGGCAGAGGGAATGGTGTTCAGGGCGGAAGAATGATTTTGATAAGGGGAGGCCTGGGTGACGATTGATGGAGGGAAGCGATTCTCGAAATCCGTCTTCGAGGCCGACAAGATCGGCTGGCTATCTGTGCGAAGAATGACGAGGACGCGGTTTGGTGCCGGGGTACAAGGAGCCGAGGACGGTGGAAGGATGCTTCGCATCTCGGCCTCTGCGAGGAGATACTGGTAATGTGCCCAGCACTTGTTCAACCGAGCCGCCAATGTTTCCAAAATCTCTCTGTCATCGTGTAAGTATCACAAGTCAAGCAACAGAACCGTGTCACTTACAGATCCAAGTCCGATACCTCCCCATCATACCTTGCAACTTTCCAACACAACAGTCGGTAGAAGTAGTGGCGAACCATTGGCGACCAGTGGCAGAAATTCCTGTCGAAATTGTCCGCATCCAATAACCAGTCAAGGACGAGCTCGCGCTTTCTGTCTTCATTAAGTATTAAAATAGACCACGTACTGTACAAGAACGCGATCAGTCGTATCTGGGTCAGGCCTGTTTGACTTTGCATCATTTGCTTCCACACCTGTAGCCAAAATGGCCAGTCCAGCACTGCGGTGTCGGTGTAGCTCTGGGAATACCGTACCATGATAGGAAGCACTTCTTCCATGAAATCGCAAATAACAAAACAGGCTTCGTTGTTGTACAAGGAGATGTTGCGCGTGGCCGCCTTGGTAATGATGTCGAATGACCCGACAAACAGGTTCCGGAACAGTGAGAGTTCAGGTTTGGTATCGCTCAGTACATCTCTCAGTAAGATGATGAGTCGATTTTCTGCGATGGATCGGGAAGCATTTGCCATGGTCATAGGCAATGGGGCAAAGGCGTCTGCTTGGTCCATATTGTAGCCCGCGCCCGAAGAATAATTGTCGACCACATTCTGTCCAGCCTGTCGATAGATAGTGGTCTCGAGCACAGCCAGCATTTGTGCGCATGCTGGGACGAGCCCGGGTATTCCAGCGCGATCTTTCATTGATATAACCTCTGGAAGCATTTGGGAGATCAGAAGGTGGTATTGCTTCATAAAGGCGAAGAATAGGTCACTATCCCGTCCAGACCATCTGGCAACCCAGTTTGGGCCCCAGTTCATTCTCTTCCACCCAGGTGTGGGCAGACCTCGCTGTTGGAGGTGGCGCCAAAGACCTGCTTGAGAAGAGGCAGACACACTGCGGACCGGGGTTGGGAAGTGTCTGGCCAGGGCATTCGAGATCAGGTCCAACCGGTCACCATGACTGATTCCAAGCTCGGTAAAGATCCGCCTCAGCGTACCAGAAGGTAGACGCCATAGCCTGACAAGCATATCTGCCACGCCTGGACAAAAGAAGAAAGCGTATGCACAAGTCTTCCCGGCAAAGGTGACCAAACTGGCAGGAGCAGCACGCAAGGATAGTCTCTCCACCACAAATGTCATCTGCGAGAGCAAGTTCTGGACAAAAGTGTTTCGGACATTCTGCTGAATAGTGTCGACCAGGAAATCCGCCTCCTCCGATTCAAGAGAATTGGTTGACTTGGATTTTGGTATAGAACTGCGTTGCGGAGACTCGTCTGTGGCCGATGTAAACCCAGGCACCCTCCACTCAGGCCGTAGCATGATCATAGTCGCGGACTCCAAAAAGGCAGGTCGGTCTGTGCCAGAGATCGCCTGATTGTTCCCTCCATGGAGCATTTCAAGTAGCCCAGTCCACCACTTGTTTAGGATAACAACCCGGCGGTCCAGATCCTCGGCTCGAAGACTTTGATTGGAAGGGTGCTGGGCATATTTGACCAAAAACGGCTGCAAAGTGAGTCGAAGCACCTTGGCCTTCTGAAGACTCGTCTTTGTTTGGAAGCTGGCGTATTCGCCGTCGATTGCCCGGAACGCAGACCATAGGGGATCCTTCTTCCTGCCGACCTCAATACCAAGAGTCGCCAGTCGCTCTGAAGAGTTCGTTGGCATAGGTGGCAATCTACCCAAAGAAATTCTCGACTGTGACCTCTCATTTGAGAGCTGGCTCTTCAGTGAATATGACGAAGAATTTCTCGACAGCCGTTTCGGGCTGTTCCCATTTCTGTTCTTGACTTGCACAGAGTCAGGTTGATTACCACGATTCTTGGTCCTCTGTTTTGACTCGACTGGGAGTGTAGGCCCCTCACCTGACCGAGATGAGCCGTCAGAAGGCTTTGGGGCTACCGAGTCCTGGACGCTTGTTGGAGTCGTGGTGGCAGAGACCTTAGGTTTAGCCGGCGACCAACTCCTATTCCTGCCTGCCGGATCCCCTTCCTTGCGCGCGGGAGATGCAGGCCTTGACGAAGCGCCCACCCAGGATTTGCGGGCAAGTGAACGAATCGTACCTGTAACTGATCCTCTCAGACCTTTCGGGTGTTCCTCCTTCTCGGAAGAAGACTTTCTGCTTTCACGTGCCTGATTGTCATCGTCGTCGGGGGATAACGAGAAGATGGCACTCGACATCCTTCTCTTCGCCTTTCTCGACGCCCGGCGGAAAAGTTCCATGTTCGCAGAGGTAACAAGGTCGTTCATCTTGGTCGTCGGATCTGGCGGCAGCGTCAGGACATTTTCCGAGAAGGTTCGTTTGATAGAAGGGACAAGGATATCTGTTCCTGTTTCCAGCGCAGGAATGTAGGTGTAGCTTGCAGACCGAGTCAGATCTGCTGAAGGATGATCTTGAATCATCTCAGATGCAGGGAGAGGAGCGGTGGAGTGGACGGGTCTCAGGGCATGGGCAGGCAGCGCGGGCATGACCTGCCCCTCGACATGTGCAGACATCGTGATGTTCTGCACCAAAATTAACAGGGCTTCTTTGGTATTACGCCTGCGCAAGATGTGTGTGTATCTTCTTCTTTCTAGAGTCTGCCATCGGGTAAGAGCGCAAGCTGGGATAACATTGATAGGAGAGACAAGGATCAGTCTTAGGGAACTGTCCGGGGGCGCTGGGCCGGGCTGGACAGGCTGAGCTCTGACTAGGAACGCCAGAAGCAGGATATGAATGCACAAATACCCAAAGATACCCAACGAAGAAGAAGAAGAAGAAGGAGAAGAATGACAAGAACGAAGGACAAAGGTGAAGAGTAAACGACTGCAGTGAATGGGGGATCTCGAAAGAAGAGCCCAGCTGCATATTGTGGAAATGAACCTTGATTCCAATCAGGGTGGATGTTGCAGGCGCAGTGTCCGGGGCCTAAACGGGCACAAGGGCACCATCGGCGTCATCAACCGCCGGTGCTTTCGAGGATCTGGGCAGATACGGGCGCTGAAACTTCAGGGATCTCTCCATAGTGCAGATTACTTTCCTCGCGTGCCGGATGGTGTAAGAAAGCGCCCTACTCTTATACCGGAGTCTCTTTCTCTAACATGCCGCAGTCCCCGGGCGTCATCCTTCCCTGTGCCTCCGTGCCTCCAAAATGTCAAGTGAGCTACGCACATGCCCGCTCCTCGGCACAGCATGCGGCCCCGATGTCGTCTAGTCCGACCTGTCACTTCGCTAACGAAGACCCCCCTATCCTTGATCGTCGCTTGTGCTTCTGCGCGGGTCGCGTCAAGTACGAGTACAGGTGGCTACGGCGACAGAGAAAGTCCCCAAGTTTCAGCTTCGGACACGGGCGTGCATAGAAGAGAGTTTTGATGACACGCTCATCGGCCGCAGCGGTCTGTGGCGTTGCGGACATTGGCATGCATGGATGTGCGACGCCTACCGGCTGATCCAGGACAGTATCCGTACATTCTCCGCCGCGTTATTATCATGTAGACAGGCCATCTCAATAGGAAGTAATTACAGGCCAGCTAATTCAACTGTATCTGTCCGGAGGGGCAAAATAACGAAGGACATGATGTGCTCTCGCGAGTCTCCAGATATCCCCGCGCAGAGTTGGCTTCCAAACCAGACGTGTACCAATGCATTACCCTCTCAGGGCCATGTTTCACTGTGCTCGTTAGTATTATATAGCTGGTTGAATATTCACATCCACAAAAGAAGAATTGTGTTAGGAGGACACGTATGATGATGGGCAGAGGAATTTGTAACAATTGTAGGCTCTCCCTCCCTATTGCAAGCGGCCAGCCCAATAAAAACTGGATGGTGTAGTCTTTTTATTCATCCCCCCAAATGGTCAGACAGGCATTTCCGGTTATTTCAAGGCCTGGGGCATTCAATGATGCGCAGGTTCGTCGTCATCTTCCTCAATATCTTCAAAGAAGTCTTCTTCCGCCTGCGTTTCCCCAGCTGCACCCTGTCCTTCAATCTCGACAGCCTGTTCCTCGTATTCTTTCATTTCACTCGCAAGGTTGGTCTCTTCTGGAGACTTCGGAGGCGGCGGAGGAGTGAATTTCTGAACGTGGCCTTCAGCGTCGGATGCCTTCTGTGGTGGCGGCTTGTATGCTCGAAGCTCTTTCAAATACAAGTCCTGGATTAGATCGGCTGGCGCTGTGAGCAAACGTCTCGAAACAGGCTACTGGGATACGCACGCATCTTCGAGCCTGACGAAACTGTAAACCCCCGACGGGGTGTCTGCATGGTTCTGAAGCTCATGCGAGCGAGGAGTCGAGTCTGGAATTTGTGTTAATCCTGGCCAAAACGAGCTGGACTGTAGACTTACGCTGGCTCTTAGTGACTGCGCCATCGTTGCTGCTAAGGATCGGTACAATGGATGCTGCAATTCATCTCGAACGTGAAGCTCGATTGATTCTTGAAGCTCGGTCTGACGCTAGCACCATTTCGGGACTAGATATTTCACGTGACCTTGCCAGCCTTTGACAAACTTCAAAGGCAACCGCGCCTCACTCCACTTCCATCACCTTCTCTTCTTCATCCCGCCACCTTTTACATCGCAGAACCCGTCAAATATCATCTCTGTCGACCTCAATCCCCTCGCAGAAGGACATTTTGACGAAGCGCACACTCTCGAACGACGGACTGACAGCGACTTTCGTGTTACGAGATTCTCCTTGACTCACGAGACCTTTACTGGTTTAAGGTCGAGGTCAGGTCACCGCTCACTCCTGCGCAACTCTCAACCAACTGCGATTTCTCATCCCCGGTTTTCTTCACACTCGCAAAAAGGTACTTTAGATAGTTGGCAGCGGTTCATTCCTCGTTTGGGTTATCTCATTAACTTGTTGATGACCTGACTGACCTGTGGTTACTGCAGTGTATGACGATCCACGACTCCAAGTTGACGTCTGCACTGCGACCTCGGTGGCTCGAATCAGAGCAAAGAAAATAAAATCGTCAAAATCAATAGATCTCACTTCCCTTCCGTTCGCTGCTCGAAGTGACAAGCCAGTGACAAGCCAGTGACAAACCAGTGACACCCAACGGCTTGGTGAGGCACCCAGTTTCTGTCTGGACAGAACTTGGCCCCGCCGGCCTTTACCGTCATCACCGCCAAACTGTATTCTCCGTTGTTCGTCAAGACCTTTGCAAACAACCACAACCTAAGAACCTCCTATCACAAGATCAAGAAACGCCAGAACCAGCGCATTCAAGGAAGGTTAAGTGGGCACATCACCAAGAGTACGAAGAGAGTTTCTGTCTTGAAAGCGGGCAAAAAATCAGCCGCCGTGTCTACTATGGGCATCGAGAACCAACCACCCGATGCACCGGCATGGCGCGAAAACCTCAATACACATCTGATTTGCCCTGACTGCAAACAAGTGCCCCCGGATCTGATTGAAGAGAATGCTGACACAATCTGCGCCAACTGTGGGATGGTCCTTGCCGAGCGGCTTATCAGTTATGAGTCAGAATGGCGTACTTTCAACTCAGATGAAGGCAAAGGCGAGGATCCCAACCGTGTTGGTGAAGCTGACAATGAACTTCTTCTCACCAACAATGCGGGCACAATGATTGGTGGTGGCGGTCCAAATGTGTCAAAGGAAACACGCAAGCTCAAGAAAGCGCAGGCAATGCAACTGGAAAATAAAGCAGACAAGGCTCTGCAGGCGGCATATGCGCAGGTTGAGTCTTGGGGAGAGAAGGCCAAGCTCACTGGACCCGTCAAGACTGCGGCGAAGATGTACTTCAAGCGGGTTTACGAAGCGAATGCTCTTCGAGGCAAACAGACCGATGTCATCCTCGCGGGATGCCTCTTCATCGCTTGTCGTCAGTTACGAACTCCTCGATCTTTCAACGAGATTTTCGGTTTGACTTCTGTCCCTAAGAAGGAGATTGGCCGGGCCTATAAGAACTTGGAGAAGTTCTTGACCAAGGCTGCTCATGAGAACATTCAGGCTGTAGAAGGCAGCGGAGGGATTGCAAACCGAGAAGTTCTTGAGTATCGCGGCACACAGTCCACGAAGCCAGAAGATTTATGTGGGAGATACTGCAACATGGTCGGGCTGAACTTCAGAGTTGAGTCGATTGCGAAAGCCCTCGCTAAAAAGATCCCCACCATCGAAGGCCTGGCTGGTCGCAGTCCCCTCTCCAATGCCGCCGCTTGTACCTTCTTCGCCAGCTGGCTGATAGGTTTCGGAAAGCCCAGCAAACAAATCAGCGAAGTCGCGGGAGTGAGCGATGCGACCATCAAACATGCCTACCGATATCTGCTGCAGGAGAAAGAACGACTTGTCGAAGATAGCTGGCTCGGTGAACAACCCCCGCCCCATGGTGGATTTGGGGATTTGAAGAACTTACCAGGTGCCTAAGGTGCAGACACTGCCTGGATGGAAGCATTGAGACCAAAGCGGGGTTGTCGGGCTGGTCGAATGACTTTCCTGCGGCGGTGATGTAGCTCTTCCGACGAACCAATTGAGGCAGGGCGATTCGGTCTCTTGCAGATGGATTTCAAAGTATCAGGATGGAGTTTATTGGTGGGAGGCTTCACCAAAATCGGTGGATTTGCTTCCCTTCGGCATTTCATGTGTTGGCCTCTTTGAGAGGCACGTTTGCATAGCGCGGCGTTGAAAGCTGTGGAGATCTTCCAGAGGGAGAGAAGCCATCCACCATGTAAAGTGACAGGGCGAGTCGGTATGGCTCCAAAATTGAGAAATGCTTGTAATGGAGTACCCTTTCTTCCCTTCCATCCGAGGAACCCTGCAGCCCACGGACCCCCTGCGACCGTGAACCAATAAAGCCCCAGAGGCTGCCCTGATTGGCTAGCCTTGCGATCGACTTCCATGTCGAACAGGAACTCGTGACGTCGTCTTGCACCCTGCACGGTGATCTTCTGTGCGCCAACAGCTTCCCGTATAGTTTGTCTATCCCGCTACCTACTTCTACTCCGCAACCTTACCTCTTCCGTCGGCTGAAAAGGCTAATATTGCTCAGTCATGGCCATGCACGGTGCCAGCGCTTTATCCGGTGCCTTCATCCGTACCCGAAATCAGTCAAAATGCAGGAAAAGCAAAGCTAGATAACTTGCCTGCCAGCAAGTGTCAAACCGTTGCCAGCTGCCATGCCCTGCTGCACACGATCGAGGACAAACAAGAAAAGATGATTTTTCCCCTGCTCTTCTCATTCACTCTGATTCTGGCCGGCTGCGCGGCGCTCCCGGTCCAGGAGGATAATCCGCAGCCGTTTGAGGGGACTCTTCAAGCCCGAGAAAGCAGAGGTAACTTCAGCTCCTCACTGCGGGTTGACCTAGGCTATGAGATATATGAGGGAATCTCGAACAGCACGTCTGGACTTAGCATCTGGAGAGGGTAGGCCGGATTCACGACTGATATTTCCCCCAAGGAGCTCCTGACACTGAATAGTATACGCTATGCGGCGCCGGCTACAGGCACAAATCGTTGGCAGGCACCGACGGCTCCAAAACAAAATCGGTCTTCGGTCATCAAGGCCGGCACCTTCGCGCCAATCTGTCCGCAAGGACCCGATGCCAGCACGTCTATCCAGGCCGTCAATCAAACCGGTGCAAATGAAGACTGTCTTTTTTTGAATGTCTACTCTCCAAGTAACGCCTCTGGCCCTCTCCCTGTTCTAGTCTGGATACACGGTGGTGGATATGGAGCCGGGAACGGCAGGCAGGACCTGTCCTCCATCATCAATGCGAATAACAACAGCTTCGTGGGGGTTGCCATCCAATATCGGGTTTGAGACATCTCCGGCACCTACTTGTATTGCCTCCAGCTGACACGAAGCAGCTTGCAGCCTTTGGCTTTCTATCGTCTGATGAAGTGTTCCGTAACGGTGTGGTGAATGCAGGGATTCTCGACCAGGTAGGCTTTCAGGATGGGCTCTACCTTGCTCTTGCTGATCAACTTGTAAGCACTTTGCCTTGAAGTGGGTCCACGATTTTATAGGACTCTTCGGGGGGAACGCTTCGCAGGTGACAATCTCTGGAGAAAGCGCTGGTATGCTCGACATCTTGTTCTGGAGGCAATATACTCACCTCTTTAGGTGGCGGATCTGTCATGCTTCAAGACATGGCTTATGGTGGAAGTCTGGGTTCATCGTTATTTGTCAATGTAAGGGGAGAGTCTCATGAGAAGATCAAGCATTGACACCTGTCACAGACCATTGCCGCCTCGCCTTATCTGCCAATGCAGTATGGTTATAAAGATTGGATCCCTTCTCAGGCGTACTATGCGTTCGCAGCGCAAGCAGGCTGTGCACCTAGCTTGCCATATGGGGCTCATTCACAGACAATCTTCGAATGTCTAGTGGCAAAAGACACAGATACTTTGATCAATGCAAGTGCAACAATATCACAGTCTGGAAACTTCGGAACCTGGGCCTTTCTACCTGTGTATGCTCCCCCAACAGCGCACCTCGCCCGATAAATGCTAATTGCTTCCTGCAAAGTACGGACGGCGTCTTCGTCCAAGACCTTCCAAGTCAGCAGCTTTTACGCGGAGAAGTGAACGGCCAGAATGCATTGATTGGCAACAATGCCAACGAAGGGCCCCTTTTCACTCCCCAAAACATCACTACGGAAGAAGATCTGCTAGCTTGGTTGCATCTAACGTTTCCACTATTCACAAATGACGATATCGCAAAGGTCTTGCTCTACTATCCTAGCTCCAATGCCTCAACCAATTCGAGTTCCCCGTTGTATGCAACGTCTGGCGAAGCCGGCCCAAGCGCGCTCAATCAAAGCTCTGTGGGTACGGGACAGCAACAGAGAGCAGATGTGAGTATATCACCAGACCAAGTGTCTGTCGCTAACTGGCAGATCAGAATATCTATGCCGAAACAACCTTCGTCTGCCCGGCTTACTGGATGGCTATTGCGTACAATGACTACGGGAGGACTTCGTACAAATACCAGTTCTCTGTCGAGCCGGCATTGCACGGTGCGGATGTCAGTGCATGTATGTGAAGGCCTCCACTCCATTCAACATGAATCCCACAGCAGACGCTACCATCGACGCTTCGGGGGGACATCACTGCCGCAGAGTTGGTGCTAACTTAACTGGCAAATACAGACTTTGGCCCAGCACCCTCTAACATCGGTCCGGACCTCGCTCTTGCATTTAGACAAATCTGGGGTCAATTCGTAACCACCAACAATCCCAGCATCCCGTCGAACATTGCAAATGGTGCATCCTCGAATTCGTCGGCGACGTCCAACGATGCCAGCAACTGGCCTCCATTTTCTTTGTCCTCCCCATATCAAATCAACCTGAACCAGGTAAGTGGACTCGAATCTCAGCTCTTGGTTGGAAGCACACCCTTCAACTTGTGCGAAACCAAGCTGACCCAACTCATCCTGGCAGACGGGAGGGACGCCTTTCTCGACAAGCATCGTCCAGATCGGACGTAACATCACCGAGTACGGTAATCCAGGCCTACAGAATAACATCACACTGGTCAATGCTTGGACCTGGGAAGCGGGGAGAGGTGATCGCTGTGAATTCTGGCGTAGCATGGGCTCGATAGTGCCCGAGTAATCGCGCAGACCAGCACGTTTGCTCGCTTGTCCGTTTTTCCTCCTCAAAGGAAGACTGAATTCTCTGCGTTCTTGAGCCAGTGTGATGCTGAATGCTATATTCTTGTGGATTGTGTATGTACCCGGCCATTTGCGATGCAATTTCAAGATTCCGGATGTGTAGGGACACAATAATACTCGCAGTATGATCCCACCAATCCTGGAATATAATATAGCGTAAGCAAGGCGTATAAGTCTCCGCCATCAGCCCAATCACCTAACTTATAGGTACTCCGTAGTTAGATCGAATACGCGTTTCGTCACAGTACTACACGTTATTTAGACTCCAGCTGGCCCCCTAGCTTGGCCTTCTGGGCCAGAGTCTCCTCTCAGCCTGGTGAAAGAAGCTTGTGACTGTGAATGCTCTGAAAATCCTCACTGAGTGGGCGAGAAGACGTTAACGGCAAACTCAAGTTCGAGCTCAGAGGTCAAGCAAAGCAGGTCACCAACATCCTCACGTCCCCCCTTTTTGTGCGTGGGATTGTCGAGAGTTAAATAGGCTCGGAGGTCTTAATAGCTAGTGCTCTTTGGAACAGAAAGCAGATCCTGTTGGCCTTTTCAGACGATCGAGGCTGGGTGCCTTGCGAGTTCACCAATTCACAACTACTAACAGAATGGCAACTCCGACACATTTGACATGTCTCTGCGCGCTCATCTACGAGCCCGCTTCTTTGCTTTCGTCCTCGGCTCTTCCTTTCAAATGTTGCATCTGCCATTGCAATACCTGTCGCCGGACGACTGGAGCCCTGGGGACCTGGTATGCGATTCTCAAGGGCCGCCCGAGCGATAAGTCCATGAGCAACACAACCGCCTATAAGACGTCGGAGAAATACACGCGGTTCTTTTGTAAGCAGTGCGGGTGCAACGTGTTTGTGCGATCTGAGAGAGATGGGCGGTGGTTGGCCTGCGCTGGAATCGTCGAGATCGATGATAAGCAGACTGAGAACGGAACCAGAGATGAAAAGAACCTCAATGTCGCACAAGTCGAGTTTCACGAATACGTCGGCGATGCACGCGATGGCGGGTTTGCACCGTATCTCACCCGCCTGGGTGGGAAGAATGTCCCTTGCTTTGCTAGTGAACCAGATGACGGCGCGGGGCAGATGAGTGAGGCTGAACTCCTGGAACTGAAGGACCAAGGACGCGATACAGTATCGGACGAGCGAGGCGAGATGATGGATGTCGCATGTCATTGCGGCGGCGTCCAGCTGCACATTGCACCCCCTGCCCACAACGAGAAGAGCGAAGGGTGGTACGTCCCCCAAGACCGAAGCAAGTACTCTGCCCGACTCTGCTGCTGCAGGTCGTGCCGTTTGACGCTCGGCTTCTCGCTGCAGCCATGGACGTATATTCCCCCGGCTCATATCTTCACCAAGCAGGGGGAGTTGGTGCTTTTCGGGCCAAGGGCCAAGGATACAGTGCAAATTGTAAAACTCAAGCACTATCAGAGCTCGGATTCTGTACTGCGAAGTTTTTGCTCGACTTGTGGCGCGACAGTGTTTTTCCAAAGCTTCGAGAGGCCCGATGTCATCGATCTCAGTGTGGGAGTGGTGAGATCCAGGGCCGACAATGCGCGTGTTGAAGAATGGCTACAGTGGGATCGCAATGAGGTGAGCATGAGGCATGAGGCCGTAGATTGTGAGTTGGTCGAGGCATGGCTGGGAGGCTGAATTCAGCTGAGGTATTACTCCGTACTTGTAGCATAATTAGTACTAGATGCGTAAGGGAAGAAGCGAGCAAGTTGAAATAGCGAAAAGCATTTGTTGGATCCAGGGGAGGGTATCCTCGACTTGAGGTCGTGCAGTACAGCCTGGAGTGCAGCGTGGACCGTGAAGACCGTGAGGACCGTGAGGCAAGTAAAAGTGCCTTTGAAGTCCGGGTGCCCCTCAAACTTCAACTTCATCCTGCAACTCTCTTGTGCTTCAACAAACCGTCCGTTCGACATCCAGTCATTTGCGCTTGCTTCTAGATTGACCGCCATTACATTTACATTTTGGTCTTTTCTGATTTTGGACTTCCTCAACAATCCTTGGGCATTCTAACCATGAATCTTCCCGACACCTGAATTTATCCCCGTGTTCATCTTGACTCCTCCTGCTCCTCTACCGGCCTCAGACACCGCTGAGTGCCCAAATCCTGGGATATTTCTATTCACTTCGTCGGCTTCCTACTCCGGGCTTAGCTTATTCGCAGCCTTCACTGTTGTTCCAACATGGACGGCAGCGCGCCACAAAACCGGCCCCCTCAGCCTGCGCCGCAACAACAAGCCTCCTTGATCCGGCCTGAGCAGGTCCAACGATTGCCGCAACTAAATCCTGCGCAAAAACAGCAGTATGAGCAAGGTGTCAAAAGATTCTGGGAAATTCTGAATACCACACCGCAAGGCGACCCCAAATACAACGAAGCCTACCAAGGTCTGGTTCGGACATCAAGCCAGTTAATGGCTGGCATGAAAGCGTGGCAGCAGAACGCGAAACAAAGACTAGCCGCTCAACAACAGCAACAGCAACAGCAGCAGCAACAAGCACAGGCACAGGCACAGGCACAGGCACAGGCACAACAACAGCAGCAGGCACAGCAACAACAGCAGCAGCAAGCACAGGCACAAAAGCCCCCGCAAGGTGGGCAAATGCGTGCTGCTCCAAGCCAGACTGGAAGTAGTAGTGTGCAATTCAGCCAACTGTTACCTGAGATCCAGCGAAAAGTGAACGAGCAGAATTTCTACTATCCTCCAGCCATGAATAAAGGTACGGAACCAGCTGAAGTTTGGCTACAGGAGGCAAAGGCGAGATTGGGACAAGCGCTCCAGAGACTGCAGGTCGCGAAACAGAAAAAAGCCGAGTTTCAGAGACAAGCACAGCAACGACAGCAGACTGGCAATCCTTTGACACCACAAGAAACGGAGGTGTTTAACAGCAAGATTGCACAATGCGACCGAGCTGTGAATGAGAGCACCCAATTTATGAAGAAATTCAATGAGCAACAAGAACAGTTCCGCGCCGCTCAACCTCAACATCAGTACAACAAACAAGCAGCAACAGCCGGGGACGGTGCAGAGTCCGCTGCAGTTCCTCACATGCAGCCTGGTGCCCCAGGCCCAACAGCCCACTCCATCAGTAGTGCCGTTTCTGCGGCACGCAACCAAGCAAGTGCAGTCCAAGTCGGCAGTGCTCCTGGTGCGACACCTCAACCCGGTCAGAGCGCAACCGTAACCGCAGCCACTCAGCAGACACCGGTGAGTGCATCCCAGCCACAGTTTCCATCTGTTCAGTCGGACGCCTCGGCAGGCCCTCGTCCAGTATCACATCAAGGTCAAAATATGCCACCTCAAGCGGCGCAACATACCGCTCAGGCAGGTGTTCATCCGCATCCTCTTAATACTAGTATCAATGGCGCGAAGACAGCTACTCCAGTCATTACCAAGAATCTGCAAGTTACCGAGCCGAAACCTGTGGCCATGCCGTCTTCCAGACCAACCCTAACCGGGGGCGCAGGCGTAGGATTGCCGGGCCAGCTTGCACAACCGGCAATCACCGCACTCCCGGGATATGTCTTGGAGTCGAGCGAGGATGGAAGGGTGCTGTCCAAGAAGAAATTGAACGAGCTGGTCCGAGAGGTATGCGGGCCAGGGCCAGAGGAACAACTTGAGCCTGAAGCCGAAGAGGAAAGTTATCCACACTCTGTTGGACGAGTACCTTCACTAACTTTCTGCCAGATATTCCTCGCAATCGCCGATGACTTTGTTGACGAACTCGTTTCTACCGCCTGTAAGCTTGCGAAGCTACGTGGTTCCTCGAGCTTAGAGTTGCGCGATCTTCAAATCGTCCTCGAACGACAATACAATATCCGAGTGCCCGGCATCTCCACCGACGAGATTAGAACTGTACGTCGACCTCAGCCTGCACCAGGCTGGGCTCACAAGATGAGTGCTGTTCAAGCTGCGAAGTTGACAGGCGGCGGAACTGTGGCAGGCACGGCGGGCGCCGGTTCAAAGGATAACTAATACTTCTCCTCTTTGCAGCATTTCATAACGGAAGGCGTTGGGAAAGCGGCCAGGTGACAGCGGGCAAGGCAGGTAGGCGCCATAGGCATGGTGTTCTCACGACTGCTGCACAGTGTATTATCACATTTCGGAAAGGTCCTGCAAATCAAGGGGTAGGATGCTCGTCGTGGCTTTTTGGCGTCTTGAAGCAGATAGATGGGGAAGCTCCTGCTACGGGGGCAGATGAGAGGCAGTCATGGATTTTAAAAAACAACAACCAGGTAGACCTCTACCAACTGCGAGCAATACCATCAATTCTTGCTGTTGTCTTCCTGTGCGGTCTGTGCTCTAGAGCTGACCATGGCTCCCCGTTCGGCCCGTCCGGGTATGAGATGTGTGGACGGGGTGGGGTGTCTCGTGCCTAAAGGACAGCAGCCTGCACCGAAGATCCCAGATAGATGACTTTTCTAGTCGAGCAGCGTAAGATCCTAGTCAAAGGATAATACACCGAGAAGAGGGCGTAGACTTCTCATCGCACTGCTGCCCAATCCCAAGGAACCACAACGCAGGCATGTTCAAGTTGAGTGTCGGCAGACTGGTGGAGGGATTGGCCTGAAGGCGGAGGCACTGGCGACGTCATCCGCCAGCAGCTGCGCCCAACTGGTGCCCAGTTAGGGAGAGCAATGTCGACAGCAACTTGTGATCATCACACTGTGTTAAAGATAGTACGCTGTCGACCTTTTCCCGCCTCCATCTGCCCACTGCACTGCAGACTGAATCCACTGGTCCTGTCACACCGGGTCTCGAATTCTTCTCTTCACATCCAGTGCCTCTCATTTCTTGTGACTCTTGTTGTTTGTGTTATACTCTAACACAGCACAGACACCTTTTGTCTCGTCTGACAATCTCAGCCTCGACCAAGGGCTAACCTTGCCAGCTCGATCGGCAACAGGCCGCTTTCAATCCAAACAGATCGACATTCGCCAGCCATGTCTCGCTACCGCCCCGATCCTCATTATTCTGAAAGTAGCCTCCCTTATCGTGACCCTCCCCCTCAGCGCTGGGACACCGACAGGTTTGCACGAGAACGAGAGATCCGAGCCCCTCCTGTCATTGACCAGCGTCCTCCCTACGCTGATTACCCGCCCCGTCGTGCTCCAGTCTACGAAGATGAGCGATATTATGAAGAAGAGCGATACGGGCCTCGGGGTACCACTGAGCGCAGATATTTCGAGGAGACCGACTACTACGATCCGAGGAGCCAGAGAGGCCAGCTGGTTCCGTATGCGCCGGAACGTCCAGCCAGACCAGAGGCACCACCACGGCCAGGTCTTCTCCGACGCCAATCGAGCTTGGACACGTTCGACCGCCAACCTGCCCGGCGCTACCGTGACTATGAGGATAGCTACAGACCGCAGAGAGTTCCCCCGGCAAGGGAGCTGATCCCTATCCCAGCCCCATCTCCTAAGCGTTATCCTAGATACGATGGGCCATCCTACGATGATGTTCGTGTCCAAGACCCAGATCTCTATGGTGATGATGGTTTCAGAGAATACCGTGAACGGGAGTGGGTGTCGCGAAGGAGACGAAATAGTAGTCCATCTCCTGAGCGTCGATCGGTGAGAGAAGAATTCTTCGAGGAAGTCAAAGAGGATACCAAAGAAGTCAAGCCGTACCCCCGCCGCGGCAAGACTCGTATGCCAAAAAGACTGGTGCATACCAAGGTTCTGTATGATCTGGGTTATCCCTACTATGAAGAGGTAGACTATCCCTCTCCCGACGTGTCAGATAACCAGTACTAAAGGCAACAGGATGAACGTACAATTGTCATTGAGAAGGCCCTGGGGCCGGACAATATTGATGAAGTCTTCGCCAAAAGCAAGGAGTATCGTGAGCGTGAAGGTGAGTATGCCCGCTCTTGCGGTATCCTGCTTCTGACGACCCTGCAGTTAGTACAACCCGTCTCATCGAGGCTCCTCCAACATCGAGGAGCCGGCAAGGTGAAGTTGTGATTGAGAGAACCGAGAAGATCGAGGAGACAAAGACAGTACCGCTCACCGAGGCTCCTCGCTCTGTCCGGGAGTGGGATGGGCTCTCAGTGCGTTCACCGTCTCCAAAATCACATCGTTCACACTCCCGGCGACGATCGCGCCGACGGTCTTCGCCTGGACTAGTCAAAGAGACCGTGGTAGAAAAGAAAGAGGTTGTCAGAGAAGTGTCTCCAGCGCGCACGCATCGATCGAGCACAACTCGCCGGAGAGGCTCGTCTGTCAGTGATGAAACCATCATTGAGCGAAAAATTACGCGAGAAGCAGACTACGAGGAGTCCAACTCCGTCCATCTTGGCCCCTTAGCACTGGTGGTCGACAGGAAGCCTCCTCGCAGCGATCGCGACATCAAGGAAGAAATTCGCCACCTCGAGGCAGAACGAAAAGCATTGAGACGAGAAAGGAAATACGAGCGCGATGGTGGCACAGAGATTGTCAAGATCGAGCGGGTCCGGGAAAGATCTCCCTCGCCTCGTGGTGAAGTGATCATTGAACGACGTGGCGATGAGATCCTAGAAGTCAAGAAAGACCGGAGAGGTAGGATGTCGTTGATTGCCAAATGAAGTAGATGAGGTTCCTGATGGCGTGACAGGTCGCTCACGCTCGGCTGCTCCCAGTCCCGCCATCATCAAAGCCATGATGGCTACATTGACCTAGTTGGATATTCCCCAGCAAGATTTGGGCGGCCCTGTGAGGGATTGTTGGATCTACGAGTTGCAGGTATTCTCTGGTGGGCGGGCTGCGAATCGATATAGTAATGGGCTCAACTGATATTTGCAAATGGCAAGTTGCTGTTGACAAGGAATGGGAATGGCAGACGAATGGATTGATGATTACATAGGCGACGAATTTCTTTTCGGCGAGATAGCAGGGGGACCTTATAAGAATTACTTTCTGGTAGTAGATCCAACTATACCGTAAGGACGCATCATACATATTCGATCAACGTCGAAAGATTAGGTAGGAAATGCGCCTTGAAATAACTGTGGTGTGAACGATAAAGAGCAACCTTGCTGGCGCGGGCACATGTTTTCCTAGGCGGACACCAATGCAGTAGGTGCCTAGTGACTACTGTCTGTCTAAGCCTACCGGCTATTCTCAAAACACCACCTGTAGCCTCCCACCGCAGTCAACTTCTCCCGTCCAAACATCTGCACTTCACCCGCAGCCTGTCCTCACTCCTCCGGATTTCTTGTGGCTAGCTTGCACCATCCACAATCATGGACAAATTCTCTGCCTTTGGAAAGAACATAAGGTGCGCTCATATCAACGCGTTGCTGATTATCTCGATCCCGAAATTGCCCACGGAGCAGGTCGCAACCCCTAGTCAGACTGTTGTTTACTGATGAGCGCAAATCTACAGTTCTGCTTTCAACTCAACCGTCTCCCCATTTGCACAACGGAGTCAACAGTATCTCAAGGAACAGTTCGGTGGAGTGGACGACAAGGTGTGTGGGATCAGCAACCTCTCATGTTTACGATGTGCTGACAGTCTTTCTTTTAGACCCAACTTCCTCCAGACTACGTTGAACTCGAAAAGAGAGTCGATGCCTTGAAACAAGTCCATCAAAAGCTCCTCGCTGTCACGTTCGTGGGCAATCCTACCGGCATATCATTGGACCCCCTTATTGACAACTTGGCAGAAACCAGTACTCCAACGAGGCTTACGATTACCCCCCTAACATTCGTGAATCCTTTACCGATCTTGGGCGCAGCATTTCCGAGAAAGTGACTCTGCTCTCTCATGCTTCAAGTCCCGCCGAAGCACAAGCTGCCATCACTGCTCCCCCCTCTGCGAAACCTCAGCCCAAGACTTTCAATCATGCCATTGCACGCGCGTCCCTGGCTAGTTCTCAGCTTCTTCAGCAGACAAACCCCTCCGGTGACGATCCGCTAGCCGCCGCGCTCGAGAAATATGCATTGGCAGAGGAGAAGGTTGGAGAGGCTCGATTGGCCCAAGACCATGCAATTCTCTCAAGATTCCTGGCCGGTTGGAATACTACATTGAACACCAACATCCAATTCGCCGTCAAGGCTAGAAAAGCGGTCGAAAACAGCCGCTTACTGCTGGACAGCACCAAGGCGTCGAAGAAGAGCCAGGTCATCGGCAGGGGAATGAATCCAGATGATGAAACCGCTTTGAGCGAGGAAGCACGAGCTGAAATTGAGGCCAAGGAAGACGATTTTGTTTCGCAGGTCGAAGACGCCCAAGGCGTTATGAAGAATGTAAGTGAACCCAGACATCTTACAAGGTGCGACTATTGACTATTCTAGGTTCTCGATACCCCAGAACCTCTCCGAAATCTGGCCGACCTAATCGCGGCACAACTCGAGTACCACAAGAGAGCGTACGAAATTCTCTCCGAGCTTGCGCCCGAGATCGACCAGCTCCAGGTGGAACAAGAGAGCAACTATCGTAAGAGCAGAGAGGGTGCTTGAGTGCCATGACCGGGGATTGTGAGAGAGTATTATGCTAGGCTTGCTTGGGATTGACTTTTTGCATCTACTACCTGGTTTCCTTTACCCATCGAACAGCAATGGTGTGAGAGCCGTAGGCTACACGAGCCCAATACTGATCCGCGTGATCTATCATAACCATCAGCGTATTAAACCAGTTTCCATAGTCCATCTCTGGCCCTAGCATTGTATCACGGCTCGGCCGTCTGCCGTCATACTATTGACGTCCGGATCACAGTATGTAGTCCCAGTTTGGAAGGTCGGCCGAATCTGCGCATCTGGTCATCATCATCGAAGCTGCCGACAGCAACATGCACCTGTTGCCTTTCCCACCCTGAACCTTCTTTTGAGCGGTTTCCGTGATTTCCTAGTCATCCACGAAACTCCTACAGATCCAATCCTTCTCAAGGACGCGCCTGTCTCAGCATAACCTCCGCGACGAGCTAGCAATCTATTCTACCTCGAATCTCCGCCTCGCCAGGCACCATAAGTACTTTGGCTCCTAGCTACAGAGTCGAGACGACTTCGGGGAAGAGAAAGGAATCTGGGTGCTGGAAGCGTTATACAAGATAAACCGAGACACAGACAATGGCGAATGGGTACGTCCACATGGCCGCTCTTGTGCCTTGAGCATATATGTTTCCAGCAACCTCGTCTCCCTGCCTTCCAGATCCCATATACATGCTCCCAATGTCCTGTATCTGTGGAGGGCTGGTGGAAATGGAAGCACTACAAGCGTTCTGCCACCTTGCATAGGTCTGTTCGAAATGTCCAGACAACACCCGTGGGATTGAATTTCCATCTCTAGTCTATATGGCGCAGAGTCGAACTCTCGGCCAGAATGTCGCATCAAGATTGGAAGAGGGGGATATGTCGCCGTCAAAAGGATCTTGATACCTGTTGATCACAAAGAAACATCCATCCCCTTCATCTTCAATTGCAACACACTACTCTCAGAAATGCATACCTCTACACCAACTTTGGTTTAGATGTGCACATCTTCTATGACACGCACTGACAGTTGTAACAGGTGGTCTCTGATAATTGGCCTTGTCATAATTGTGGCTCTTAGTGTGGGCGCGTGGTTTCTGAGCCCAAAGGGCGAGAATCAAACGTACGACTGATCGATCCATTCCCTCCTGGAACCGAACACCGGTCCACATGCTTTCGGGATGATACTGATGTGCTACTCTATAGGATCTGGAGAAATACTTTGATCCTGAGTTTTGCTAGTTGCTACATTATGTGGGGTACGTCTCTTTCCTGGATGCTGTTCCCATGACGATTCATCCTTCTGATCCCTTCATATCCTTATTCGGCCTTTATCTCGGTCGCGACAATCCTTCCTCGAACATAAACTAATAACGCTTGAATGCAGCAATCACCTTCCTCGCCCAGTGGCACCCTCTGATCGAGCCTCGAATGGCCAAATTACGACACGGCTATCTCGGTGGCAGTTAATGGGAAAGAAAAATTAAACATCGCATCGGAAACATGACCTGCCAGGACAGGCAGCTATGTAAGGCTGCTCCAGGCGTTTGTGAGGAGTCCGGTGTGCCGGTAGAGCAGTCTGCAAGACTTAGAGGGCGACAACGATGAATAGCAATAGTGGAATGGGCTCTGGGTATGCTAGTTGCACTACCTGTATTTCTTCCAGACTCGATGGCTTGTTTGTCTCATCTTTACCTACGCCTTATCCTTGGACGCATACACAATTAGGTCAGTATTTCGTCCTAACCACGAAGGACAGGGGGGTGCCTGAGAACGAATTCCGAGCCGTCTGCATGCTCTTGTAGCTGAGAGTGACATTTCGGAAGCAGAGTGGAGACTGACGAGGGCGAGGAGGATATGGCTGTCCCGAAACCTGATGCGCCTTGGATAGCACAGCACGGCTTGTTGCAGCAATCCATTTCAATGCAGTATTGTACGAATAAGCGAAGAGACAGTATATAGCGAAGCTGGATGCAGAGTCTCAGGTACTGCATGTTTGCAGATTGGATTCGATAGGATATGCTATTGTACATACTCTATTCGTCTTTGTTTGTCTTTCCCACCTCGTTGGGAATGTCCTCCTTGGCCGGCGTATCATCTCCTTCATCTCCTGCATCTCCTTCGTCTCCAACACCGGTTTTCTGGACAACCACCGTGGATCCAGGAGCCTCTGAGCCCTCTTGTTCGACAGAGATTGTCTGTTCAGAAGTCTGGCCATGCTTCGTTTCGTCCTCGTCGTCCGCATCGTCGTCGGCATCACTGATATGTCCGAGGATCGCTTTCAGGAGGTCGGAACCTCCTGTGCGAATGCTTCCGCCCGAAGGAGAGGTCACTTCCTGTTCATCTTCTTGCTTTTCTTCCGTCACAGGCGTTTGTAGTTCGGCAGGTACACTTATAGTTTTCTGTGCATCTGGCTGCGGGTTTGCGGATAGAGGATCGATATCCTCAGTGTTACCTGTGGGGGTAGGTTCTGCAGGGGCAGGAGGTTCGTATTGTGGAATTGCGGCACTGATGTCCAACCTGGGTAGCTGGCCATCGGCCGGGAAATGATTCTTTTTCGGCGCCGATTCGGTCAGCTCAATCGGCGTACTGAACGGCTGTGAAGAGATCTTAGATACAACAATCGCACTGGTCACTTCTTCATCTTCCTCGTGCCCTTCCGCGATAGGGGCAACATGGCTGCCTGTACTCGGAGTATGTCTATGGCGACGAGCAGTTGCCGCCGTGCTGGCCGTCGTCGCTGCAGCTGTACCTGACGCCTCAGATGATGGGGTATTTTCATCATCTGCGGGAGTCGCTGACGGGTCATCTTTACGTAGGATTTGCATTCGTAGACCGACATCTGATGCAGTTTCAATATCTTGTTCATCGCTCAAGTCCCGACCTTCTTCTGCTTCGGGGGGAATCGTGTAGCTGTCCTCTGGTATGAGGTGGTATTCGTCGCAGACTACCTTGAAAAGCATGTAGAGGCCATAAGTTGCTTCAACTGACCAGAAAACATCAGGATGCTGGAACCAAGCGTGTGCAAAGATGCGATACACGCGGCGGAAGATATTCGTGAGCTGACGCATGCTTTGAATAGCATTTCCTGCTTCCCCGCCCAGTGCCAACCTGGACGGGAAGTGCTTCGGACTCGTCAGCACATTGGCCGCCCAGTCAAGTGTATGGTTGCAATAATCAATGGCACAGCAAGATTTTGGTGGTTCATGAACGGCACAGAGATACTGCCACTCGCTCGCTCTCATTTCAGGGCATGTCTGGCTTGAGCAGGGAGGGTTGTCGTTCATCAAAAAGATGGAGACGATGTTCGCCTTTTGTGTAAGGAATCTACAGAGTTCATAGAGCCATAGATTCCTATCCACATTTTCCGTCTCGTTGATCTGAGGAGGTGTAGCCAGTTGTAAAGCAGTCTCCTTTGAAATAGGAATGGTATGCGTCGAGCTTGAAGTATGTGTGAGGTGCGAATAGAGAGCTTTTAGATGTTCTTGAAGTTGAAAAGGCGAGTCTAACTGTGACGAGTCAACTCAGTTCGTGAATACCACACAAGCGGAGGACAGAGGAGACCATACCTGACTCAGCGGCACAAGAGGGGGCCCAACCACCATATCTGAGGATCTTGTGCCAGGTCTTATTCGTCGTCCAGCTCCTTCATCTGGCCTCGAAGTAGCATCCAGAGATAGTTCGGCGGAGGTGTCGCCGATTCCTGGACTTTTCGGGCCGAATTGGACCTCTGGGATAGGGGGAGGAGAAGGGAGTCGTGGGGAGTTGGATGGCGAGACACCGGCTCTGGAGGAGGTCACCGCAGTCATGATGCGCACAAGAGTGTATTCGTCTGTTCAAGAAAGTTGCCGGAAGTTCTCTGGCCGGCGCGTGTGTTTCAACGCCCTGGGCTGCGCTCGTTGTGCTTTGGTTTATGGAACAACTGGAAAGATTGATGAGAACCTTGAGCTGCACAGAATGCGTTTCCTTCCAACTTGGGAGTAGAGATACGGCGGGGTTCAGTAGATTCTGAGCAGGTAGCCCGTGTGGCAGCTAGAGGCGCGCAAGTGGTTGACGATCGCAACAAGGTTGGGTGTACGAATAGTGTGGATAGACACCTCGACCTTTCCGCAACAAACTAGGCAGCACGGTACCAGTATCCTTTGCAAAGGCGGACGACCAAATAGGTAACATGGACAGGTTCTCTAGGTCAATGGGAGGACAGCCCAAAGACGCAGTTGACGGGTTGTGCAGACAAGAATCGGATAAGTTTCCGTGTTAGAACAAGGTTACGGGATCTACGATTAGCGTTGCACTAGTATTGAGCAGCCTCGGCACGTGGCCTCACTCGTCAAGGCTCGTGATGACGTAAAATTCTGTGTGAACAAACATCTTAGACGGGCTTCCAGCGTTGATAAAATATAGAATACTGTTTGAACTATTGATTATCGGTCGAGTGATACGGCCGTTGTGCTGTACCAATCTTGCTACGACTGATGTGCACAAGTATGGACGATGAAATCCCTGACCTTGTCGACATCGGTGGCTCTGCTCACCCGCCAGACGTGCCTTCAGACTCAACACCATTGAGAAAGGTACCCATTACCATTGTAACAGGTGCGGGGCTCGCTCAACTTGGCTGTCGTGTAATTCTCACTGACCTTATCAGGCTACCTAGGTGCAGGCAAAACGACACTGCTGAACCATATTCTCACGGCCAACCATGGCAAGAAAATTGCAGTCATTTTAAACGGTCGGTCCAAGATCTGTTCCAGCCCATTCATTTCCACTCTGACGACTATGCGGTAGCATCTTAAATGCACTTCTCAACCAGATCTGACGTGTTCTTACTGCAAGCAGAATTTGGCAACACCGCCGACATCGAGAAGGCTCTGACCGTAAGTCAAAACAACCAATCCAGCACCGAATGGATCCCGTTGGCCAACGGCTGCATATGCTGCAGCGTTAAGGACAGCGGAGTAGCTGCTCTGGAATCTCTGGTGGAGCGGCAGAGGGATTTTGACTATATATTGCTCGAGACCACCGGAGTTGCGGACCCGGGAAACATCGCCCCGATGTTCTGGTTGGACGAAGGGTTGGGCAGCAGCATCTACCTTGACGGGATTGTGACCGTTGTCGACGCAAAGAACATCCTGAGGAGCCTGGACGAGCCGATACCCAATGAATTGCCGGCGTCGGAAACGGACAAGGAGGCACCACTCACTCCCGACGAGCGTCACCACCATCAATCTCCGCTACTCACTACCGCGCATCTCCAAATCTCTCACGCCGACGTGATCATCTTGAACAAGGCAGATCTAATCTCCGAGCCAGACCTATCCGATATCGGTTCACGTATCTTCTCTATCAACAGCCTTGCTCGCCTCTTCTGCACCACTCACTCCCGCATCGACGAGCTCAGTGGCACAGTGCTCGACCTGAACGCGTATTCAACATTTCCTAATACGCACTCTCCGCATTTCTCCTTGAAAGGCCATTCACACCTTGACCCCACAATCTCGACTCTTACTCTGCCTTTGCGAGCAATCGACCCCCAAGAGCTACCGGTGCTGCAAGACTGGCTAGAGACGCTGCTCTGGGAGGCTGAGGACCGCCAGGAAGGCCAGTTGCGCAAATATGAGATCCACAGAACGAAAGGATTGGTTTTGATCACTGACGGTACCATCCGAGTTGTCCAGGGTGTCCGAGATATCTTTGAGATCATCCAGCCGCCAACGCCGGGTGATGGTACAGATGACGGCGAAGCAAGCAAGCAACAAGGTAGAATCGTCTTGATTGGACGAAACCTGGATCTCGTCTCTGGAGCTGGCCCTATTCCATTCACTTCGTGAGAGGCCAGTCTGCCAGCACGGTGCTGTGATGCAAGCCCATGTCCGGAACGGAAACCCCTGGATTTTCATCCTCGATACCAAACTTGAAGGGAGAAACTGCGGCTCCACTTGCTTACGAAACGACTGGAGTTCAAGCCATGTTTTCTCATCTCCTGCTGACTCGAACTGGGGCGGCCGCTTGTTTATCTAAGTAGCGACACTAGCCGCACGGCCGACTTGCAGGTTTCAACACACCTCTCGATTGGTTTTGCAACCCAATATATAGTAATGCCTCAAGACCAAAACCAAGATCACCAAAACTCCGCAACTTGCTGTGATAGACCAGAAATGAAAAAAATGAACAAAGACCCTTCCTTCCCTTGCGGGTAACATCAACGGGTTGAGCCGTCCCATCGCATCACGCATGGATGATATCATGTTCTCAATCGTAATGTATAAAATATTGATTCCCGTCGAATTCAGTAATGCAAATCATGGGAATGTGTCGTAACTGTGGTCGTATTCCGCTGTCGTGGGCGTCGTGTCATGGTATTAATTTCGTCAAAGACTGCAAACGTTCAAGGATGGGCAAGGCTAGACCCATGTCACTTCTGCTGGGCTATTAGTCCAACTGATCGCGGGAGTCACCGGTGCTCAAGGTCACCATTGCTTCCGTCTTGATGGATCAAGAGACTTGCAGGGTCATTGTGTTTCCATTCGGAATGAAGCAGCCAAGCAGAACCCTCCAGGCTGACATCAAAGCGGGAAAGCAGGGTCTGCGGCCAGTGTGCGGGCATTCAATCGATGTGCCAGGCTTAATGGCGACAATAAAGCCATCGCTTCTTAAGATGAATTGAGATACGGGCCTGTGCTTCGTCATGCCGTGCTCTGTCATCCAGGTTCCAAAGTCTCAAAGCGGCGGAAGAGAAAGATGTTGCTACATTGATTCCAGAGTCTTCAGGCTCCATCATCCTGCCCGCTGATCAATCGAGTCCTTGACTCAACTTATCTGCCCTTCTGAAGGGTGGCTGTCGTTGTCAATATCATTACTAGTGACAGCGAATTCGTTCTGGTGACCCCCTTGGGTTGCCGACGGAGGATCTAAATTTGCCGGGGTTTGCTCCATTGCGCCTTTGTGCACAGCCGCCCCTCGATCATTGGTCTCATCCTCTACCAGACCAAGTGGCTCATCATAGCCGCTATCAGCATAGCACAGCGTTGGAGGTAGCTTTGTCGTCTCCGGACGCGTTAAATCTGAACAACTCTGTGGGCTAGAATCAGTGGCGTTTTGTTCCGTTGCGGGATGACTGCTCTCGGTTTCAATCGAGGCATTAACTGTGGTTGCCTGGGGAGTCGCCAAGCCACGGTCCGAGTCTCGACTTAGACATGGTGATGAGTAGCTGTCTGCGGGTGATGGCGCATCGCTTGATGTATCAAGCTGGTTGTCAGCCAATGTGGGCAATATGGCTTGACTATTGCGAGGCGTACTATCAGATGTCGGAGAGGCCATGTGCTGAAAGGACGGTCTTCGAGGAGGCAACGGGGGGTGCGAGTTCAGGGACACAATCGCACAGTGCTCAGGGCTGTCCAATGCCGAGGACTGGCTTTGCAAGTCCTGCTCTTGCCCTTCTGCACGCTCCAACACTTCCAGTTCTTCATTGTTGAAAGTTCTGCGAGATATCAGATATGGATGCCCATCCAAATCGACTTCGTCAAACTCCCGCTCAAGCCCAGGGGAGATTGCTACAATGTTGGGTTCTGGTTCGTCTATCGCGCTCGGCATGTCATTTCCAGGCAACCAGTGACGTCTTTCGTCTCTACCAAGATGTCCGAAATTTGAAGGTGGTGCTCGGCCTCTAGGACCGTCGTAGCCCGAGGTTTCACTGTCGAGTTCGTAATTCGAGGATTTGGGCCAGGTGAAAGTGTAGTCCTCTCTCGAGCTTTCCGGTGAATAAAGAGTCTGCTTGAGATCGTGTTGGCTCGAGCTCAGGCGTTCAATGTCGTCACGCCCAACCGCATCGGCAGGGTCGATATAGTCCTTCACTGTACGCAACTTCAGTGCAGGCCTCTTCGGTTGTTGCGAGCCGTCAGGTGACTCGGTCCCTGGAAAGAAACTGATCAGTTCTTTGGCTGATAACCGATCTCTTGGTCGAGGGGACAAGCAAATTCTCACGACGTCCTGGTACCAGTCGGGAACCTCGGACGGGAACTCTTCGACACTCAATGGTGGAACATGTCGCTCAGGCTCGTCATCGTCCATGGCCAGCGCCCACAATGTCATGCCTAGTTGATATAAATCCGACTTTTCACCAATGTACATGGAGATTCTCTGCTGACTAGCAATTTTGGCGGCAATTTCGGGCGGTTCCCAGCCAACAGGACATCCTCGTCGATTGATGTCGATGATCTTCGCATGCCCATCATCATCAACCACGATGTTGGATAGGGTGAGGTCACCTTGAACGTAACCTTCCTCGTGAATCTCGCTGAGCCCATGGACTGCGTGCTCAGCCCATCTGCATCGATCGTCCCAAGGGATGGAGCCTCTGTGGTCATACAGCAGATCGACGATCGCACCCTTTTCAGCAAAACTAATAAGTAGCCCTTTGACGAAATGTTGTGAATCATCGAGCACGATTGCTTCAAGCTGAATAACATAGGCCGAGCCATGTAGGGCATGCAGCGCATTGATCTCATACAAGAACTCGTCCACTGTATCCGGCCCAGGAATCTCCTTCTTGATATAGGTCTTGCCTTTACACCGTACTTTGTAGACAAAGCCGGAGAGATGGGAGTCAAAGGTCAACTCGCTTTCGCGTACTTCCATGGGATGAAATCCGTCCTCCTCGAGGACGTGGGCTACGGTGTGGCGCGGAGGATAAGGGATGATCTCATTCACGTCTTCAGTCACATGAACATGGAGCCTGCCATCGGTGGTCTCCAGCTTCAGATTTGTGACGGTCTCATAGAATTGGATCTCAGGCAAAGAGTCACGTATGGACTCGTATATTTGCATGCTCTTATCTCTCTGGAACTGAAGCTCCCTGAGATCCATCTCCAGAGAGCCCGGTTCAGCGTTGCGATAATCGCAGGAGATAGTCACACGGCGCCAGTGATTGGGGGTCTCTGCATAAGTAACGAAGAACTTTTCACGATCGGACTTATCTCTGAAATGCATGCTGAGATTGAGGATCCATCGACTGTCAAGCTCCTCTCTCAAATCAACCTTGTCGTTGAAGGTATTGAGCGTAGGGAAATGTGAGTTATTGGAGGACGTTGTTGAAGGAGGTCGGGGTGCGCGATGGCCATTTTGCGACCACACATCTTCTGAAGTGTTCGAAAGTCCAGGGACGAAAGTGGCTGTGAGGTCGTCCCCAGGAGAATCAGTGGTAGTGGCATCGGCTTTGCTTGAGTCGGTTACAGCTGGGGCAGAAACACGGCCCAGGTCACAAGAAGGCGGGGATGATGTCGCTCGTGGTCGTGGAAGACTAGTTGATGCATTTCTAGTCGAAGACACTGCTCGTCTTTCGGCAGGCTCGGGATGGACGGGGAACAGACGATCGCGCCTTTCGGAGTTCTGACGCTTGAAGGTTGCTTGCCGGGGAAGACCGACCGCCAGTGGTCTCGTGGAGGACGCGTGCTTGTTGGGATCAGGGGTGTCGGCCCATGTTTGGGGCCACTGTTCATTCTCTGGGCAGTCGATACGACTTTGGCTAGGCTCATCTCTGGCAAACAGATTGTGCAGTTTCTGCCACATGCCAGATCGGATGAATGAGTGCCTGGAATGAGATGGTTCGGAGTCGATTTCTCCAGATGGCGATTCAGCATGGTGAGGTGTGATGCCCATGTTGCGGAGGTCGCTTGAGTCTCTGCTCTTTCGAGTGAGGGGCAAGCCTCAACGACAATCAGCAACCTCCGCTGAGCTGGGAGACACGAGAGCGACAAGTATTGGACGGACGCCAGTCGGACATGGAAGGTCAGGTGGTAGTACAAGGAGGAGATGGAGGAGGGTTTGGTGGGAGTTGGCTCGCGGGAGAGAGATATTACTGGTGCTGAGACATTGTACGGAGGCGTAAGAGGCGGAGAGGAGTTGGTAGGCGGTGAGAGGATGCAAGCCACACAGTGGTCCGATGGATATTGCACCGGACTGCTTGCACCACGTCGGAAGTTTCGGTTTCAAGGTGATGTTGCAAGTAGCGGGAGGAGACTGCGAGCCTTTTGAGTTGCAGGACGACTGCAAGAGGAGCAGGCGGAAGAGGAGGAGGATGAACGAATTTGGGTCGGGATCAGAGCAGGCTTGAGGGTTTGCCTAAGTTGTTCTGGTTTGCTCGTCTGCTCGTCTGCTAAAACAACGCAGCTGTTCCGTTAAACCTCCTTGGGCGTCGGGATGGGTTTGGTCTGGATCAAATTGTTGGCAGATAGGTAGGGTTTGAAGGGAAGACGAAGCTGGCTGGAAAGGTGATGTGTATTGATGCAAATAAGGTGAGGTGATGTGATAACAGGTGGATGGAGGTGGGTTTGAAGCAGGAGGACCAGCAAAGGTGGAAAATGTTCCAACGTATAATGAGCTGAGGCCGGAGAATATGCGTCTGGTATTTCTGTTGAGCTCACTTGGAAGTGTTTGGATTGAAGTTCGAAGGTTGAGTATTGCACTGTACAATATGTACTGACTGCAGCGGCTGCCTTAGTGTTGGTGCAGGATGCAGTCCAGTCGGTCTTGCCAGCAGAGACCCAGGTGGAGGAAGGCATTCGTTTTCCCATGGACTTAGGCGGCGGTACGCGCCTCCGGCTCCGGGGGGCTAGCCGGGGGTTAGGGGCTAGGATGAGGGGTTAGGGGAGGCTGCCAGTGCCAGCACAACTATCCGCGGCGTCCTCCAAGGGCAGTGCAACCAATTAAGCACATACATCCCACAGCGACCTCCAAGGGGCCGCCCCAGGCTGGATATCTTCATGCCTGCTCTCCGCCGGCCCGTATGCAGCATGCCTGCAGGGTTGACTTCTGTCTCTTCCCTTTGGGCATCGTTTTGATGCAGTATCTTGCCTATGATTCATCCCCAAGCTTCGGACGCCCAATGAGCCAAGGATGGTCAACTTGATGGAACCCTCCTACGGCTTCTTTTGCTGTTCATTAGGCGAGCTGCAGCTTGTCCCGCTTACACACAAGGCAGATACAGTACCTACAGTACATGGCCACCACGCGCCTGCCTCACTGGAAGTACGTACCTACGTAGGTACCTACCTTATGCATGTACCAAAGTATCCGTACATAGATACCTACACCCAAGAACAACTCGGTGACGACGAAATTAGGTATCCTGTCCCTTGCGCGATTGCCTGAGTTGCCTGCGCTGCAACAATACCTACTTTCCTTACATTGTTTTCAAAGACTCTACACATACTAACATTCTACGTTCATGTCACCGACTTCAGCCTCAAAAAGTCCGCGACGAACAGCCTTCAGATGTCCCTAGGGGAAAAGGCAACATACAAACCTACTCCTACCAGCGCCCGCCATCCATCCCACCCTACATGTAAGCCTTGCCACTACTGCATCTCTGCAGACACGTTTGAGAGCCAGTCTCGTGGCCACTCATCTCGAAACCTCCGCCCTCTATATGCCCTATTTGTCGCCTCACCGTTGGGCCGCAAAATCCTCAAAATCCTCAACCTCAATTGGCGGCTCCGGTCCTATATCGGTCTCCCATCTGCCGCCCCATCCCCATCCTATTTCGATCTCACTACCCATCGGGTTCGAACTCGAGACTTATGATCTCATTGCATGTCGCAACCTGACTAGTCTGTACAAAATCACCCTCGCAGCCGTTGACGTGGCCCAGGTGTTACTCATGATCATTATGCTGGGTCGGAACACGGACCAGCGCTGCTGCGCATTCGCCGGTAGTCACCTGTGACATTGCACATCTCATGTTGCGGAAGGAAAGTCTTATATCCAGCTCGTCAGATCACCAGACACGACGAGACTATGCTCGTACTGGCTTTCCGAAACCACCCCCAGCCTTGTCCCACACCGCTTTCAACCCGTGGTGGAGAAACACTGACACCACGTACCGCTCTTCGGAGGCATCCGCAGCTTGGAAATTCGGCGGCCTGCTCACACGATATGCTCATATTCTCAGATCTGTGAGAGCAGACAGTGGGTATGCTAGTCTTTGGATGGCGTGCGGTGGCTCCTGAGTTGTGAGCAGCAAGGGCGGCAAGCACATCCTTGGTGCGCCGACAACATCTTCCGAAACCCTAACCACATCAAGCGAGCCTCCGCACCACGATGGGAGGGTCTGATGGAACGAGAATGCCATCTTGACACCCGTGGTGCTTGTACTGCCCTGAAGGTGATGCTGGAGCGCACCATTTTGGTATCAACCCACGCGTTGTTACATTTTCCTGCCTCTTGTCATCTATCTGGACCCAAAATAGTCCAGTGCCTAGTCAGGGGAATGGAAAATGTGTCACCAGATCAAACACCTGTGACCCAAACTATATGTTCGTTACCTGCATGGATTCTGCCACCAAGAATCTCTGAACTCTTCCGGTCTCCGGACTTTGTTGTGGCTGATCCGATTTACCACACCGCTCTTCCTTCGTCATTCCTCGGAGAGATTAGGATTCAGAATGCGCTGTCTACTCCTTCGGAGGTGGTCTTCCACTATTGACTGTCTCCTGCGGAATCACAATCAGCAGCAATATGCTGACGATCAGCAGGAGCACAAGGGGTAACTCTCTATCACTCGTGACAAATCCCTATCGATGATCAAATACCAAAGATTCTGGACGGGCTTGACGCGCCAGTTTTCTGACCTGTCATAAGTATGGCACATGGCTCCGTAGAAGGCTATTTGTCGAATCCGCTTTGTTTTCTGTCCCTCCTCGACTCGCTTGGCCGGGTACCTCACAGCACACATGCATGCGCCTTCCTGGTTACCGGCTCTCCCCTGCCAGCCCATTGATATCTGAGCCTAATGTCATTGCCTAGAAGGGGGGTCGGCACACGAAAAAGAAAGAAAACAAGACCCGGTGTCCAAGAATCTCCTAGTCTTCAATTTCAGAGGCCCACAGGTATTTGATACAGAATTTGTCCACGTGGCCCCTTGCACTTTAATCACATGAAGAACTCCTGTCCTATGCTCCTGGAAGTCCCAATGTGACCCTCAACACCCGCCCGTCGGTGAACAACCGAAAGGAGTCCAACGCTCGCCATTATATATATAAAGAAACAGCATATGTTCTGCGTGGCTGCTGTTTTGGAAAGATAACCCACACTCTTAAGGTGTCAAGGTCGAAACCTCAATCTGAACCCAACCTCCCCTCCTGGTCCGTCCAATTTTCTAACCTCGCGTCCATGACTTCCTATGAAATTCCCGGTCCCATCGCCCCCCGACCCTTCGGTGCTTACTCCTCTGCCGTTCTGCTGGACCACGTATATGAACCTTGCAATTGTGTCGGCCTCACTCAGCTGCTGTGCATTGAAATGCTTGCGGACAGCTGTGGCTAGGTGAGTCGATGGTTCACGTGGCCCGTGATAAGCCACAGAAGGAGAGAAGGAAGGGTGTGATTGCTCAGCTCCGGGATCAGGAATCGACGTGGCCGTACTCGATGGTGGATCGGCTTGCGTATCCTTTAGTTTTGCCTTGTCTTTATTTTTAGATGATTTAATGCTTCTGATATTTCCGTTTCTGTCTGCTTGCTGAAGTTTGCGTTGATGTTTCTGCTCACGCAGCTTCCGGCGGGACTGGACGGCGGAGGGTGCTCGCAGCGCAATGTCCGAGGAAGTGTATGTCAGCTCGGCGAGAGGATGGCTAAATGCCGAGGGTACAGATAGTCGATGGGCGATTCGGTAGGTGCGCAGGACGGATGTGGACATGGTATTCCATTCGGTCTGGAGGTGGCATTGACGGTTAGCATTTCTCCAAAGCACCGCCGCGGATCTGCGTGCATGAAGCGAGGAACTTACCCTTGGGAGATTTCGGTCTTTACTGTCGGCATCCACCACCGCAGCAGTGGCATTCGCAGGAGCCTTGTTCGCAGTCGTAGAGACGTTCAGATTGGAGGCAAAACGTCTCCCCTTGGCCACACCCGATCCGCCAGACGGGCCTAACGCAGTCTTTTCTTTCTGGTTGGTGACGGTACTGGAGGCTTCGGATCTGGAGTCGTCGACGTTTCGTGGTCTAGGAGGCGCCATGGTGCAAGACTGTCCTTGCTGCCAGGTGAGGTATTTTCGGGATTGGGAACTTTTTTTGGCGGGCGACACAACGCAGTGCCAAAGCTGCGCAGGGCAGTCCCGAACGGATGGACAAATCACATGAGCGGTATCAACCGAGTCTGGCGTCGATTTGAGGTTCTTTTATAACTAGAGAGAGCGACGGGGAGAGGCAGAGTGGCCCATTGCCAGACATCTGGAACATGGTGTTTCTCGTCTCAGGGACACACGCAATCGCAACTGCAACCGAGCGCAGGCAAATGGGGACGGGGATGGAGAAGTTGGATGATATCATAGTAGCAGCGTGTAAAGGGGGCCGTAGCACGTAGGGGCCGTTAGCCACGGCTAGCACTAATCCGGCAAAGCATGGGAAAGACCCTAATACTAATAGCTGATTTGGTTAGTCTGCTACCTATTTTAATATTAGCATGGCATGTTCATGCCACGGCGGTTGAATTGGAAAATAAGCTAATTACCTGAGGTAGGGACGGATAATTAAGGTAACGGACATTATTATATCGTGCCAGTGTCACCTACGGCGTAGAGCGGCGAGCGGCGGGGCGGCTGCAGCCGTGCATGCATGCAGTGTACGGATACAGTGTCTGTCTTGGTGGGAATCTCAACTCTATACGGAGGACTCTACTTTTTGTAGGGTAAGAGATGGATATGCAGTTCATTGATTTTCGCTGGAGCGTTGAGGTCGCCCAGACTGTCTACAGCTGAATAATCGATTCTCTGAGTCAGAGTTTCCAGAGGTAACCCCCCCAGGTCCCAACATAAGAGGAGAATTGCCCTTTTAAGCTCTCTTTCCTATCTTGGCTACTTCTTGCATCGAGTAAGGCAAAGACTTCATTCACATAGGTGCCCCTGGCCCAATCCTCTCCTGGAAAATGCTTTTCTCTCAAGAGCTTGAAGAATAACCCTAACCCTCACCACCATCTCGATCGAGATCGTCATCATCGTCATGGCCAGCACGAAGAAGGACCCGCAAGCGATCGAAGTCGCAAAATCATTCAACGGTGTTCCTTGGTGTGAAGACTACGAGCGAATGATCTCTGGCATGACGTCCGTTCTCCTTCTCCTTCTCCTTCGTATCTAACCTTCTCCAAGTCATGGACACTACTGACTGCCATTGCTGCTACTCAGATATAATCAATTTGCACCCGAACTCGAAGATGGCCGACTGCGAGCGCGGCGGCTGGCCAAAAAGTATTCTGACCATTTCCCGGACGACGCGACCTCCCAGAGCCTAGCGAGGGATCGGCAAAAGATGCTGGAGGAGGCATTTGGAAAGATTGGGCCGAATGCGACCGTTGAGGCACCGTATGGTGTGGATTATGGATGTAACATCTCTATAGGAACCGACTTCTACGCCAATTTCAAGTGAGTGAATCCTTTCGTTTTCGTTCCGTTGATTTGATTTGGTCGCTCCGGCATGCATGGACATCTACCTGGTACCTAGTAGCATGCATGGCCATCTACCTACCTAGTACCTAGTAGGCTCTCGACCGACCCTAGACGGAGACTGGGACTGATATTGGCGCCGCAGTATGATTATCTTGGATTGCGGCCTTGTCACCATTGGCGACCGAGTCTTCCTTGGACCGTCGGTGAGCATCTTCGCGGCAACTCATGAGACGGACGTGCAGTCACGACGAGATGGCATCGATTTTTCCAAACAGGTGACCATCGGGAGTGACTGCTGGATCGGAGGAGGTACCATTATTCTACCGGGCGTCACGATCGGGAGTGGATGTACTGTCGGCTGTGGAAGTGTTGTCACGAGAGATCTCCCTTCCTTCTGTGTGGCTGTTGGGTCACCGGCTAGAGTCGTCAAAACAGTCACGCCGGTTGCAGATATTAGGAGCGGAGCATCGATTTCCAAGGCTTGAGAATTCTTCGACAACTAGAAACCACCCATACCATCATGTTGATATTCTTGATCTCATGTTCCAATAGTACGTACACCTACCTACCTTCCGCTCCCCTGATGAGTACGTGCACCTACCTTCCGCTCCCTGATGGTGTCAAAGGTTGAAATTTTTCATGTTCGATATTAAAGGGGTATGGGGGAAGCGCAGGCTATATAGTGTATCGTATGTCTAAACCAGCCTTCTGGTCAAAAGGATAAGGCTGGGAATGCCTAAGTTTGACACATTTCCATGATATATATATATATATATATATATATAACGTGCATGATAAGCGAGTGAAACAGACAAGCGAGTGAAACACCTCACCAAATTTCCATACCATCCAACTTTCAATATGATTTTCTCCACCACCAGCGATGGCAACTATTAATGAGGAACGAAAAATAAATCTTGCTCTTCAAGCTATCAGAAAAGACCAAAATCTCAGTA